AACACCTACGTCTTTGGTAGAAATCAAATTTGTGAGATGTTCAAGTTGTGAACGAATTATGGAACATTAGATGGGTGTTTAAGACTCAATGCATCAATCAGTTCATGAGCTCATAATTAAATATCAGTCTGATTAAAATCAAATTTGATAATGAATTGATCAAGAGTCAATTTGGCGCTTTTTGTTTTGTGATTTTTTCCTGGCTACTAGTAGGGTGAACCCCATATACGTAACTGAATGATGATTTACTCTCCCAACATAAGATTTTTCTAAATATATTTAAGATGTATTAAAATTTAGATTAGGAATTGATTGCCGTGTTTGATTTTAACTTCTGTCATAAATAAATAATGAAGATTATTCTTCAGGTAAAGCATTGTAATGACTAGTGTGGGTATGATTCATTGTATTGAAGCAAAACTTTAAATGTCACAATATCTCAAGAGTAATTTACTTAAATGTCATAATCGTACACGAAACTTTCGTGCAGGAATGTAAAATGTGTCTTTGTGACTAATTATTAGCCTTAAGCGTGATACTTTTATACCATTTATAAGGACATGAGTGGAAACAGAGTAACGAAACCAACTAAAGAACTGCCCACACATTTTCTCCACTTACGCAGACACGTTGGTCTAAAACTTAACGCAACACAATGTACTTAATATCACTTACTGTGTTACATAAATAATTTACATTAATAAAGGAATACATTGGGATACGTTAAGAAAATACCGAAAGCAATCGATTGAACATGGTCATTTGTGCCCGAATAATATACTGCTTTGATAAAGTTACGCATAATCTATTGTAGAACGATTTTGAAAGAAGCTATAAGCTTATAGCACGCTCCTCCTAATACCGTAATACGACAACTTAATATTACTTTGCGCTCAAATTCGAACCTTTCGCTTAACCTATTGCCCTTTTGCTCCAATACTTTCGAAAAATAGCCATGTACAAATTTATGAAATCCACCAGGAGTAATTTATGTTACACGAAGGACAAGTTAATATAATATTAAATTAACTGTTTTAAATGCAAAGTTGGCGTACTTCAATAGCCAAATTTAGAATGAGAAGGATTAAATATAAAAACCACCAGTTTTGAAACAAAAGAAAACAACCTTTGGCAACAGTTCCAAACGTCTATTTAATACCTCGGGGCAACACCCATGAAATAATTGTTTATTGCCCTGTGCTATGCAATCTAACTATAATATATATTGCAAACAACATACTTATTACATTTTTACAATTGTTTTAACTGTATCATACAGGCGTTTCATTATTGTGATAAATAATAGTGACGGACGGCGTTTACGGAAAAATACATGATGATAGGAGTGAAACAGTTCAAAAAGTTGACCGATCAACAGTTCATTTCATCATTTCATCACTGCGCATGCGCAGTATTTCAGCGGTTCAAATAAGGATTCGTATTTATAGAAGGTGATAAGTAAATATAATGTTTCGGACAAAAATGCTGCTGCTAAATGCGTGCATTTACCTGTCACTCTAAAGATAAATACAGACATATTTCTTTCAAACGGGTATATTTGAAATGTTCTAAATTTCCAAATTGAAAATAAAATTTTGCAGCAGATATATAGCTTCATACACTTAAATGCCACCAATGGGACTTCATGAAAATGGTTCAAATTACAGAACTAGGTCCAAAGAAGATTTTATTATCAACTCTGTTATGTTATGAAGAAAGAAAAGTGAAATAAAAACACGATTTCCATTAAAAGATCTCATTGACAAAGTGTTATTTTAATTCATTATTTTCTTCCTAGAATCAAATAAAAAATATTTATTTCCACGTTTAAACTATACATAAGCATTTCAATATTGCTTTTCAATAACAAGTAAATGGGGAAAGGTCCTTCAAAAATAAATGCTTGGTTCATAAATAAGTCATATTCTTGACAACCGAACACATAAGCATGTGCTTATATTTCAGAAATTAATATTAAAACAATGTTAATTTGAAACGATGATAATTTGAAACATGTGTTGTTGTATAAAGAGAAACATTTAAACAAATAAGCTTAAATCCTGAATTTATTAAAAAAGAAAAGTGCATGGTACAGAAGACTTCAATACATTATTTTGTAATTACGATTAAACATTGTAGATTGAGTACCGCAAAAGCTTGTCCTAGAGGGGCGTCATGGATGTTGCATTCTTTCATTATCCCTCATGTACATACTCAAACAATCCTTATCCTAAATTTTCATGTAATTTTGTTGTGATTAATGTTTCCGAGAGAATACCTTTTGTCCAGATTTTTACATGTTTAAACATTTCAATAGCAAAGCCTTGAGGGGAAGAAAGGTCACAACAAACTTATCTCAATTTTTCAAATAAAAAAAAGAATTGTAAGGGTGTTACTAGTTTAATTCTCAAAAGATTTAGTTTATTACCGACCAAAAATAATGCTCCTGCATTAGATACTCAAAGGACTGATAAAAGGTGCTTTTCGCTTTTTGTCTAAGCCTTGCCTGATAAATATTGTATAATAGCAGGTACTAGTATGGTATTCAGAATATGTTTCTGGTCCTTCTGGTTCCAATGCGTCTAGTGTTGAGGATTAGATACAGCTTAACCCAGTTCTAAAGATGTTGTATTGTCCAGTAACTCTGAACTGATGGAGTCTGCAATTTTAAACAATTTGTTTTCGTTCCCGCTGTTCTTGTTCTTGATACTGTGATAGTTAACGTTTGTTTTGTTTTTTGTTCTTGTTGCATTTTCATTTATTTTATTATTTTTTACATTGTTCTATTTTTTTCTTTTATTTGCTTTTTTTTATTTATATACCCTTTTTTGTCTTCAGCTAGACTCATGAATAAAAGATTAAAATAAAAGTTGATAAAAACGTTTATAAAACTCATAACGACACAATTAGTTCGTGATGTAAGTTCTCACCCCACCTATATATCAAATATTTTCTGTACTTTACTTAGCACATTTCTTGAAAATATAAAGAAATGACGGAAACTTTATTTGATATGCCTGTCACACAGTTTCATGAACTTCTACAATTACTATTTATAAATAGACAGATCTATTGAGTCGTTAACAAGGTTTATTTACGTCAATTGCATCGAATAAAGCTTCGTTGTTCCCATGATAATAGTCGGCTTTGTCAATCGTGTTCATATTCTGCTAATTCTGGATGACACTAAAATAACTCGTTTTAAACATAAAATGATATAATGTTACATATAACGTTTGATATCTCGTCTGTGAAGTTATTTTAGATCATGTAAAAACGAATAATTTATTTTTCTACAAGGATTATAAAAAAGCAGAACACTCAAATAATGATAGATCATAACAGCATGGCTGCAGGTGATTAACTATGGTCTTCTTTGCTTCATCCCAATCTGGAGAAAAAGTGATCCCTCGGAAACATTAATCAGAACAAAATAACATGAACTTTGCAGAGTCGGTTTAATTGATTCTGTACTGAGGGATAATGAAAAAGTCCAACATCCTTCAACAAACCCTAGCACCTTGATGAAAATATAAAATAAGTCAGCCAAAAGTATAGAACCTTGCCAGACTGGTCGCAAAGGCTTATAGCTTTTAGGTTCCAGCAGGTAAAAGGTAAAAGGTAAAATAATGCAACGGAATCAGTTTAAGTCAGAAAGCTCACATAAGTGTGGTATAAAATAATCCTCTCTGAATTATAAATAACTGATATTAAGTATTTTGATAGCATAAAAGAATATAGACAATACTTGTCAATGTATGCTTGCAAATACATTTGCTATACATAAAGCTTTAAGAGAAGAGAAGAATGCTGGTAGCCTGACATGTAACTTTATGATACTTCATTCTAATATTTCGATATTATTTTAATCATGAACTTTTAATGAATAAATTGTTTATATGAAAACGGAACCCCTAAAGAACGCATAGAACGACAAAATGTAAATGTTTCAGACTCAGTTTGATTGAGTCTGTTCATGAACGGCACTGAAAAATGCAATTTTCCGTCCACGCTCCCTAGCACCTGCTTAAGCAGAATTCAACATTTAAACACGAAAATTAGTAACATCTAGGACCATCTATGTGACAGCTTCATGCCATTCCATAAAAGGCGGTATAAATCTTACTGTTTTGTCCTTAAGTGATAAATGAAAAAAAAAACCAAAAAAAACCCGAAAAACCCACATTTCTTGACACATTTGTTAACCTTCTAAGTTATAAAAGCAATCTTAATTCGTTACAATGTATTAATTGTTAATAAAAGTAGTTTGTTAACCAGTCACTTAATTTTATACAGTTGACTTTTACAAATGTTTCTTTTTCTTTGTACATTTATCTTTAAGATAGAAAACACATCAAAATCATTCATTCCTGTACTTTGGAGTTTGTCGGTCTTTCTACTCAGCTGCCCTTCTTTGGAAACATATATTTTTTAATTTAACACGCCCTTCATTATACCTATAGATGGCATCAGTTAATTTTGTGTATTTTTTTTCTTCTTTCTTTTTCTTCTTTTTTTGTCCATATGCACAGTCATTGTAGGGGAAGAATTGTTTAAATAAACCGGAATCCAAACAAGTATATTTTTTCTTCTTTGAACAATGACTTTGAATTGAAAATAAAAAAATGATTAATTTACATCAAGTTTATAAATCTTACTTTTTTTCTGCGGATGTTTCTGAATTCAAATTTTTAGAATTTGTATGTTGAATTTTGCTTAAGGCGGTGCTAGGTATCATGGACGGTAGCTTGAATTTCCCACTTTTGTTTTAAACAGGCTCAATCAAACTGAGCATGTGACATGTTTAATATTACCGTTATTGCTGGTGTTCTTTCAGTATTCCATTCTTGATGATTTTACTAATATTTGAGCTGTTTGACCAACCCATTCAGCGTTATATATTGAATTATTAAAGCGTGTAGAAATATCCTAATATAGTAGAAATTGATTTAAAATTTATCCTATAAAAGCCCAGATATATCTAAATGTTTCAGCCAATAAACAAACGTCATTCACAATGCATCGTACCAGTGTACTATTGACAATATTGACACTAGCGTCAGTTTTGTTTGGAAATTGTCTGTTGAAGGATATAAGAAATGTTCAAGTATGTTTACTGCTATACTAGTTTTATTGTGATAAAATTAATGTTAAAAATTGCATTCTGTTTACATTTATATGTATAAAAAAATGAATGACGAAGATGGGAATGTGTTTATTCTTCGATAGCTTTTTCAACTTTGAAACAGAATGCCTCCAGATTTGTGGTCATTTTAATAAACAATTTGAAAACGTATTTAGAAGTAAGTCAAACATTGTGAAGTAAACATTTATACATTTCAAACGGCAAATATAATACATGTAAATTACCAAAGAAAGGAGGCCAAAAATGCAAAAATAGCCCCTTCTGCGTTTGGCAAGCAGGAGAAATATGATGATAATTAACAAAAAATCAGCCATTTCTTGAATATAACATGTAAATAACTACTTTACTCATGATTTTGTTTACTTTTCTTAAAATCTTTCCCATTTTTCACAAATTTGATTTTATTGAAATATTTTGCCTCATCTAGAGGCATGCAGCATTAATAAACATTAATCGGAAACGAAGAATGTAATTTTATATTTTTTATTTATAGAGTATATCGACTAGGGATAAAAGAAATATATGCTCAAGAAATACACCTTGTAAATATGTGATATGCCTGCGAAGAATCCGCAATGAGACCTCTTGCTCGTTTGTGCCACTACTTTTCGACAGCAAGTAAGCATGGAGTGTTCTGTCATATTACTATATATTTTGGGCAGTTTCTACTTACATACATTGTTTTGCCATTTCGTTGCCTTAAACAGTACGAAAGTACTTCTTTCTTTTTGTGAGCAATTAATTTAAAAAATCTCACATTCTTTTACCAATTTTAAGTGGACACTAACATTATTTAACCACGATTCTGTGCTGATATGTCATATTAATATTTAACGTTAAAAATGGGGAAAATGCTAATTGGTCGAATGTCTTTGTAAATACATATATAATGTTCAACTGATATAAAATGAAAACCATTTGACTGGAAATATTTGAATAAAGCTACAAAGCTACCAGTATATGACAATTCACTTGTAAAATTGTTTACACTTGGATAACTTTGTGCTAGATAGAGGGAGTGTACAGTTGCTGTCAGTTACAATTGCTGTCTATGAACAGTCTAAATCCAACTGAGTATGTAACATTTTTATTCTTGTTTACGTTTAGAGCGTTCTTTTAGGTTTTTTTAAAAAAAAATGTTTTTCTCTTTTCAGTTGTGTTTGTCCACCAGAACAGATTTGCTCCATAAATACAGACATGTCGGAACTAATTCCACCGTTCGTTTATCGTTACCACTGCAGAAGCCCGTAACAAATATCTTGAGTTTTAAATATTCTACATAGTTCGACATATCAAAATCAAATTACGAAAGACGATATATATAAATATATATTTGTCAGACGGCAATTGGAAACCATGTAAAATAAAAAGTCAAATGTCATTTTAAAAAGGATACCACAGTCAGGTGGTAAAAAAATAAATTGAAAAAAGCAACATGTTTTCTAACGGCCAAATCAAGTGATATATAGACAGGTTAAGTTATTCATATAAATAGATTAATTAAATCCTTTGGCTGATGTTGAAGGTCAAATGTGACCAAATCAATATTAGTATTTGTAACCAAAGACGTTTATAATATGGACATTGTTTTGTTTTGTTTTCTCCTTCCCTTTTATTTTCTGTAACACTAACAACAATATATTCTGCATGTTAAATCAACATATGCAAAGTTTATTTACAAATGTTGAATGAATGCAATCCACTGTAGACACCGTTTTATATGTACGAGCACTTTATTTTTTTTTCTCTTCCTCATGTACACTGATATATGCAAATTAAATCTTTATAATGGCGAATAGAGTGTATACATGTATCTCTTTGAATGAATATGCACTGTAATGCAAATAACAATACAATCTCATAGAAAAGAATGTCATGTCAAAGAATGACGAACAATGTCGAAGAATGCAACAACGAAATGACATAACTACCAGCTCAGAAAAAAACCTTATGTTCTGGATCTTTATAACAAAATGTCATGATTAAACTTATCAATGTAATATATCATGTTATTCTTTTTTTCCCTTAACTTCTGACTGCACAATAATAAAATTGTGTAAACAAATTATACAGTTATATCAATTACAATGTATGCATACAATTACTAGCAAATTCATACCTGATGTCATTTTCCGTTAGTAAAACGTCCGTTGCCGAGTGGTTAAGGCCGTTGACTACAAACCACTTGCTTCTGACCGCTTTATGTCCGAACTGTGCTTAGCGTCTTCAGATTCTTTCATGTGATAAAGCTATCAAACAAACATACGGAACGTCGGTGTTCCTACTCAGCTGCTCTTTTGTGCCTGAAATAACGCAAAGAGGGGCAATAGAGATCTTCCTCAATTAGTAAAAATACAAAGTCGCCATACACCCTAAACTGCGCTGGTCCGACGAACGACCTAATCCAATCAAAGAATATAAAAGAATATCTCAATTATCTATTATCTCGTACTTTTCATCACGAATAAACAGATACGACCTAAGACGGTCTTTTGAGTGTCTACCTGACTCGTAAGACTACATGCCCCCCTTTAACCCTGATAAAAACCCCGTTTTACCTTAGTTAGCCCCAGTTTCCCAATTATAAAGGCCTATGATAGGTAACAAACCCAACCGAAATTTGGATAAACAGCACGATGCGTCCTATGCATTTTGAATACGACATTGTTCAAAAATGTAAATATTGATTATATATTTCTTCGAATACAATAGTTATTACTAAACCGACCAAGTTATCTTTTAATTGTCTGCACAAACGATGTTTTTTCAACTGTAACATAAATATTTTCAAATGTATCGACGTCATACTATTAAAAATAACTGTGAACCTGGCCTATATTTTTGTGAACTTTCCACCATTCGTTAATTGATTAAATTGTTGGCAATCAATGTTTCGGCCTCATTCTGCAACAAAATGATGATACAAGCCCACGCGTGTCGGTGTATATAGGTTTGAAAACGGCATCATGAAGTCATGAAATAGATATACTCGAGGCAGGTAATAAGTTCATGTGACAAATATGATAAACAAGATCAACAAGGAAAGGCGGCGTTCAATGAACGCAACCCCCACATGACCCAGCAACAAGAACCAGTGGCAAGGAGCCCAGGCGGACCCCAAACAAAACAGGACAGGGCACAAGGCAGAGCATGGACAGGCTACTCACTAAAATGATCAAAAATTTGAAACTGATTAGGAATTCGAAGTAAACAATAAATGATTGAATGATAGGAAATCGACTTGGATGTAAGAATTTCCGAGTCCAATAACACGTCATTATTTTGAAATGTAAGATAATCCCATGAGGGCATTAATAATCATATTTCATAATTAATTCATTATCTGATTTGTTCAATGTTGAATATGGTACAGTCTACGTAGGCATAGTATTTATTAGACGTTTATAACAAAAGTCCTTATTAGCTTTGATGCGTTGTTGTTTTTAAAATGTAATTACAGTGTTCCGTTTGGACATTTTTTTTTTATTAAGTCTGTACCATGGCGTTTTCACCATCGTACCGTCGTGTTTTCACCATCGTATCATCGCGTTTTCACCATCGCTTCATCGCGCAATCGTGTGTTTACTTTTTTATTTTAGAACTATCCTGTAAATTTAATTCTATTATGGTAAGACATATCATATACATCCAATTATGGAAATATCCTTATAATTTGTGTTATAGAATGGCAAGAACTTTCCTTTTCACTTTATTCTTAAATGACCAATGAAAATTCTTCTAATATTCATTTCTTCCCTGTAAGTTTTACAGACTGAATTAAGATGGTTTTTGGCCAAAGAAATCATACTATTTTTGATTGACAGTGACTTGTTCTTAAAATTATGATATATTTAATTTCTTACAAGAATTCAATTAAAAAATATCTGTAAAATATTAGGCATAAAAAACTGTTTTTGTGTCTTTGAATTCTTCATAACCGAACAAGAAAATTGCTATATGTTTACAACAGTCATGAATTCTTCTTAACCAATCACTTTTACGCATACAAAACGGAATATACATGTAAAGTTTTATAAAAGTTTAAATTACATGACGTTATCACATAATCGACCTTTTAAAATATTCATGTGAACAAGTTCATGAATTATACATTTATATCAACTAAATAAAGCAGGCAAAATATGTATTGATAATTATCTAATCACGCAATTTCAGTATACGTCTTATAAACAGGAATACCAGCAAAATTAGAACGATTTTTTATTATTAAACCACAGTCAAGATAATATGGCAACTCCTGACTCATACTGAGATAACCGATAACGACTGTTAACAATGTCGACGTAGGTAATCTAATCAGTGGTGCCCTAGTTTCATGACTCACAACCAATAATTATTGTGACTTTACTGTTATGTAATCATATTTAAAGCAATGTATTGATAAGTTTAGATTAAAATAAAAACTGCTGATCTTTGATATGCCGTTTATTGTATAAAACGTGTCGCTCATATAAGCCCTTATCGAATAAAATAGTTAAACAGTAAGTAAATTTAGATAGCACGTAAGTAACTAACAATTCTGATTATTTTAAGATATTACGTGTATCTTTTTTAAAATTCTATTTTTATTTTTTAACCTGTCTCAATAAAACGAAACTTAAAAAGATAGGCTATTTGGAACTAATGATCTATATTCTTTTTTGTAATATTAAATTGCTGATATTCCACTTATTCTGCAAGAAAGATTAAAGAAATGTTGTTTATTTTTTATTTTCATTTGTTCATCTTTTTTTACTTAATTATATTTGTTTGTGGGAATGGAAGGCTTTACGTCGCACTAACAAAGTACAGACTATATGGCGTCTTCCCAGCTTTATTTTTAAAGAGAAACCTCACTTGCCCCTTTGTTCAATATATCAGACACAAACGGGCACCTGGTTAGAATCAATGACGTTACATAAGCTAGATGGATATGTTTTGCACAAGGATTATCCAACCTACAGCGGTGAGAGACAAATGCTTTGAAGCCAATGACCTTACTCACTCGGTAATGGACGTATCGTCAGTAAAATCATATTCTTTTTGCCATGTTAAATGTTTAAGTTTACATGTATTTGCGGAAAAATGTGACAATTTGCATATCAAAATGATTTCATTACTCTCAGTTTGCAAAATAAATGGCATGCTTTACAATTGGTTTGGTGTAGATATAATGGGTAATTCTTGAACTTCAGGTGGTAAAACCTAAATGACGAAATGATATAAATATAGGCGTTTGGGAAAATATTAAAGTGACAAAACTTTCAGGTAGTAAACCCTAAATGACGAAATGATATAAATATAGGCGTTTGGGAAAATATTAAAGTGACAAAACTTTCAGGTAGTAAACCCTAAATGACGAAATGATATAAATATAGGCGTTTGGGAAAATATTAAAGTGACAAAACTTTCAGGTAGTAAACCCTTAATGACGTAATGATATAAATATAGCCGTTTGGGAAAATATTTAAGTGACAAGCCTTCATAACATTTCATTTTTCAGTATTGATAGTTCATAAGTAAAGAAATACGGAGGAAGGTGTTGTCGACGTACATTTAACTTTTTGTTTTCAGGACATTTCTCTTAGTTTCTTTTCACTTAATTTCGGTAAAAATACAAAATTAGGTTTTATAAAAGAAAAACGAAAACGAACATGTTCGGTAAGGTGAAGATTAATTTAAAGTTTAATGTTTTTTGTTTGTTTGTTTGTTTGTTTGTTTTTTTTAGACTTAAGTTATTAAAATGGAATTCAGTAAAAATTATCTTCTTAAAGATATATTTCTGTGTCCGAAATACGGATTTGTCGTCATCAGTGAATCCGAGTTGTTAGACAAGTGGTCTAAAATTTAATATATTTTGGTCATAAATTTTGTATAGTCTTAGAAAACATTATGTGATATATTTTTTAAATAATTCACATATTGTACTATTAGCCCGTCATCGCTGTAAGTTCGAATCCCCCAAGGACATTTATGTGAGGAAGCTGTCAATCTTCATGACCGAACATCGATGGATTTCATGACTTTTGGTAATTTGGTTTAATCTGGAGAATTTCAATATATTTTTGCTATAAATAAACGCCGTCAAAATATATTTATCTAGGACATATAACATATACAATATAGATTATAGATAATCACGAGGTTAAATAAAAATTCCTAAACCTTAAATTGCCGTTTATTGATTAAACGCGTCACTTATATACGCCCTTATCGAATCACATAGTTGAACTGTAAGCAATTTCAAATAGCACGTAAGTAACAAACAATTCAGACTATTTTTTAGATATTACGTGTATCTATTCCGAGAATTCTATTTTTGTTTTTTAACCGGTCTCAATAAACGAGGCTCTTAACAAGAAAGGCTATTTGAAACCAAAGACCTATATTCTATTTCTATATACTGAATTGCTAACATTCCACCTATTCTGTAAGAAAGGTTCAAGAAATGTTTTATTTATTTTTTCATTTATTCATCTTTTTTTTTCCTTTTCATTTATTTTATGCGCGTGTGTATGTTGGGGAATGGGGTTCTTTAGGCAACACTAGCACAGTACAGGCTATATGGCAACCTCCCAGCTTCAATATTAAAGAGAAACCTCAGGTGACCCTCTGTACATTATTTCAGGCGCAAACGGGTACCTGTGGGAACCAACAACGGCCCGTAAGCTAGATAGATAGGTTTTGCATACTACAACGGTGAGAGGCAAATGGTTTGAAGCACATGACCTTAATCACTCGGCAATGGACGGATCGTCAGTAAAATCATATTCATCTTGCCATGTTAAATTTTCTAAGTTATATTTGTGGAAAAATGTGACCAATGTGCATATTAAAATGGTATCATAACAAGTCACTCATTTGGCAAGATAAAAGATAAATGGTATCCTTTACACAATTGGTTTGATGTAGATATAACAGATAATACACCTGTTATTATATTTGAATAAATGACGTAATAATATAAATATAGCCGTTTAGAAGATAAAATTTGACAAATCTATGCTCGATAACATTTCATTCTTCAGACAAGTAAAGAAAAATGGCGGAAGGTGTTGACGAAGGTATGTGTAACTTTTTGTTCTAAGTACATTTGGCACGTAATTTAGGTAAAAATACAAAATATGTTTTATAAAAGAAAAAAAAAGAAAGAAAACCCAAACATGTTTGGTACGGTGAAACAGAAAGTAGAAGAATTAATTATTAAAGTGAAATGTGACTTTTGAAGTTTAAGATTTAAATGAATATAAATAAATTGTCTTCTTGGAGATTTATTTCTGTGATCAAAATAACGATTAATCGTAATCAGGGAATCCGAGTTGTTCATCATAAGTGCTTAAACAAGTGGTCTAAAATTTAAGATAATTTTGAATAGTCATACAAAAAAATCATGTGAACGGTTGTTCTTTTTTTTTGTATGTGTGTTTTGTGTTTTTTTGATTTTTTTTGTTATAAAGATACACTAATCGTACTATCCCACACCGTTGATAGCTCGATCCCTCAAAGGACAACCATGTGCGGAAGCTATCCAGCTGCCTTTAGGAACATCGATGGTTTGACTTCTGGTACCCGTGGAGGGACATTTAAGGTCTGCCCCCACCAGTCGACATATGATTTTTTACAGTGTTGATATGATTTTAAACCCAACCTTAATTAACCTAACGAATGCAACTAATTAAACTCTATATTTGCTTTGAAATAAGAATTCCTAATAATTTTAAATTAACATATATTATTGATTTATTTAGCTTTGCATACTATTTCATGACTTTTGGAAACATTGATGTAATGTGGATTTATTCTGAGCATAGTTAACTAATATATATTGCTAAATATAAACGCCGTCAAAATGTATTTATCTAGGACATTTAACTACGCACAGCATGAACATGAAACATGATATACTATCATAAAAATAGATAAGACGCGTTTACGCATTAGTGTATTATGTGTGTGTTTAAATCGTTCAAAATATTATTGTAATTGTGATTAAAGCAGCACGCCTCCAGATTCATGTTAATTTTCATGAAAATTTTGGAAATGTATTTAAAAGTAAAATATTGTGAGGTGGCAAACTAAAGTAATTTACATATTGCAATAGGCCAAATCCAAGACAATTACCAAAACGTGATCAACATTATGCAAAAACAGCCGTTACTGCGTTAGTAAGGCGGTAGAAATATGGTGATAAGTCTTAAATCAGTCTTAAAACACCGCCCATAACATGTAAAATATATATTGGATCTTGAATATTTATACCTTTCTTAAAATTTAAATACATTTTCTCTATATTGATTTTCTTAAAATAATTTGGCTTATCCAGCTTTAAGAAAATAAAAGAAAAAAATATACATATGCTTAAATGTAAATTGTTTATTTTTAAACGATTAAAGAACTTTCTGTTTATAGAATCTCATTTTTATGTTCAGATTTTATTAAAGTTTAATCTTAAATTAAGTTCCTTCCAGAAAATTAAGTAAAAAGTCTACAAATTTAACTCAATGTCGTCTCGTGACTAATTAAAAGTAATATATTTATTAAGAATTAGAAATGACACAAAAAATGTATTTTATTTTGTTATATTTAAAAAAGCAGAAGACTTGGAGCTGATGTCTTGTGTTTCTTCATTGTTTAGCGATTTATAACATGTCACAAAATATCATTGTAAATTATGCATTGAAGCCATAGAAACTGGAGATATTTAAATGTAATATATACATAAGGTTTTTATTGTTCATGGGTGTATAGCATAAACATTTCAAACTCATATTCAATATAACTAATATAATATCATTAAAAACAAGAACTAATCAGGCACACTGCACCAATCTAAACAAGTTTAAACTCTATGTGACAGATGTTGCTCATATTCATTTTCCCTTATGTATAGACTCGATCAAACGGAATTTCCAAAACGGGCGGAATTCACAGAACCATTAAATCATTTTTATGTCATTTCTTAATAATATGAACATGATGATACATTTGTTACATTTTTCAACTGTATATTTTTAATGTTTAAAATTTGTATTCGACTAACTAACTTGTCAATATACTCCAGATGATTTTTACCAGAGGGTTGTTGACGCGATTCGAAAAAGGTTTGTTAGTGATGCTTCTCCTATGGAGATTCTTGACGTGCTCCTTGAAAAAGAATTCATCGATCATGACCTGTATAGAGATATAACAGTAAGTAATAAATAAACAATACGAACCAAAACTTATAAATGAAAATGATTCAAGTGACATTATGCCAAAATAAGTTAAAATTTTGATTATACAGTTACAAATCAAAGTAAGTTTATATTTTGCCATATTTACTTCTAATTTCATATAATAACCAAATAACATATAAATTTCGTGTGTGCACAAATTTTATTTGTGCCGTGTGGAGCTGTAAAAAGTCGCCCCGTACATTCAATCAGGGATGTTATATTTCCGATCTTTAAAGATCGTTCAGACGGCATTATTGTTGTGCTTGTGGTATTTAAGGTCCTTCTATTTGGTATCTTTCTTGTTGGGTAGTTCCAGTATTCCTCAATTTAATACTGTTTAATCACCCTTAGGATATGTGGCGTGCTTTTTTAATTTGTCTTTTGACGTCATATCTGTGATATGCAGGCTTCATAACCTCAGATCCCCTTTCAAAATTCCATTTTATTTATTTCTGCCCATTGTTTTCTTGTTTAGGACACACGCATTTTTTTTACTTGGGGACCATATGACGCTATTCATGAAATGGCACTAACGTGTCACATTGAAGGTTCCATGATAACCGCCATATGAGCACATCTGTGGATGTTTCAAAATTCTAAATTTTACCAGTTCAATTCTGATTAACCGGTGCTAGGGGGTGTGGACGGTAGTTTGCACTTGACAATTCCGTTAATGTACTGGCTCAGTTAAACCGAGGCTGCAACATTTTCGATTTGGCCGTGTTGGGCTTTCTATAGGGATTCTTATTTCTCTCTATTTTCTATAAATGTTCTTCAGAATGTATGGGTTACGCTCAGTTGATAAAAGAATCGGGCAGGTTTTATATTTTGGCAGTTTTGGTATTTTATCCTCAACATTTCTAATTATCAATTAATTGGTCAATCACCATTTAAATAAACAAGCTTTTGAAATGTTTTTTTTTCAACTCAGTATGACAACAATGAAATTAACATAATGTAACTTTAAACTTAAAAGAAAATTAAAAAAAATAATTTGGTTCCTAAATTTATAACAACTCTATGAATGTATTTTTCAAATAATATTGTTGGTTCATTGCTTCCGCAGGATCATTCTTTCTCACATTTTTATTAACATTATATCCCAACTGATGCTACCCTACCTGTGTAGTGTAAAAAGTAGCAAATATGTTCTGTGTGTGAAATATTTATACTAGTAACATCACTTGACATATGCTGTTATGAGGGTTAATATCTGAAACGGGAGCAATCTGGAAACAAAATTTAACACTGAAAATGCAGTTATAGTTTATTTTTGTGCATTGTCTCTGTATTTTCAGCCTTCGATCAGTAGGTTAGCTTTCAGTATGAAAAAACTCGAAAGTTAATATATGTCATGATAGGTATATGTCAATCAACACGTTTTATGCTTTCAACTGCCTATAAAATTAATAAATTAGTAGGCATAATTACTTCTGTCAATCAGTACATTTTTAATAATGTTTGACCACCCGATCTTGACAGTCTCGTGGAACCAATGTTTGACAATATTTTGCTGCAGAATAGAGTTTAGGTTTATTACTATGCATTATCAAGAGTCATTTATGTTAGTGCTTTGAAAGTAGTTAATAAAGAAACTTAGTGTTTTGGTAAAGGTGTGGTTTGAGAAGGGTACATTTTGAATTCTACCACCACAACTTAAGTTTTCTTATTATTCTTTGAAAATCGGATTGTCTCAAGTGTCGTTTATTTGTCAGTTACTTATTTTATGCACCCTATTTTCCTCGAATACCATAGGTTATGATTGTTAAAGCTTTGCAGTTTTGACAGGTGCAATAAGATTTTTGGCTATACTGTAACATTGTTAACTTTTCCTGTCGATACAAATAGGCCTCAGTGCAATACATGGCCAAAAGAGAGAAATAAAAAATCCCTAAAGAACGCACAAAGCTCGTTATGCCGTCAGTTGAACTTTAAGTATTGTCTGCTTCAAAAGTTCTTAGTTGACAGTGTTGTAGATCTCCTACCATTCTTTGTACACACCATTTTTCCTAAAAGACAACAAACGAAGTCCATTATTCTGGTGAAATCTAGATTATGTAAGTAATATAATACATAAAAATGTGTCTATGGGCTTCAATCTGTATAATACATTTGCATATCATTCCATTGCTCTAAGAGCGTAATACACTGCTTTCCTAAAACAGGCAACCCAGAAGTGATGCAATAATTTTTCATTATTTTTGCCAAAGAAATTGTTTTGTAATTAAATAGGCGCGTCCAATGCCAAGTGATTAAGTCGTTGAGTTCAAGCAACTTGCCCGTCATAGCTTTGGGTTCAAAGGCGACGTTAAACCCAACAAAAGCAAATGTCATTCATTACATTAAAAACAAAACCTTCTAGTTGATCTTAACATTTTTATGGCAAGACTCCGAAAGTAAAATAAGGCCTGCATTCCACTAGTATTACCTTATGCGCTTAATCAAATATTTTAAGATGTTTCTTGATCGCTATGAAGTAGTTAATTCAAAAAGGCGAATTTCACTGAACGAAACCCAAACAAGCTCCAACATCAAACAATCGAAACGGAACCCAGTACAAAACCAGTGCGTCACCGAGCAAGGGGAGGGTACAAGGACAAAGCAATCTGAGTTTAAGAGTACATAAACTCTGCACATATGTAAGTGAAGGGCTGTTAAGCACAATTTATAAGAATTGAATAATGTCTGCCATTGAATAAGGACTCTATCTAATGTGAAATTTTAAGTAGATATTTGGAAACGAAAATGCTCAACTTATTTTGTTTGAAGTTTGTATAACTGGCATCTTTTGACAGGTTGACTCGCTGGTGTGATGGCATTTTTCTCTAATTCGGGCTATCCCTAATTTTTCATGATTCATCGGAACCACTAATTTCTATGTTTAAATTAAGTGAAACTTCATACCTATCTTTTATATATTAAAGACTGGACAGCTTCTAAATTTTCTAATCAATGTCTTTCATTTATTATCGGACTCAATATAAGAAAAACAGAATCCCTAAGGAAAGGCCAACACGTTAAAATTGAATATGTCGCAGTTTCGGTTCAAGCTATCGTCCACGCCCCCTAGCACCGGCTTAAACAGATTTCAAAATTTAACATGAACTGGTTTAATTTTGAAAATCCGCAGATGTGTTCATATGACGATCATGGTATGTTTAATGTGCCACATTGGTGCCATTTCACGCAAAGTAAAACATGCGTGTACATGTACCTTAAAGTGACAATATGCTCATATTTTCATAGTCAAGTTTAGCTGAACTGACTATATATTTCAAAAGATTTACTATTAAAATGATGATTGACTAACAGTTCATATTGGAAAATATTTAGGATAAAATCTAAATATGTCTAAAATATAAAAAGACTGTCCCACTCTTTTTATGAAATGATCGTTACAGGTATATTCTAGTGGATATTTACGAAAATTTCGTTTGAATCCATGCGTTGTTTATTGTTAAAGTAAAATAAACATTTATATTTTAAATTAAAGATTTTTGGCAAAATGACAATTTATAATGACAAACCCTCGGATGAGCATAATGGCATTTTAAATGAGCAATTAATGGGCGAAACTAAATGAAATTGATTTTTAATCAGCGGTTATCAAGTCTTGTCTGGAGACATTAATTCTAAATTATACTAATAATTCTAAATAGTATTTTGAAATACTCCACTCTTATAAGAATAAGATTCTCCATTTTATGAGGGCTGATTATGACACCAATATTAAAATCTCATTGCAGGAACTGACACTTACATAAAAAAAAAATCAAAAAATCATAGAAACAGTACGTTCAAAAGGAAAAACAGGTTACGTACTTTTTAAAAAATATCTAAGAAACAATTATCATGAACACATTGTGGACTACATGGAACAGAAAGAGAAAGAAGTGAAACCGAAGGTGAAAAAAGGTTTGTATTTAAAAGTTCTTAAAAAAAATTTGTATCGGTTTAAGTAAAAATTTAGGTAAAAGGATTTTTATATTTACAACATTAAGTGTTGTGTTGCGCGTACTTAAGTGCTGCTATACGTTGCTGGTCTTTCGGGATTACTGTAATTTCAATATTCAAATTAGTGTTTATCAATATTTTTTATTTGTATATATATTTTTGTTTTCAGAAAGAATACAAAAACCTAAAATTACTGGACAAATTTCCGATAAAGATATCGTAGTTCTAGCAAATGCCATAGGAACAAACTGGGAATTGTTGGGCCCATTTCTAGGTCTGTCAAACGTAGAAATTGGACATTTGAAGATGGACAAAATCTCGGTAGAGGTTCAAATTAGCCATATGCTTCAAAAATGGAAGCAACGTACAAGAGACCCAAGTTGGGAAGAATTGTTTTCAATTCTAAGTAAAGTACCATCAGTACAGGTTGACTATGATATGATCAACATGCACAGTAAGCTTTTATCTTGGGTATTCACACATGACATTGGTAGTACAGAGATATACAAGGGCTGCTTGATAAATTCGTGGAATTGTATTATTTCTTAAACATTAAAAGTAAAACTAACAAATAAATTACACCACGATATACCTTTACTTTACTCTAGACTGACATAAAGCCAAATAAATCATTAGAATATATTGAACAAGAGGGCCATAATGGCCCTGAGTCAGTCACTAGAAAAAAACAACTGCTTTTCAGTGTTGGAAATTATCAATTGTCTATAGTTTCTAATATTAAATTTGAGCATAGAATATGTTTAAACAATAATTTGAAGAAATGTCATGACCTTGGGCATTTAAGCTTTAGCTTAAACGGGCCAATCAAATTAATATGAGCAAACTTGATAAAAGACTAAGACCGCTCATGTCATTTATACACAAATGTCTTTCCACCAGTAGTCAATGTCTCCGAATTTTCTAACTTTTTAAGAGTTTCACTCGGTGAAAGTTTCAGTCCCACACAAAATTTGAAGACAGTGTCATCTGCTGTTGTAATTCGCCGTTCGGTAGACATCGAGGTTAACTCTGCCGCGAAATTTACAGGAAATGACGTCAAGACGTCACACTAACGTGTCACGCGTTAGCGCAAAATTTGCTTTAATTTTCTTCCCGCAGTGACATTTATACTGTATCATTTATACTTTAAAATACAGCGTGCTTTAAGTCACTGGACAGTGGTTGCTATGGACACGGTGTATTCGTAGGAAAATTTTGATATATATATGGCACTATAGAACTGTAATTGCAAACATTTTGGTTTACCTCTATTTGAGTTTTCATTTTATTCAATAAAGTAATTTGGTTTTTAGAGGATAATTCCAAGAATTTATCAATCATCCCTCGTATGTCCTGATTTTGTCATTTTTGGCGTTAAATAGGTCATTTAACTTCTAAACAGGTGACAATATATTATATACCGGTATATGAATATCTCGTCCTAAAGGAAAAGTTACATTATTTACTTAGTGTATAAATAAATGAAAGAAGAATGTAAATTTATTTTACTTAATATTATATGAAAACTTATGTTGATATTTAAAAAAAACTGAAACATGATCGAAATGTGTGTCTTTCTTTTCATTCCAATCAGAGTTAGAACAAGACAGAATACCAGATTCGAGGTAATTTTCATTAGAATTACATTACTCATACACGTTTGCCTATTCTGTATTTCTTTTTTTAAAAAGTGTTTGATTCTTTCACTAAATATAATTTTCCATAACATATATGCATTATTGAAATTTATTAGTAATAGAAGTTAACTTTAAGTTGGTGTTGTACATTATCGACAACCGATTTAATTGAATTACATATGTTTTGAATTGATGCAATAAAATCTTGATTACAAAAAAAACATATTTAACTTGCATACCATAGAGATGACTCGGCACCAGAGTTGCAGAAACCAGTACAAACATTGAAATACCCATCATCAGAGCAAGCACAAAAGAGAGAAATGAAAGTAGATCGTATAGGAATTAAGACTCAGCATATGGGTCAAAGTATCATTGACGAGAACAAACATATTAGTAAGGAAGCTAAAGCAAGAGATGTGGTCGATGCTGAAACGTTCGAAAACAAACCAGCTACATCATCAAATCATGCGATATCTAAACCTGTTCAAGAGACAGAAAACGGCAAACAATTTGAAACAGATTTAGGACCTTTTCATATAACGATTTCGCCAAGCAAGGCTGAAAGTAGCTCAAAGACACATACGGATAGTCAAATAAATAACTTGAAATCAAGTCATTGTGAGAGACACTTTGAAGAATCTTCCAACATCAAAGAATCTGCTTTAACAAAGTTAAGAGGTTTTCAATCCAAATTTTCCGATTCGCGCAGACAATGTTCTCATGATGGAAGAATTATTGTTTATAATAAGGAATACTTTCATTTGATAGAGCAATGTTGTAACGAGACAATTAAGGGTGCATTCGGTATCGTTTATGTATGTAAGTATAGCTGTTGCATATAATGTAAAATATCGTTATCATAGAATATAAAATATCATTATCTTTTGTCGCAAAGACATTGCAAATGAACTAATTAGCCAATTTCAATTTAAGATGTTAGTATAGACAATTATTGGTCATATGAATTTGATAAGAATCCTTTCTTTATTTTCTATGAATGTTGAAAATAAGCAATATGTTAATTTTAGCTGACGAGACGATACCAGATTTTGAAATTAAAGTAGCAGTTAAAAAAATAATATGCAATGATGAAAAAGATGACAAAAAGCGCAATCACTATGATAGATCTACTACAAATGTAAGTACGGTTCCCTATATTTTTCATGAGTTGATGTTACGACGTTAATAATCCTTATTAAAATAATAGTACCATTTGTTTTTATTTCAACTATATATCTCATGGATTTAACTATGTTCTTCTTATCATATCTTGTCTGGAAACATTTTTTACAAGTCTTTATCATTATATTACATAGGAAAAGTTAGCTTCAAGATTGATGCATTTTGCCATTGTTCCCATATTAGGTATGGGATCAGATAAAGGGTAAGTGTCGGTTTTCTTATTGCCCATAACTCAAACCAGTTTTGCATTGCAAAAAGAATGACAAACAGGATTTTTAAAGAAAGTGAAATTGCTATTCTGAAAATTTTAGAATATTATCATTTAAATATTAATATATTGCATCATTTCTATGTTAAATGAACTTCAATGATAACTACGTAAACTATTAAGAGGAGAATACGTGTTTTAAATTAGCAGACTAATTGGTTATATTCATTTTATTGTATCAAATCCCTTTAAGAATGTATTGGTTTCTGTGCCCCCGTCTTGACAAAGGTGATCTTTTCGTTTTAATTGGACGTGACACAAAGCGAATGGATGATAAATTACAAAATGATATCGAGCTCAACCGCCAAAGACGACTTAGGATACTCTACCACATTTGTGCAGCAGTCGATTTCCTTCACACGGAAATTAAAAATTTTAGGTATGAAGTATTTTAACGTTCAGTTTATAGCTCATCTAAACACACACGTAGAACACAAAATGGGCGCGATTTAACGAAACACTTGTCATTTTTTACAAGCGTAACACTAAGAAACAACTATGTTACGCGTGTAAATTCAGTAACATTTGTAACAAATTCATTTGAATTTCCTCCCTTGCATATCAGGTTAGAAATTGTGACTTGGCTGTGTCCGTCGTCAATCTTAACTTCAGTTTAAACAAAATGTTATATATGCTACATATAAAAAGTATATAATTTTGCAAATAAAACAATTTTCAAATACAAAGAATATGTAAAATGTGTACTGCAAAAAATTGTGTACATTATATTTAATCAACAAATTACATGCATTTATTTCTTATTGGAAAATTTGACTTAAAATATATAGAAAATAAAGTTCTAATTACCTCCCTTTATTTACATGAACTGTTAAATTGGGTAATATTTTTATAAATAATGCTTATTTGAACTTACAATATTGACAAATCTTAATTTGAGCATCATATTTATGAAATAAAACCATGAATAAATTGCGTTACAGGATCTTTAAACATTGTCCGGTGGACCTCAACAAGTTTGTTTATATTGCCCAATCCAAGCTTAGCAAAAACCAACAACGCTATAATTAGATATTTGTCATAAAAAATGCTAGTGGTCCTCTACCAAGTTTGTTCAAGTTATAGCCTTGGGGTCTAAATTTGCCCAGTAAGGGGTTACTGGTTGTCTTTACGTGCAAACATTGAAAAGCTCGATCTCCTAAGGCTTAGATATTTAGTATGAACTTCGTTTAAAGTGATAATCCTGTCCGTGCTCTGCCTGTGCCATGTCCTGTATTTGTTTGGGGTCCTCCTGGGATCCTTGCCGCTGGTTCTTGTTGCTGGGTCGTTTGGGGTTTCCTTCATTGAACACCGCCTTTCCTTGTTGATCTTGTTAATCATATATTTTACTTTATTCAAGTAAAAACTTGAAGGTTTGACCTTGCCCCACGCAGGGTCATGGATTTTCTGTCAATGTTTTTATTAAAAAGTTGGGTAAAATTTTTCTTCACTAAAACTACAAGGCTAAGGTAAGATATACATGTATTGCATTAAACATTTTGTAGTATATATCTGCCAGGTTTGTAGAATTATTGCCTTGGGTCAAAATTGGCCAAACTCAAAACGGATTAAGGGTAATGGGTTTTCCTTAAATGTTATATAGTTAAACTTGATAAAGATCTTCTTTCTCTAGAGTTTCACTTCAAAGATAGCCTTGGGGTTAAAATTTGCCCTGCATTGGGGATAATTTGTTGTTTAACAGGTATATAAGAACATCGAAAAGATGTCAGTGACTTGAACCCGGGGCTTAAATATCTCCATGTTCACGTTCCATAGTAATAATTGTATTTCATAACAACTATTGATTTCCATAGCAATCATATAATATTGACTTTCCAAAGCTATCAATGTCTTACTATAGCAGCAAATGACTTATCATAGCAACAAGTGATTCCCATAGCTACCATTAACATCCAAGAGAAACAAGGGAATCAACCATTTACTTCCAGAACATCCACTTACTTCCATAGCAATCATTGATTTTTTATAGGAAAGTAGTTGTTTCTATTGATTTTCCTCAGCAAAAGCAACCAGTTACGTTTTTAAGGGTGTACTATTCAAAATGCAGATGCGAACAATCTGTAATATGTAAACAATAATTATTGTCAGGTGAATGATATTAAGGCTATAGTTTGGTACTTGATTTGATTTTTGAGCCAGTTTTATATCATTTGCAAAATAGTCATTGCATTTACATGCATTCATTTAATTCAAATTTTCTTAAAATTCACTTTGACACCTATTGGAAGAGCTGCATTAGATAATATTATATATATCAACTATTAAACATTTATTTTTTTTGTTCTTAGGGGAGCAATTATCCATTTAGATGTCAAATCAAGCAACGTCGTCCTTGATCGATTCTATAATGCAAGACTTACAGATTTTGGGGTTGCAAGGGAAACTGCTGGAAATAATACATCTATCCATACATCTGTTTCTGCAATACCTATCACGGATGGGTATTTTAACCCACCGACATTTGATAAACTTGAAAAATATTTTGATTATTTTAATGTCGGTGTAGGTAAGTATTATAGTTTGAAATATATCTCAAAGTATAAAAGATAGCAATAGCTCTTTAAAAAGCTGTTTACATGCCAACATACGAAATGCTTTGCATAAAACTTCACAACATAATTAAAAGAAAGAAACTGATAACTAAAACTTGAATCTTCATTTAATGATAAAATATGTTTATTTAATCACAAGGCAAACTTTATATACATTTATAACTTGAGCTTATTATAGATCACCTTAAATGTAGTGAAATGTCCTTTCTGAAATAAGACTGAATTTAATTTCTAAATTTTAGTGTTTATAATATGAAAAAAATAATGATGTAAGAGTAAATGATTCAAATTTTGCTTTTGTCTTTTTTATAGTTACAAGAGAATTATTGACTGGAAAACAGCCATCCTTTGAGTCAGGAGCTAAGGAAATGTACCTCAAAGACCTTGATGATTCTGAACTTGAGCACTGCTACATTCAAGTAAGAGCGATTTGTAAAGTAATATAAACATGTATGTAGGGTAATCGGAACCGCCTTATCAAAGTCCTTTATTTTGCAATGTTTTAAAACAATAAAAAATTATATAGATTTTTAAAAATATTCCTATCCTTATAAACAACATGGCTTAATCTGTTTTCTTAATGGTTTGACATTTAACCAGACCCTGCCATGAAAAAGTTGTTATCCGAACATTAATATGTTAAGACCTTATCTTGCTAAAAGAAAACAAGAATGAAATATGTTTATATTTTGTAAATTTTAGTTCTAGTGAATGTTTGAAAATAAGATACAATTTTATATTTAAATTCTAATGTCTCCAGATCAAACTTTGTGCTAAATATAGTCGCTTAAGAAGCAGAAGCTATGGAGCGTGCTGAACTTATTCATTATCACTTATGATTTTTTGCTTTTTTACCCATTTTCCAGATTCAATATGAGTTATCATTTATGAAATTAATCTGCTTGTTGAATTCCTCATTCATCGTTCAAATTTAAAACATTAGAGACAAGAGGGCAATGTATTGATCTTGAAACTCAGTTTCTTGTCAATATTAATTATTTTAAATGTTCTCCTTTCTTTCTTGGCGGAACTGTTTTAAAATTCAAATCTTATTTTATTCAATTTTAAAGTATAACGCTTATTTATAAGAATTTGTCTATGTCATCGAATATTTAAGGTTTTCAAAACACTATAACCTCATGCGCTGGTCATATTCCGTATCATTATAATCGTAAACCAAGAACGAATGCTAACATAAATATTTTAGTGTTGGAACTATTTTATTTGAAATTGTTAAATATGAAAAGGACGAATTGTCTGTGATGCATGCGCTACTGTGCATTGATAGGTCACAAAGTGCATAGTGTGAATAGAATATCACAAAGTAAAAGCACAATTTACTTAGGTAAAAATTACAGTTTTGTCCTTTATATGAAGGGCAAACATTTGATTTATAAATGTTTAAATAATGGTTTTAGAACATGCTAGGTGCTTGTCACCTTGAGAAAAAAACTATGGAGGCAAAACATGGTTCAGGTAATATGCCAATAAATAATGTTTAGGACCAAAATTAAAAAGGGCCTTTAAAATAGTAAAGCTATTACAACGTATTTTCTTATCTTTTGACAGGAAGATATTTGGAACGATGGCGATGAGTTATGTGATCCTGCTTTCGCACTTATAGCTTTTTCGCAAAAATGTATTGAAAGTGCATCTACTTCAAGTGAATTAAAAAAGGAAGAACAACTAACTTCTAAGCAGATTCTAACAGAAACACAGGTTGGATTTTATGAACTTTGATTCCATGTCATAAGTAGCAAGTTCATTTCAGTTACACAATAATTATATTGATATAATACTTAGTTGCATAAATTTGTCTTTACATAACAATTATTATTCTACTTAAAGATAAATTCATGAACAGAAACGTAGTGACTTGTCTATAAAGTATCTAAATATTAAATAAAAAGTTCATTGTATTGGGAAAAATTAATTATTCTTATTGCCATAATAGTGTGACAGATTTTCTAGAAGTGGTGTGTGCGAATATATATTCTAAAATTGATCAATTCTGAGAATAGTGTGTATAAATAGTTTCACACTACTTAAAGCCTTTGCATTAATTCAATTGAAGATGGTGTGCAAAAAGTAAAACTAAAACGTTTAACCTACTACGCGATATACACGCCTTTTGACGCCTTTTTCACCCCCAACCCCCTTTTGTTGTCTCAAATGGTGAAAAAATGATTCAGGCCCCCAACACTTGTTTTTGTTTGAGAAATGTTGTTTAAAAAATGACCACTTTTTCGGCGCGGTCCCCAACCAAAAGATACATCATTGGGTTGCCAGAAGGGGGATGTGCCCCCTTTTGTTTGGGGGGTTCGAAGAGGGCGGAGTCCCCCTCATCGCCAAGAAATTTTTGGACTTGTGAGAGGCTATAAATGACCCCAGATTGATCATAAGGTAACGTGTAACAAACGTTGAAAAGCATTTGACTATATCTCAATCCATTGAGATATTGCAGCACTTTGAAATCAATTTTGATGGAAAAAATCAACGCAAAATAGTAATTTTTGGCACTTTTGAGATGTCCGCTCGTTGCCATGGTAACAGAAAATTTAAGCCTGAGCATGTTGTTGCAAGGGCAATGGTCCAGTCAACATTTGTGTCAAGTTTGATTAGTGTTGAAGCAGTTTTTATAGTATTATAGCAATTTGAACTTGTAACCGGAGACTTTTCAATGAAAACAGCCATTTCATGAAGTAATGGGTTAAGAGCTAAAGACTGCCTTTCACCCTGCAAGATTGAATGAGGCGACTTAACTGGTTCGAATTATTAGTCTATGCATCACTTAGCTCCAGAAGGTGAGGTACATTATTTTTGACACCTGGTGTTGCTTAAAGTTTGTAGCATCCGAGATTAGCCAAATCTTTGGACGCACTACTTTTTATTTAATATTTACTCCATAATACATTTTATCATCCATTTAGGACCTTATAGGAAAATATTGTGAGGGAATTGCATGGGATCGCCCAAATGACAGCACACTGTATGGGGACAAGAAAAATTGTGAGATGTGTATGGTCAATCCCTCAGGTATTTTGTGAATTAAAAATGTTCGCACGAGACATTTTTGTGCTTTTTTGCAAAAAGTATTGTCAAACATTTTAGTAAAAGATGTAAGATATTTACATAATCATATGGAATTTTGTCACATAACTATGTGCCGGAGTTAAATCATTATATTGAATAATATATTTACTTTGTTTCTCGTGGTAAGATTTCACTTTTAAATAGTTTCTGTATTAATTTCTAAGTTAATCAAAAGAAACGCATATTTGTAAATGGTTTAAATGTTTTTTGTCTACAAACCACTGTTGCTGTTGAAAAAGATATATTTTATTAACATTTGATGCTAACATAGAAAACGTAGAACAATATTATCTTTGTGAGTGTGTGTTTGTTATTTTTTTTCTTTCTTGATTCTTTTCTTCAAATTACTATGTTTAACAATATCTGTTTGCAGTACCAAATGATCTCCTGGCTCATAAAGGATGTAATCAGCATCTAAAGGTCTGTGTTTCATGTATGAGGAATTCATACCTGAATCCACTGCATTGTCATTCCTGTTTTCAGGAAATAGATCCAATTATAGGTAATGTGATACTGTCAGAATAAGTATACAGTTATATCTGATGGTTACTATTTATATTTACAACGAGTTAATATATTGCTTACAGTGATACGCTGTTTTAATGAGTAGTTTTTTATGACCCCCCAAGGGAAAACATATAGTAGCTGCCTTGTCCGTCTGCCTGTTTGCCATATGTCCGTCTGATATCCATTTCTGTCCGGAGCATAACTTTTAAAACCCTTGGAAATAATTTGTTTCAACTGCACACAGTGGTGGAAAGCATTGAGGTGGAGTGCAGTGCCAAGGAACCATTACTCTTTTTTGTCCCGTTTTTGTTTGAATTCTCTCCCCTTTTAGAAAAAATATTGTCCGGATCATTACACATAATTTTTTTTAAACTGCACACTGGTGATGGGCATTGAGGCGGAGTGTAGGACTAAAGAATTATAACTCTGTTTTGCTCCGTTTTTTTAAATATCTCCCCTATTAGAAAAAAGTCTCCTTTCCGGAGCATAACATGAAAGCCCTTGGAGATAATTTGCTTAAACTCAACACATTGGTAAAGTGTATTGAGGCAGAGTGAAGCGCCAAAGAAATAAAACTCTTTCGCCAGTTTTTAAATTATATACCCTTTAAGAAAAATCTTGTCCGGAGCATAACCTGAAAAATTTTGTTTCACTTTTAACTTTGTCAGGAATATAGCTCTTAAACCATATGAATTATCAACAAGAAAATATGTAGGTATATAAATCCTATCAAATAAAAGAGCAATGTGAAAGAACCGTAACACTCTGCTTTGTCTAAGTTTCGAGTTATTGCCCTTTGTTCATATTTACACTCCGAACTTTGTCCGGGACATAACTCTAATACTGTAACAGATACAAACACGAAAATTTGTGGGAAGATAGATCTCATTTGGTAGATGAGCAATATAAAACAAACGTAACTCTGCCTTCTTTAATTTTAGAGTGATTGCCCTTTGTTCATTTTACACTTGACCATTGTACAGGACATAGCTCTGAAAGTATAAGAGATATTTATAGGACACTAGGAAGATAGATCTTTTTAGATAGATGTGCGGTGCAAAAGAACCATAACTCTGCCTTGCGTAATTTTGAAGTTATTGTCCTTTGTTCATTTTTACACTTTCAACTTTTTCCAAGACATAACTCTGACACTATAAGAGATATGAACAAGAAACTTTGTAGATGGATTGATCTCATTTGGGAGATGAGCAATCGTAACACTGAATTGCCTAATGTTTCGATTTATTGCCCTTTGTTCATTTTTCGCTTTGAAACTTTGTCCGGTACATAACTCTGAAACTATAAGCGATATACCATAAAACTTTGTGGGTAAATAAATCTCATTGCGTCAAAAAAACGGTAACTCTGACTTGCTATTTTTAGAGTATTTGCTGTTTTTTTTTTTTTTTCAATTTTACACTGTGAACTTTGTCCGGGACATGACTGTATCAACAAGAAACTAAGTCAGACATAGATCTCATTTAGCAGGAGTGCAGTGCAAAGAACAGTAACTCTGCTTTGCCTATTCTGTAATTTTTGCACTTTGAACTTTGTCCGGGATATAACTCTGAAACTACAAAAGTACTGCTCTGTGTCCAAACATATTCGGGGAGCATCACCCGGTTCAAACAGGCTTTGTTAAATCTGTTGCTGTTTGCATTTTTGGATAAACTAAATCTACATGTTAATCTTAAATTGTTAAGCTTGTAAATATTTTATGAACATGCGAGTTCTGGGAGAAACGTCAGTTTAGGGAAAGCACTCTCGGAGTGTGTAGCGTTTATTTTTTAGAGGAAAGATTATTGTTGTTTTAAGTTTTGTTACTTTGTTTAAGTTGGTTGAATTAAATTGTGGTTATCTTAATTGATCAGGGATCATTGGTTGTATTTAGTTATTTAGTTGTTTTGGTTGAGTTGTATAAATTGATTTTTGTTTTGTCATTGTTCTCATATTTGATGCTTCGGTTTTGAGGACATCTGTAAATATTTGTCGTTGTGGTTTAAGATGTTTTCTGATGCTAATAAGATTTTAGGAATATTTTTTGTAGATTGTTTGTGGTTTATACACTATCTTAAATTTGTAAAATAATTCACTTTGGGTTCTTTATTTTGTGAAAATTTTATTGTTTTGTTTGACCACGAGTTGTTAAGGGCTTGGGCTTGCCAGGTGTTTAATATTGTTTCGTATGAAAGACGTTTTAGAGAAAAGATATTTTGTATCAGTGGTTAATGAATGATGTGTGTTTGTTTTGGGTGAAAATAATGATAATTTTTTTTTTCAATGTATAAATAGATAGAAAAAGATAGAAAAATTACCTATTAATAGTTTTAACTAAACAATTCCTTGCTAGTTATCTATCTGAGAATATTTCAATTATAAAAATCAAGCGTAGCTGTTCGGCTTTCATAACTCAGCATCTTTATAGCGGTTATAATTGTATTTCTAAATCCTTCCTTGGCTTAAATAACATCAAAGCTTATCATTCTATTGACAGATACAAGTAGAACAAGAATTGACTGAAATATTAAATTTGCTCATTTAATTCACGTTACAAAATTCGTTTCTGTATGTTATTGGCGTCCGCGCCGAAGCGCGGCGCCTATTGGAATGAAATGAGATTTTGTGAAAGGGCGACAGCAACTTCTCGAGCCTTTTATAGTTGCCAATAATAAAAGCCGATCACCCCGATCGGTATGAGGGTGCTTGATTATAAATAAGTCGCGATAGGTACAATGAATGGCGAACTGGAGAATTTCGCAATGCAAACATTTTCAAATTAAATAACCTTTTCCGTCAATAAATCGCGCTCTTCGGGGTATTTTTGCTTATCATTTTGTAGTAACACAGCTGGGTTATTATGGTATGTTATTCCGAAAGCTGTTAATAGAATGATGAGTTGATGACCTAAATATTCCGAAAATCTATTTATAGAGGGATGTACTCCTATTGGTAATTCCCGGTCTCTCCCGGGATTTACTAATGACCGGCGAATAAGTACCACACGTTTATTGTCCGGTCTCTCCCGGTTTTGGAGTAGATGTTTTGATATCGTTACAGAACAGAACAAATATTTTACAGATAAATAAGCTTTTTTTTCAAAAATGAATGTTTGTCACTTAGTTTTAGGTTACAATAATAATAAACACAGATCAACTCTCGAATTGATTGAATTATTATCATACATAAACATACAATTCGAAAAAAAAAAACCAACAACACAAATCGCATGTTTTTATTTTTATCTATATGAGATAAAAACAATAAATATGTACAATAATTGAGAAAAAATGTACATTTTTATGGCATTAATATGACACTATCAACTTTAAAACATTTTATTTTAATTTGTTATTCGTGTTTAGTAAATATTCCGAGGAATTATTCAAAGTTACAAATCAGATTTTATGAATTATTCAATTGATTGATAATTTAAAAAATGATAAAGAAAAATACAAATGTACATGTATATGGTTTAAGAATAAACAATATTATATATTGAAAGATTAACCATGATATACTGACTTTTTCCAGTTAAGTTTTTGACTTATAACGTCGATCATTATGACAATTGAATTTCTTAAAATAGTAGTAAACGTAAAAACTCAGTATTAAAATAGCGCATAAAAACAACACACAAAAAGAAAGAAAACAATATTCATAAAATCTGTATTTTTTTTTATTAAAATAGAATTTACATTTATTGAATAATAAACAATTATGCTCAACATGATCAACATGGTAATAATAACAAGTGTCATATTGTTACTTAGTGTGAACAGATACCTTAAGAGGGGGTCCTTGCTAATAGCGATAACATAATAAGGGACAATTACACAAGTATGGTGTTGATCATGCGTTACACATATGGATTATAAATGATTGTATACATGTATATCCGTTGCTATTAATAACCACGATCATAAAGAAATAACAAGTAATATTCTAATTTCTAGCATGCCGATCAAAGTTATATAAATAATGAACAATGTCTTTCGTCCGTTCATTCAAAAGTGATATACAATTCTGGTAAAACCCAATGAACCATTGAAAAGTTTATAAGAATATCTTGTCATCATATATCTACTAGTTCATCTGCACCTGCTGTTTGGACACCCTTTGATGCTTTGCATCAATGCTTTTCTTGTGTATATGTTGTTTTATAGTTTATTTAAGTGAAACATGATAATTGTATATTACAAGTTATGAAGTGGCTAATCATTTCCTTTGCAATCAAGAAATTTTACGCTCAAATACGATCGAGGGCATTACATATTTCTTTGATTTAAAGATTAATGATGCATTTCCATAAAATATAAAGAAACTGACAATATGTATAATTATCAAGTAAATCTGATTATTTGTGAATAGTTGATGATATATATTATATATTAATTTACTGTTTTTCTCTTTACTGAATCTTTAAAAATGTATGTTCAATAACTTATAGGATCAAAGTGGGGAGCTGTGCTTGTAGCTGGTCACTATGATGACAAAACATTATCAGACTCGTGCATGCAAGACGTAAAAGACGTGGAAAAAGTCATCATCTCTAAATGGCCATTAGTTATGGGCATTAAGTAATATAAACCTTTTTAATCCGACCATTTGTTAATGAAGATACTCATATTTATCTTTAATTACAAGATATTTTTAATGTCATTGACATAAAAAACTGCACAATGATGATTGGCCTTTTTAGAACATTTACTTGTAGAAAAATAACTACACGCGTCAAGACTTATTTCATAAATATTCAGTATCAAACAAGAATTTGTTCAATGTTTGCATTATTTCAGAGACGAATATGTGAAAACGATTCAGTCTTCACTACACAACTATGAAGACATCAGAAGTCAAATTCAGAATGCATTCAGTGCCCATATTAGAGCTGGTTTGAGTACCATTTTATTTTATTATACTGGACATTACACAAAAGAAAATGGTTTTGTCTTGAATAGTAGCAACGAGGAGACACAATCTGAAACAAGAAATCAGTTCATGTCGCTGGCAGAATTTAAAGACATACTTCGATCATTTTCAAAAGGAGGGTTGGATGAATCAGAGAAAAGTGGATTGAGAAGATTGATAATCGTTCTTGATTGCCCAGAAGCACCTTTGTTGTGCTCTGACGAATCTCGTCTTTTCGAAGATATGAATTTGGTTCAGTTGAATTCCTGTCAATCTGATCAAAAGGCAGTTTCTTCAAGAAGATTTTTCAATAAAGCTTTCATCCAAGGATTAACGATAAAATCTACTAAAGAGGAGTGCTTCTTGATGACAGATCATGGAATTACTTGTGAAATTTGCCCCATTAATGGTGACGATTTTATCACTTTTGGGAACTTACAAACTTACATTTATAGACATATGAAGGCGTTGGGTGACGAAAACGTAACCGAACCTGTGCTGTACGCAAGCAAATACGATTGGATTGGCTATTTAATACACACGGATAATAAAATAAAGTTCAAAATAGCAAATGATGGAAAGCAGAAGGATTATACAATATCTTGTAATTTCTTCACGAACATCAATCAATTAAAGGAAGCCTTATTTGACGAGTTCATAGGTATATTAAAATAACTTAATACATTTTTTGTTTCTTTATGTTGATTGATGTGAGTTCGCGTTTAAGTGTATGTTAGTATATAAATAACACATGGGTTTGTGGGTAACAGTAAAATATCATCCCGAGGAAAATAATGTAAAAACGAAATGTTAGCCGATGCTAACACTATTTTTACGAAGGATGATATTTATACGGTGACCCACAAATCCATGCGTTATTTCTTTATAACCTAGAGCAATTGCTATGATGGTCTGAAAATTTCAACTCAATCTACCTGTAACCAAAAATATCAATAACTCATATATCCTTACACGCGAAATACTTGCGTTAACAGTATGAATAACTCCCAGTGGCATATAAGAAATAAACTTAACAAGCCAATGAAGGATGATAATGATTATTATTTTAGTATGTGCCTGCGCACCCGTGAATGTGTATGCAGATGATTTGCTTTCTAAAATATGTAAGTGTCTCAACGAATATTTGTGTTTTTTTTTCATTTCTAGCAACGTTTAAACTCGACAAAGATGTCGGGGGAATTTTGCAACTAGACGCCAAACGCTACGCTGATATTCTTCGACTCGTTATTCAAACAGGACCAAAATCTATGCACAAAAAGGACCTAAATAATCTGGAGCAGGTGATGTCTGCATGGAACGGAAAAAGAGATTTGTTTGTAGAATTGAGGAAAGTCGAAAATATAGAGCATGGGATGGTAGGAGTGTTCAAAAAAGATCAAGAGGAACCGTTATTTTCTTATGTCAATGACTGGGAGCACGGGCTGGTTTGTGATTATTGAACATACGATATGTAGAAAATAACTCACTAAGAAAACTTACTTTTAAATGATACACGCAAAAATCTAAGTTTTAAATTCTTCATCAATCCCAGCATACTATTTTAAAAAAAATAAAAATTGAATATATTTATAAAAATTATTTTTACAAGGTGGTATTAATCAAATGTTTACCTTGTATATTCTAACTTAAAATTTAAGCCTTCTTTAATCCTTCGTACTAAAGAAGTACTTTGAGGAAAAAATAACTGCCGTCAGTTGACCGCTTACCGCCGTTAAAGAAGGGCTTGCAATATCGTTCTAGACTACCACTTTTGGATAAGATCTTTTACAATATTTCAAAGATAGTTAAAAGTAAATTTAAACATGGTCATGCAGGACCATTTTGCTTTGATATTTGCACTCATTATATCAGTTGTAAATTTTAATGGGTTTCTCGATTCGATGTATATGTGTTCATATTCATATTTAAAAAAAGTCATCTAAGTAATGTTATAGAGGTTGAAGGCTGAGATCAATAAAAAAAATGTTCCAAGTCATCAAAGCCGGAGTTGACATATTTGAGTGAATTCTAGTTACATAAATAACGTCATTAGATAAGAAAATCGTTTAACTCTTTTTTTAAAACTTTTAAAATCCAAATGTAATTATCTCGAGTTAAGGTTTTGTCTGAATTACGTTAAGATAAAAGTAACAATTATTTAAGTACGGTTAAAACTCTGGTCATATGTTCTATTCAAATACAACTCTAGCAATCATTATTGATTTTAGAACAGAGGAAATACTTATATTCAATGTTTTTTTCATTTAAAAATTTGCGTGTGACCTGCCGTAAAGCAGTTTTGCATGCTGTTACAACTCGTCGAAAACAGATTTAATTACAGCCTAGTCTACAGTGGCACTCCTGTATGTTAAGAACTAATGTTCATTCATAATAGCTTTACTATCTATTGCGTATTTTATTGTGTAGTTTGAACAATAATATCCGTCCAAAATGTTTGATTTGGGGTTTCTTTTACGTTTGTATGCATTTAAAGTCAGTTTCATTCTTGTATATACGCTATATACTTTTTAAAGATTTAAACCTGCTTTAAAAGATTCTACTTATACATTAAGCTCAAACGCTTTGAATCGTTTAAAATTTTTTTCAGGATGTGACAGACTACCAATATGTTTACAAAATGGATATCAAAAGCTTTTTGAAGCAAAAGAAACCTGGTTTTCAACAAATGAAACAAGCTCTTGCATCATTAATCAAAGCAAGGGTATTTATTATGTATTTACTCTTACATAAAAATGTTTTTCAGTCTTGTGAAGTACGAAAAAGACCCCTATTTAAGAATAAGAATTCTTTTTTAATAATGTAAAATTGGAAGGGGATACTGAATTTGCATTGTCTGTTTGTCTTTCATTCCTTTAAACTGTTCGTATGATACCATCATTTAGAAATGGTAAGACCAATTGTTCTAAATTTGTCCTGGAATGTTTATGGATAGGCAATTAGGCTCATTAAGTTTCATTAAATTTCACTGAGCTTATCAATATGATTTTTTCAATTACTATTCCTTTACTTTTTGTCGAAATAAGTAAACCAAAGAAACAATGTAGCCTGAAAGTGCGGTCACTGGCGTACAGGTAGTTAATAGTCCCGCACTATAGTTAAAGGTCCTGCGTATTTATTGGTATACAATTTAACTCGGACACACTTTCAATTAAAACATGATCTCCTCTCTAACTATAATACAATAATAAAACTATGTTTATTCATGGTCTCGGGTCAAATAAAAAAAGGGAATTAATTTGCATCCTTTATAACTTGAACCCTACAACTGTAATAACTTTTAATAAATGCCCAAATGACATAACACAATAATAGCTTTGTGTCACAATTATTCCCCGTTTTTGTGTTAAAAGGTCTTGTGTTGAGTTATGGTCAACAGCTTTCATTAAACGATTCTGCAATATGATTTCACAAATATGCACTTTTGAAGACAATGTGTCATTTCAAGGACACAAACATGTTTAAAAGGTCAGTGTCACACCTAATAGTAAAATATCTTACAAGGTCTATATATTTTTTCTATGAAATAATTCCAGTAAATACGCGATTCCAGTAAAACTTAAAATACAAATGTTCTTTTATACATCTGTTGAGATAATTTCCTGACAGTTATATCTGTATTCTGAACGGGTAATCTTTAGGTCCTTCTATTCGAACATTTTCTAAACGAGTGGTTCCAGTATTTCTCTTGAATACTGTAACACAACCATTTGGATATATTGCCTGCTTTAAATTTGTGTTTTAGCGTCTTTTTATGATATGCAGGCTTTATAACCTCTGACACCATTTTAAAGTTCTTTCTTTAAATGTTTATTTAGTTCTGCCCATTATTCTGTAGTTGGCAAAAGTGACAAACGCATTCGTTTACTTGAAAACTTTACGCATGTTTTCATAGAATGACACAACATATTTATTTCACATTATAGGTTTCGTGATAATCACCATATGAACACATCTGCGGATGTTTCTATAACTAAAAAATATAATACCATTTTCAGTTCCGTACATAATCAGTATGATTCAACCGAGCCTGCAACATTTACTATTTGTCGTTTTGGGCTTTCTTTAGTATTTCTGTTTCCTTTTTTATATTGATTTTGTATTTTGGTATTGAAAAAATTATAAAATTATATATTATACAAATATGGACTTTTTAGCTGTTGAATATGATGTGATATGTACTGAAAAAATTAATATTGACCGAGGCGATAGCCGAGGTCAATATTAATTTTTCAGTACTTTTCACATCATATTCAACAGCTAAAAAGTACATATCTGTTTTATTATATAATTTATAAATAGCTTTAATATGGCTTATCAAATCTGCCATTGCATATGACGGAAATCATTATTTTTCAGCTTGTCTACTGTTTCAATAATTTGGCCCTTTCCATTGGCATGCTAATCCCTATTTTTCTTAAAAATGAAAAACGGTAACTAAAATAGACTAATTTGACTCTGATGTACACCCAACTCAACATTTTTTTCAGAATAATAACAACAAACTTGGCGTTACGTCATGTCAAAGTCTCGTGTCTTTTAGGGATTTCCAGAAAATCTATTTTTAGAAGAATAACCGGTGAATATACTCTGAAAATCTATTTTAGGAAAAAAACAGTGAATATACTCTGATATTGACCTGTTATTTTTTACAAAAAGTTGCTTGTTAGCCAATCAGGGAAAGGCATTTCAAAGCTATTTATAGATTATATAATAAATGTATTTATGTCCCACATACACAAGAGTAATTTTATATTTTTTTTTCTATAATGGATATATTGTTCAGGTCTAGCATTTTAGACGAGCCAAGATCATACCTTTCCACTAATTTTTGAATAGTACAGTTATGATTCCCTTTGTCGGAGGAGAATGTTAGTAGCTTGTTACAAATTCTTGTTATTAAATCTGATCATTATAAAACTTCAAATAAGTTAATAAATTTTGCGGAAGATGAAAATTCAACGAATTTCCTTCTTTGTCTTACTTAGAGTGACAGAGACACAGATAGAGACAGACAGAGATGAGGGGACAGAAAGAGAGATATAAAGACATTTCAATTCTGTTTTGTTCTTAATAATATAAAATTCTTAATATATCTTTGAATAATTTATTAATATTATAAATTTTCTTTTTAATTATAGAAATATGAAGAACTTCAAATTGTATTGCCGAGGGCAAAAGACGAGCAAGGTGTATGCTTCACAAAAGACGACTTTTTATGTTTAAAAGTTGTTTGAGCTTCCTTTCAAAGATGCTGACAATAATGAGATGTTAAACAGAGCAGCAATTAAATTGATTTTACAGTCATTAATTGACGAGCATAAAGAAAAGTTTAAAGAATCACACTTTTTTAAAGATTATTATACAAATGGTGTATTCAGAACCTAAATTAAGCATGCAACAACAAGTCTTCAGATAGTAAATGGACAAAAGTTCATTTCTAGAAAACGGAAAACACGGATCATTATGACTGCTCTTACCTTATTCAGGAAAAAAAAAGTTACTAACGCAGTAGTCAATATTAAAAGATCAGAAAATGTATTCAACATTCCAACAGTCACAACAGTGGTTAGGGATCATATTTCAAGTTTATTATTGATGTGCAGGCAAGAATAGCTCTAATCATATTTGATCTTATTTGTAAAAAAAAATATTATAGTTCTTGTTTATATGACGAAATAATTTACTAATTTTAAAATTTTATTTCCGAAAAAACCGACAGATATCAAAATCAAAGAAATTTACAATCCACATTCATTGGCACCATATAAATATTATTATAGCACATTGATATTTATCTTTTCTTTCTTATATTCATGATATGTAATTTAAGTCAGCACTAACAATTGTTTGTATGCTCAAACAATATTTTAATTCTTGTATGAAAGATCTAGTAAACATATCTTATGCCTGAGGTATGTGAGTTCTTTTTTCAAGCCGCATTGTGCTCAGGAAATAAACTGTTTTTATAACAAGCAACTAACATGCATCATTATTATCCAAATGTTGTAAAACGAATGATATCCCTTTTTAAGAAAGTAAAAAATTATTTGTAGGCATAATATGCCTTTAATTGGTGACCAAATTGTTACTGATTGTACTGATAGAAATGTTAACAGCTCAATATTACAGTGTTAATGAAAACAATTATGTAATCATAGCTTCGTAAATATAAGCCACAAGTTTTTATTCATAGAAGTGTAAGCTTTATTAAATATAGATAAAATGTTGAATATGCACCTTAAGTATTTTATCTTTGCTATGCAGTGTAGATATATTCATTTTATATCCATGTATACATGTATATATACAGGACCTCGTCATATAAAATTTTATTTAACAAATTGAAGGAATTGTTCGTCTCAGACTGACAGTTTCTTTCACAAGTTTAATAAAATCTAAATATATAATGACAACGAATGTGAGCTTTTTATCATAGAACTAAACAACTTAATGGATTTATTTGTTACATTGAATTGAAGTACTGTACATGTATATCATTATGTATTGTAATGACAACAGAATTATTCGCAATAAAAATCTTCTGCTCTGCAAGGAAACAAGTGTTTCATTTTATTTATACTTAATTTATATAGATCTATCATATAAATGGATATAGCTCTTTAACATATTTAGATCTACAAATGGTTTGTTTAAAGATATTTTATGGATTTCCTTGTAATGAATTTATAAAAAACCGATACTACAACAAAGCAACCTGGTGAACACTTCTGAATAAGATGCAAAATTACATTGCGTCATTTTCAAAATATATTATACATATAGAATATACACGTATTGAAATGCACTTTTGTCCTGGACTGTACTGTATAAACAATTTTGCATAATACCTTATTCGATTATTCCAGCTGAATTTGAACAGACGTCTAAAGAGTTGTTTACGTGACGTCAAAATGTAGCGCCAAACAGCGCGTGCAAAAACAAGACCGCTATTTCAAAACCGCAAACCAATTAAATTACACATTTATTTCATCATAAATAATCTTGTTGTTTTTTGTGTTTTTGCTCGATGTCTGTATCAAAACTATTTTCACACAAAGCTCATAACTTTTCAAATTTCATCAAACATATCGATTTAACATAATCTGTTGAATATAGACATATTTATCTGATAAAACAAAATAATAAAAACTGTTTTACAACAGTATTTATACTGCAAATACGTCTTTATCAACACATTTTTCACTTAATTTGTATTTGACACTATGATCAATGTATTATCGTTTTACGTCAAACATTGCAATCAACACCACCTGTTGTCAAAATGGGATTGAGAGCGCTAAAACAGAATTATCTCAAAGATTTTAAGTTCGACTCGGTCGCAGAGTGATTGCTTTATGGCAACCTCAGCAACAACGCTTCTTCTGCTGTCCTTGAGCTAAAAGATATGATATTTTACATAACTTGATGTTTTGTATCAGCGACTAACGCGGCATTGGTTATGAACATCTTCTTCATTCCTTTAGGGTAGTGATTTTACTGCCTTACGAGATTTTGCATGCACAATAAAGTATTTCACCCGGTATGTTTTCATAACATCTAACCGCGTCATAAGAATGTCTATATAAGAAATAAAGTTGTGTTGCTTACGTTACATAAACATGCCTCTGTTATATAAACATGCTTATATTATATAAACAGGTTCCTTAAAACCAATTAGAAAGGTTATTGAAACTAGGATGTATGTGAATTATATGCATGCTCTAAGTTTTGTAAAGATATGAAGGACAAAATACTTGTTTAAATGTCTATACATAAAGTTATAAACATGAAATTTCGTTTATATGTTTATGCTTACAAATCATGAAAAACACAGTACAACTTTGATGTTTTAATAACATTACTGTCATTTTCAAAAGGTTTGTAACAAAGAATATATATCCAATTTAATATAAATTAATAGTGTAGGTAAAAGTTTTAGTTGTTATTTTTAGGGTATTAATAAATAACCAATAATGCAAAACTAATCTAATACGTATATATATTATGAAAATTATTCTTAAGTATTCAAGGTTAATCGTAATATATCTTTATTTAATAATTTTATTTGCTACAAACAGAACAAGCAAAGTATTATAACAAGCATCAAATCAGTAGATGCAGAAGTTTCAGTAGCAGAAAAACTAGTTTTAAAATATGTAATAGAAACCTATTGGTAACAGCTCAAATTGTGGTAATTTAAAGATGTTGAAGAGCATAGGTTGTATTAAAAATGCCATTTAAGGAGCAATGCAACAGTGACAACAGACAAATCATCGGCATCTTCAACAAGAAATTGATTGATATAAACATTTTTGTAACATACCAGTGTGACAACTAGTCCTTGCAGGAACCATAATATTCAGCGGTCTTTTTGTGCTACAAACAACACATGGAATATCTTGATCATCACATTCTGAGGAAAGGGATTAAAGTTTGTCAGGATGATTTGGTACTCTGATCCAAATATTTTGTTTCCTTCGCCTAAATTCCATGGTAAAAAGTTTTCATTTAAACTAAATAATTTTTTCAAACTTGTCTTGATGGTGTGAAAAAATAACCAGCATATTGTAATAATGTTCGTCCGGATGTATGTTACGGAAGATTGGATCTTCTCAGGTTCCCGCTCATAACAGAAAAAACACGAAGAAGCATCTAAAGTCTATTTTATTTCTGTATTATTATGAGAACATACATTAACTTTCTTTACTTCTTTTGTTGGATTTTCAGTCACATCGGCATTTTAAAGGTCATATTGAGACTTTTCAGCTTTACTATACAAAATTAGCTGGTGTCATGGGACATGGAATAAAGATTGCATTAATCGCAGTGCCGTCCATTATTTGACTGCCAAACCTGCAACAGTTTAAATTTGCCACGTTAGAAGATCAATAACTAGTTGCCGTCGTAGCAGCAGTTTTACAATTATAATTTCAAAATTTTCATATACCTATTGTTTCTTTTATAATCGATATCAAATTGTCGAAAATGAAATGACGATAATCCATAAATAAAGTCGTTAACAAAATACAAGAGACCAGTACATACATTAGTTTTAACTCACGAATTTAAGATTTCAACATATTTAATTTATGAATGAACACTTTCAGTTTCATTTTAAATTGATTAGCATAAAATCTGAAAACATAAATTCGAGAAAGTCCGAAAATGAATAGATACATTTTAAATCGTAAATTTATTCATCGGAATTTTTACAAAATGTAAATTTGTTAATTTGAAATATTATTAATAGTGAATTTATAAGAAAGATATAAAAATTCGAGATGTTAAAACATTTAAAAAGTTTTTCCAACAAAAATGAAAAGCTGACTTTTTCAAGATGTTAAAGGTTTTGTAAATACGCTTTTAAAGTTTTTAAAGTTTGTTTCAAAATCGTTTAACTTTCATAGAACCAAATAAAAATTTTGTTTTATGTTATTACACACAATTTCATTGATTTCATCAAGTTGCACTTCTTAAAAAAAGAATCTGCTTATAGATTATTATTTAAAATGTTGACTTAATTTGCCTTGAATGCCATCTTGATATTTTGCCCAGATAGGATCTTCCGGTAAGCAAAGAAAATTTGCGGGACCTTCGTTATTTGAGTAAACATTGCCTCCCATATATCCTTTAATTATGGTATCGTTTATTATTATAATATAAGTGAGGGGAATTTCACCGACAGATGATATATGATAATATTCCGTGGGGGTTTTTGACATAGATTTTATGCGATACAGAAAACAAGATGACGTCAGGCGACGTTCAACGACTAGGCTTACGCTATGCAAACTAGAGTTATTTAAATATATACTCCTCATGGCGTTTTAACTTTTAACTGTTTTAGTAAAGTAATAATATTTTATTAGAGAAATATGCCAAGTAACAATTGGTTTTTATGCAAACGCGTAATAAGTGTGGGGTCATTGAAAATCTTTAGATTTGGAAAATCCAAATCATTTAGTAAATATGATATTACCCACACTGAATATGATTTTATATATTGTTCCATAATTACTGTTTGGACCAATGAGATTATAGCTATACTTTGATCATATATAACGTTTATTTCCCATTAATAGCTTCCTTCCCTTTATATTAAAAAATCATTTGCCTATCGCTTTTCTCACTCATTGAAATGAAAAAATTTTCTTTTCCTAAGTGACATTTTCATTACCTTTGTAAACTACCGTTGTATTACCAGGCATGTTGTGCTACCCCATCCTAAGTAAGTACTTCCTATGCCTGGAAATAGATTATTTCTATTTAGCATATTTGATTTATATTTAATTTAATGTCAGAACAGTTTTAAAAAATATTAACTAGATCTTGACCTAGCAAAATAACGTCACTGTGATTAATAATTTGAATGTTTTAATGTTCAATATCTCTACAACCTTATGTACGATACTACATATATACTGAAAGTTACTCAAGCATGATAAATAAAAGCGCAAAATCACGACTCATTTGTAACAAATTTGTTTTGTCGTCATATTTACCGTCCGCCAAAGTCTTTACATCATTTTCAAGTTTTGTAACGGTTGCTACTATGTCTTTTTTATCCAAATGTAACAAATAGTTTCTCTACACTTTTTTATCTGCATCTATTGTAAAATAAAAATAAAAGGTGTATAAATAATTCCTTTTTTAAACTGCGAACTAATAAAGGAAAGATGTAGATGTAGCGCATAGAACTCTTAATACGGAAGTAATTGGTTCAGATACCACCTGTAATGGGATTCTCTTGATCTGTTCACTCTACTTTTTTGCGATTATTGGTTTTGGCTGTAAGGCTTTCAACGTGCATTAGTAAAAGCGCATGTCTTTGTACTCATGATAGGAATTGATATTGTATGAATAAAACTTTTATAAATAATTAGAAAAAAGAAATCTATATGAATATGTTGTATTTATATTTAAAGAAATAAGTCAAATATAAATATATTTGACACCAATATTTGTTTGCATTTGCATGACTTTTATTTGCAAAGATATAAAAATACTTTACAAAAGAAATCAACGAAATATGTGTTACTCTAGTTATTGCAAATAAACAACAAATAAGATGACAAGTTGATAAGATATGTTTATAATTTGTGGAAATTGCTTGTTTTCTGAATTAAAAATAGTTTGTGTCTAACGCGTAGTATTTGGTAATACTTCCAATGATTGTGAAAGAAAATTTAAATAAATGCAAATTGCATGTAACCAAAGTGGACATAGTACATGTAGTATAATAATGTATAACTGGCAGGTCTTAAAAATCTTGACAAAACAACTACATACCCTTTACCATATATTTTTTTAATAAAATCGAGAAATAATTTCATGTAGCTTAGAAAGACACGTATGACACAGTTTAACTTGTTTCCGACTAGCACTTTATGGCAGTGTTTATAAGTGTGTCGCAAATTTAAAGTTATAAAATTTCATATACAGGACCATATGCCTGCCTGACAGTTTTAATACAATAATCGATACCTCCGCAAGATTACAGTAAGCCTACCTGTTATATTTTATAACAAAAAACTGGACCTCAAATATTACCTGATGGTCTAACTGTCATTGTTACCATTATATGCATGAAAGCGTTATAATAGTTTACGACTAGCTGCGTGTTTAATAGTCACTATAATTAAGTGTGTGTGTGACTAGATGCGTGTTTAATAAACACTATAATTCAAGTGACTAGGGCTCGAACCAATTATCTCTGGGTTGAGATGCAGACACCTTAACAACCAGGCCATCGCTCCCATTTCTTACAACACCGGGTGGGGACTCTCAGTTTTCTGATGCCTTAACCATGACCAAAGGCAAACTGTATTGATATTGATGTATATGTAGTATCTAGATTTCAAAATTACATTGCTACGCTGTAAATAAAATGTTGTTGTTATTATTCTATAAGATTATTCATGTGCTCAATAGACTGCCATATGTAATTTGTTTGATTATAGATTATTTATTTGGACGAAGGGGATGGTGGAATTTAAGTTTTAATGAGATAATGACAGTCCAAATTTAAATATTCAAAACAAATAATGAAGATGCTTTGAGCTTTGATCCTACTAAGTAAAGGAGATGTGATTGAAAAGAGTTTCAATAAAAAGTAGTCATCGGACAAATCGAAACAGCACTCATGCTCATTCATACACGTACATGATCTATAATCATTTGAAAATGATGCCCTAAACCGTAACTGAGCTCTTAGAAAAATGAAATCTGCCCAAAAGCGCCGAGCAGATGAATATTTATTCTGCCATCACATGATTGTCTTACAAATATATATATAATGAGCATATTTGAAAGTTTATTTTATATTTGTTTGCAATAGATAGTGAAAAAAGAACCTTTCCGAACAAATATTTCGTCGATTTGTTTTGTTAAGTATTTGAATATCTTTGCAAATAAAAGTTATGTAAATGCAAACAAATGTGAGTGTCAACAAATTAAATATATTTCAAAAGATTTGATATCCATAGTTATAAATCTTTATACAATACTTCATTAAGGACTTGTCTCTGAATATAAGATATCTAAAAGTAAGTATTCTTAATTTCCTAAGAATAATTAAATGGGGAATTACTACGAAATTAGTAAGTTTGCATTTTGACAAAAAGGATATCAGTAACTGATTACATGCATGCATAATTTAAAGCTTTTGCTGCTTATGAATAGTTTTTAAGGACGTTCTAAAATAGTGTGAGACAAACAAACTAGTGTCATTATGTAAAAAACATTTAAGTATGTTATGTTATGTTAGGGTTTGTTGACTTTGTTCTTGACATGTTTTAACCGTAATTTCTTTATCGCATGAAATCTATGTCAAAAACCTAACACGACAACGTTTCAAAAAACGATGTAATTTGGAACATATACATGAATATTTTATCTAATCATCACTATTAGGTCGTCAAAATTGACACAATTCAGCTCTATTTGAAAACATTCTTTAATAAGCAAAATTTTGACTATAATTTAAAACTGTTCTGTTCACAATAAAAAATGAATGCAATAGGAATCTTTTTTATTTTGGTTTCGCTGGATTTCAAGGTTGTTTGCAACGAAAATGAGGAACCTACATGCCAGAATTTGAAAGAAAGTGTTCGTGAGTTACAAAACGAACTTGAATCTCTTAAGAAGGAATTTCGTGTAATGCAGACAGGTATATTTTGTAGTTTTAACTATTACAGACTACTCAATAATAAGATTCATGCAAATTTTGAAATTTGGATTAATTATGCCTGTTAGAAATCACTGTTTGATCATTATTATATTTGGATTGTTTTAATATAAAAACAACATATTCGTGTAGTTTTTTTTGAAGTCATATTTATAAACTGAACGTTTGATTTGGTTCTCTTTTGCTTTGTTTTCCGTCCAATATTAAATCCCATCGAGGGGGGGAGGGTTTAGTCATGCGTTGACTCTGCTTAAGAATAACAATAATGAAAACTTAGAGTTAGGTCAAGAGAATCCCATTACAAGAGGTATCTCCGAGTTAGGAGTTTTATACGCTACACCTATATATTTCCTCAGTTGTTTGACATTTTCTAAAAGAATTATTTATACAGTCATTTTGTTTTTCTTTTTTCTTTTCCATTTCGCCTAAGACGGAGCTACCAGAAGTGTAGAGAAAAGATTTGTTGCAGATGGAGAAAGAGATATTGATGCAACTGTAACAAAGCTTGAAAAAGATGTCAAGAGTCTGGTTGAAGGTAAATATAACGATAAAAACATATTTATGATGAATACGTCGTGATATTGCATTTAACTTATCATATCTGAGTTACTTCGGATATTTGCTTTACCGTGTTATAGTATCGTGCAAATGGTTGTAGAGCTATTAAAATTTGTGGTATCTTAAAACAATAAAACCATTGTGACGTGTTTGCTGAGTTTTTATTTCTAAACTGTTCTTAAATAAAATAAAATTTCTATTTAAAATAAATAACATAGATAGAAATATTCTATTTCCAGGCATAGGGAGTACTTACGTCAGATGGGGTAGAACAACATGCCCTGGTAATACAACGGTAGTTTACAAAGGTAATGAAAATATAACCTAGGAAAAAATAAACTTTTCATTTCAATGAAAAATATCTATAAGTGAGAAAAGTGATATGCAAATGTTTTTTTATAATATAAAAGGAAGCTTTTAATAGGAATTTAAAGATATATATGATTAAAATATAGCTGCAAACTTATTGGTCAAAACGGTTATTACGGAACAATTTATAAAATCATATTAACTGTGTGTAATATCATATTTAATAAATAAATTGGATTTTCCCAATCTAAAATAGATTGAAACTCAAATTCAATGACCATACATTCATTACGCGTTCGCATTAAAATCAATTGTTGCGTGGCATATTTCTTTATTAAAATATCATTACTTTACTATAATAGTTTAAAGTTGCATAGCAAAATAATTAGTAATTTGAATCTTGTTAGTCGTTGAACGTCGCCTTGCCTTGTTTATTCATGTAATAAATTATTATTGACTAGTGAGGTTTGGTATCGCCTCGAAGAATATATCATCTGACGGTGAATTCTACACCATATTCAATTGCTCACTTGTCTTTAATTAAATAATAATAAACGATGCTTTAATTAAAGGATATATGGGAGGTAATGTCTACTCAAATACCGGAGGTCCCGCAAATTTTCTTTGCTTACCTGAAGATCCTACCTGGGGAAAATATCAAGATGGAATTCAAGGTAAGTTAAATCCACATTTCAAATAATAATATTCAAATGCAGATTTTTCATTTTATCGTTTTTATGAGGTACAATTAGTTTTGATAAAATCCAAAATGTCGAGTATATATAAAATAAAGTATTGATTTGGTGCTATGAAAATTAAACGATTGTGAAAGAAACTTAAAAAACTTCAAACATATTCAAACGAGTATTTACAAAACCTTTAACATCTTAAAAAAGTCAAGTAGTTATTGTACGAATAACATTTGTGATATTTTAACATCACGAATTTTGATTTCATCCTTATAAATTCTGAAACTGAAAGCTATAATTCATAAATTAACTATGTTGGAATCTTAAATACGTCAATAAAAAACTAATGTACTGGTCTTTTGTATTTTGTATACGATTTTTTATGGATTATTATCATTTCATTTTTGACCATTCAATATCGATTATAAAAGATACAATAGGTATAAGAAAGTTTTGATGATGTTTTGAAAAAAGAAAATGTCAAACTGCTGCAACTACGGCAACTAATTATTGGTCTTAAAACGTAGCAAATTGAAACAGCTGTTGAAGGTTATGCTCGCTTCAGTCAATTCAGTGATTAATGCAATCTATATTTCATGTACCATGGCACCGGCTGATTTATTCTCCTCCAGTAAAGCTGGAAATATTCAATATTAAAACGTCGATGTGAATTAAAATCCGACAAAAGAAGTAAAAATAAATAATGTATGTCATCATTATCATACAGAAATAAAGTAGACCTTATGTATTTCTTCGTGCTTATGCCTAGCATGAGCAGGAACCTGAAAAGATCCATCGATATTCTGTAATATACATCCGGACGAAACATTATTACAATTTGCTGGTTATTTGTTCACATCATCAAGTCTAACATTAATTCATTTGTTTAAACGAAAACTTTTTTTCTATGCCATTTAGGCGAAGGAAACAAAATATTTGGATCAGAGTACCAAATCATCAAGACAAACTTTAATCCCTTTTCTCAGAATATGAATGATCAAGATATTCCATGTGTTGTTTGTAGTACAAAAAGACCACTGAATATTATGGTTCCTGCAAGGACTAGCTGTTACACTGGTATATTTTAAAAATGTTTATGTCAATCAATTTCTTGTTGCAAATGTAGATGAGAACGTTTTTATTTTTTCTGTTGTCACTGTTGCATTGCTCCACATCTTTAAACTACTACCAATTAAACTATTACCAATAGTTGTCTATTACACAGTTTTTAAAACAAGTTCTATTGCTACTGAAACTTTTGCAACTACTGATTTGATGCTTGTAACTATTACTTTTACTGCTTTAGTTTCATCCGCTAATGCGGTTACTTCTGCTGCTTTAGCTATTTTTGCTCATTTTGTCGTTTCTGTCGCCATTCCTTTCCCTTGTTTTACTATTTTCATTTTTTGTATCACTACCAAAACAGAAACTGCAGCCCGTACTGCTTCTGTTCATTATACATTGCACTATTTTTCTGTACTCGTTCTATTACTACTAATTCTACTTCTAAAAGTATTGTATTGCTTCTTATATTTCTACTATAATTCTTGTTTATTTTATCATTTTTTCTTCTTCTGCTACAACATCTAGTACTACTATTACTATTGCAATTATTGCTACTACTAACCTACCGCCACCATCATTACCCTTTTCTTACTACAATTTCATCTACGACTACTAAAAATTGTCGCCTATTGATTTGCATAACTAGTTTATTATGTCTATGTAATACATAACATAACATGTATAACCTTTAATAACTTCAGGATGGCATTTAGAATATACAGGATACCTCATGACAACCATGTCAATTCACAATGATGCATCAGAGTACGTTTGTATTGACGGAAATCCTGAAGCAATGATACACGGAAGTGCAAACACAGACGGAAACACTTTGCATCTGGTTGAGGCAGTCTGTGGAACTCTACCTTGTCTACCTTATGTTGATGGTCGTGAACTTGCTTGTTCTGTTTGTAGCAAATAAAATTATTAAATTAAGAGACATTGTGATTATTGTGACAAGCCTTTATTACTAAAGAATTATTATCGTAATATATATGTTTTAGGTCAGTTTTGCTTTATTGTTTTATTTATTAATACACTACAAATAAAAACTAAAATATTTTAACATTGTGCTTACACTATTTTGGAAGTAAGTACGGATATAATCATGTGTGAAAAAGTACGTATGAGCCATATTTTTGCAGTAAGTGGATTAGTAAGTTGAGAATTGAGTACCGCTCAAGCCGGTGCTAGGGGGCTAGAGGGATTCTGCACTTTTTTATTATCCTTCATGCACAGACTCAATCAAACCGAGTCTGCAATTCTCTTGTAATTTTGTTGTGATTAATGCTTCCGAGGGATCACTTTGTTTTCAGATTTTTGTAAAAAAATTTGTTTAACTTGTGACGAAAATGTGACTACGGAGTACAGGCACTGAATGACACTTGTCAGTTTATTATTTAAAGCATTTGGAACATGTAATAAATCATCGACACTTTTTTAAAATCAAAAGAATATATTGTTCCAGAATACTTCATTTTCTTATCTTATGCTTTCTTTACAATATGATAAACAAGATCAACAAGGAAAGGCGGCGTTCAATGAACGCAACCCCCATATGACCCAGCAACAAGAACCAATGGCAAGGAGCCCAGGCGGACCCCAAACACAAAAAGGACAGGGCAAAGCCAGGTTAATCATTAAATGATAAATAATTTGTAACTGATTAGGAATTCAAAGAAAATAATAATAGGCCCACAAAGGGGAAAGGGACAGGAGACCGGGGGAAGGGGGGTAATCAAAGAAATAAAAAATAGAGGCAATGGGGAAGATACTTACCATAGACGAGAAAACAACAAGGGACACAAGCAAAAGTGTCACCAATTATTAATAATTGTCACTAATTCCTTATTTACAACTGTTTATTAAACCGCTGAAATCCTGTGCATGCGCAATGATGAAATGAACTGTTGTCCGGTCAACATTTTGAGCTTTTACGCCCCTGTCGTTAACGCCGCCCGCCACTAATCTGTTATCAAATGTCGCTCAGATAAATATATGGTAGTGATTTTTTTAGAAAATCAAACTTAGGATTTACTTGTCAACAATTAAAACACTTAAAAGTGCTATAAGTATATATTACATTAATTACAAATTGTTAGATAATAAATCAGTTATTTCATTGGTGTTTGTGGAATAGGAAACTGTTGTCCCTCGGTATAAGTGATGGCATTTGGAACTGAGGCACTCGGCCTTCGACTTCTGTCAACAGTTCCAAATGTGATAACTCTGGCGACAGTTTTGACTGTTCCACAAACAGCCATGACATACCTGTATACTGTTTACCTACACTATTTATGTTTGTTAAATAGCATAGATATTCTATGTTTCAAACCTTCAAAAATTACCATAAATGAAACAAAAGAATTGTACTGTCTTTTTTAATGTTTGTAAATAAAAACAGTAAGTGTCGATTGACTGTCTGTTGTAAAGCGATATTGCACATGTAATTACATAAACATATACGACACTGTGTACAAAAAATGTGTTGATTAAGATGTATTTGCAGTGTTAAAAACATTATCATATGTAATGCCGGTAGTTTTAATACTTGAAAAGCTTTGTTTGAAAATTGTTTTAAGACAGTCATCGAGCAAACAAAATCAGTCTTGCACAAAATAATAATAATAATAATAATAATAATGATAATAATAATAATAATAATAATAATAATCATGCTAGATTTAAAATCATACTTTCATTTTCAAAACCTTGAATGTTTATCGAATAAAATGCTGCCCGACGCACCTAGCATTATCATTAAATTAAATGATGATGTTATCATGGTAAAGTCTTGTCTACAAAAATGGATAATAGAAATCTGAAGAGTGTCAAAACATTTGATAGTTCATACTAGGTTTGTGAGTTTCTTGTGCGTAAATTGTGTTCAACATTATATTTATAACACTTTTGTCAAAAATAATAACAAGGCACAGAAGCAAAACTAATTATCATTTTTTGACATTTGTATGCATCTTTTAAATTATTACTACATATCTGTGCATTTGTTGTTGTTGTTGTTTTTTTTTTTTGTTGTTTTTTTTTTGGGGGGAGGGGGTATAATTATATATCGCTACAAATAAATCTTGTTTAAAAGCAAACAAATTTTATTTTCAACAATAAATAACGCTACAGGTGATTGAATATTTGTATTTATGTAACTTTATAAAATTATTGTACATTATTTTTTAACAAAGGATACATTTCGCTACAAAATTCGATGATAAATGACAGACTATTATCTGCAAATTTTACTCTCTTTACGTAAAAATATCGTTTATAAAACATTGAACTTTCAATATTTATATTTTATGAATTGAGTTTTAACAAAAGGATGTCCGTAACTAATTGCATAAAATCTCTACTAAAGTGTAATTTAAAGAACGTTTCAGTGTATGCTAAATTATGGCTTTTCAAATATGTTGTCATAGCTTCTCCAGTTCTTTATCGCATACAATCTATATCGAAATACCTATACAAATTATTAACAAAATGTTGTAATTTTGAACATGTACATGAACATCATATCTATCTTATCACCACCAGTAGGTCATCATACGAAATTGGGATATTTCAGCTCTATTTGATAACTTGTCTTTAACCTAAATTTTGACAATTTAATTTTTTTACGTTCGAAATTAAAAATGAATGTAATAAGATTCTACTTACTGGTTCCAATATTGGTTGTGTTGTTATCTTATGCTCACTGCAATGAAAACGAGGAATTGTCTTGTCAGAATTTGAAGGAAGGTTTTCATGCGTTACAAAAAGAATTTGAAATTCTTAAGGAGGAAGTTCGTGAACTTAAGTCAGGTACAATTTTTACTCCTAAACTTAGCAGACTACTCAATCATTAATTATAACGAATGATTTTTAGAAGTTTGAACATGTTTGATATTCCATTTGAATTTTGTCCTTAAACATAAATACAATGTATATCCATATAGTCTTATTTTCGCTGAGTATATAATTAAACTCAATGTTTGTCGTTTGATTTGATGTCTTTAATGACAAATTTCATTGAGGGAACATGCGCTTTAAGTCATAATCACGCAAATTGACCACTCACTAGATGTCATAACCAGGAATAACAGCAATGTTGAGTGAAGATTTCGAAAGAGAATCCATTAGCTCGTTAACAAATAATTTCCGAATTAAGTGTTAGATGCACTTCTCCTAAATCTCTCTCCCACAGTTGTATTGCATCTCATGTATGAAACTATTTAAGCACGTTTATTTTATTTTCCATTTCACCTAAGACGGAGCTTCCAGAAGTGTAGAGAAAAGATTTGTTGCAGATGGAGAAAGAGATATTGAAGCAACTGTAACAAAACTTGAAAAAGATGTTAAGACTTTGGTTGAAGGTAAATACATTTATAAAGACAAAAAATTATTATGATAAATATTTTTGATGGTTTACATTAAAAACGTTATAACTTCATATTAATTATTGGTTCCAATATTACGAAGTTAATTGAATCACCCTTAAGATATGGTGTCTGCTTTTTGAAGTTGTCCTTTGATGTCTTATCTGTGATATGCAGGCTTCAACAGCAGGTGTCAAGTGCTGTGTGGCAGCTGTAAAAAGTTGCCCCGTACTTCACTTCAGTGTTGTTATATTTTTCTGGTCCTTCGGGATCATTGATGCCAGCACTATTAAGTGTTGAGAATTGAGTACCGCTCAAGCCGGTGCTAGGGGGCGTGAGGGATGTTGCACTTATTCATTATCCTTCATGTACAGACTCAATCAAACCGAGTCTGCAATTCTCTTGTAATTTTGTTGTGATTAATGCTTCCGAGGGATCACTTTGTTTCCAGATTTTGATACCCTCCAATCCTCTTTCAATTTCCAATTTGTTTAGCTCCACCCATTGTTTTCTAGTTTATGGCACACGCATCATTTTACTTGGGGACAATACTCCGCTTTTCATGGAATGGCTCGGAAGTGAAAAATGATAGTCGCCGTATGAACACATCTGCGGATGTTTCTAAATTCAAAATGTCACCATATTCATGTTTAAATGTTGCGTCCTGCTTAGAGATGTTGTAATTGAGGTTGTTTCCACACTGAAGTGAAATTTTATATATGTATATAATTATTCTTATAAAACAACTTTCAAACATAGAAGATTATGTAAAATAAGTACTGCAAAATATTTATGCACATGATAATTTTATGTAATCAATTAAATATATGCATTTATATCTTATTGAAAAAAATACTTAGTCTTTATAGAAAATATAGTTCTCATTACTTCACATTATTTGCATGAAATGTTGAATTCGCTAATACGTGTATCTTTATAGATAAGGCTTTTTTGGAACTTACAATAATGATAAATTTAATTTGAGCATCATATTTAATACATAAAACCATAAAATAAATGTGTTACAGGATCTTTAAGCAGGTGAAAATTTGTGATGACATCATAATGCAGTAAATGTTTCAGATTCCTAATCATGAACATAAGCTGATATTTGTTATGCTAAAAAAATCTTAAATAAAATGTACCGTCCATTTATTTTGATAAAACTGATCTTTTCTAGGCATAGGAAGTACTTATGTAAGATGGGGAAGAACAACATGTCCTGGCAATACAACAGAAGTTTACAAAGGTAATGGAATGTTACTTATGCGTCAGTCACAAATTACTGTTTCAAACAAAGTCCGTTTTTCAGACCCGTTGAATCGGGCGGCGCTGTTTTATGTGTGACTTTGGCATTATGCAAACACTTGTTATAATAATAAAAAAGATTTGCAATTGATTTATGAATGAATGAATGTTTAAGATTAAAATTACAATAAAACGCCAATATTATCCTGTGATAATTAAAGGATTTATGGGAGGAAACGTATATACAGATAACGGAGGCCCTGCCAACTATCTCTGCTTACCTGAAGACCCTACCTGGGCAAAATATCAAGATGGATTTCAAGGTTAGTTTAAATAGAGAGAAATAAAAAGTCACTAAAGAATTTAAAAAACGATAAAATTTCAAATTTTGCAGTCACGATTTCATTGAGCCTGTTTATTGACGGTATTGGTATCAACACTTTTTCATTTCAAAAATTCCATTTCGTATTTTGTACAAAAAATCTTTATAAACTAAACTGTTTGATTAAATGCGTTCTTTAAATTCATCTTTAACATTTTTGTTTAACATTTAACACAAACTTAATATTCAAACATAATATGATATTATTTTTAAATAATGGCAAATGAAATTTTTAGCCAAATGTAAATAATTGTCATTTGCAGATTTGATTAAGTTCAGCTAGTTTATTTACGGCAGTTGATAATACAATCTACAGTCCATGATACTGCCTTTGAATCCAAAACGATCATTATGAGAAAGTAAAATATGGTTTCTTATTTTGATACGATGAGAATATTGCTTCGCTTGTAACTTAAAAAATTTATTATATCTGAAACATCATATGATATTACTTCATATGATTTTTGTTTACCTCTTTGTTGATATAAAGGAGAAGGAAACAAAATCTATGGCTCAGAGTACCAAATTATTAGGACGAACTTTAATCCATTTCACCAGGACATGAATGACGAAGATATTCCGTGTGTTGTATGTAGCACTAAAAGACCACTAAATATCATGGTTCCTGCGAGAACTAGCTGTTACACTGGTATGTTACAAAAACGTTTATATTTATTGATGAGCTATTAAGTTGAGATGTACGTCAACCTGCTAGGCGTGAGATGTTCAGTAAATTAGCCTATTAAGGCAAATCCGGTCTAATTCTTACTTTCGTGTTATGCTTCCATCATTTGTTTCGTTATATGATGATTAGCGGTCTCATAGCTTAGATTGTGTCCGTCAATCATCATCGAACTTTGTCAGGATGCTTGTCTAGGTAATTCGTCGGATGAGTTCGAACATAGGTCATCTCGGATGAAAAACTAGGTCACAGGAGCTAAAAATAGATAAATATTGATAACACTCTAGTGGCTACTGTTTTGATCTAAATATTCTTGAAACTGGTCTGAAAAATTATTTGATGATTTCTAAATCAAGTTTGAATTAGGGACACCTGGGGTCCAAATCTAGGTCATACTACCCTAATGTGGAAAAACCTTGTTAACACTCTTGTGATCACAGTTTTGACTCAATTGTCATCAAACTTGGTCAGGATGCTTGTCTATGTATTTGCTTAGATGAATGTGAATATGGGTCATCTCAGATGAAAAACTATATCACATGATCTAAAACTAGAAAGTAAATGTTAACACTCTAGTCATTACTGTTTTGATCCAAATATACTGAGTTTGCTTTGATGATTTCTATGTCAAGTTTGAATATGGGTCACCTAAGTCACACTGCTCAAATATAGAAAAAATTGTTAAAACTCTAGTGCCCACATTTTTGACTCACCTGTCATGATGAAACTTGGTCAGGAGGCTTGTCTAAGTAATCGCTTGGAGGGTTCGATGGGTCAGGTGAGCGATCTAGGGCTATCTTGCCCCTCTTGTTTCATGTTAATTTCGATCGTGGTGTTTTGCTTCTGTTGTCTCTATGGCATGAAACGCAAATACAAGTACGTTGAACTCCTTCAGCTACCTCACATATAACTAAATTTTCATAATAAAACAATTATTTTTTACAATTAAAGTAGTTTTGCTGTTAGCCTGCTACATTAATTTATGATTCTACTAATTTCATTCTTGCTACACATTTTGCTATTTAATCTGCTTTTTTAAGTTGCTTCTACTTTGGTGACATAGTGTTTTTCATTTTTGTTTTCTTCTTCCTGTTACTGCAGCGATTTCTTCTGATTCGACTCGAAAAGCTACAGTCCAATTTTTCACTCTCACTTCTCTTACAGATTTTGCTTTTATTACGTCTACTTCTTGTATCACTTCCAATACTTATACAAGTGGTGTATATATGCAAAAAAAACAGCCCTTACTGCGTTAGTAACGCAGTAAAACGGTAGAAAAATGGTGATTAAATACTGCAAAATCATCTTAAACCGCACATAACATGTAAAATTTAACTTGGATATTGAATGTTTTTTTCCTTTTTGAAAATATTAGTACGTATTCCTCAAGCTCCATACTGATTTTCTTGAATTATTTTTGCCAATCTGGAGGCGTGCAGCTTTAAGTTGTTGATTAAAGCAGATTATCAAAATGTTTTTTGAATGTACAATATCCAACAAATTATTTTCACTAACTTCAGGATGGCATTTAGAGTATACCGGTTATCTCATGACAATCTGGTCTGGTCACCCTGCTGCAGGAGAATACGTGTGTGTAGACAGTCATCCTGAACTAATTCCACACGGAAGTGCAAACACGAACGGAAACGTTCTGTACCTTGTTGAGGCTGCTTGCGGTACTTTACCTTGTCTGCCTTATGTTGATGGTCGTGAACTTGCTTGTTCAGTTTGCAGCAAATAAAACATGGAAAATTTTAATATGAAAAAATATCTACCATAAATGCTACAATAGATTTCTGCAATCTTTATTTGATTATAGTTGTTCATGAGAAATATATTTTCTTAATTTATAGATGTTTAAAATGTTTTGTTTTTGTTTGTTTGTTTTTTGTTGTTGTTTTTTTTGTTGTTGTTGTTTTTTTTGTTTTGTTGTTTTTTTTTGGGGGGCGTCGAACTTATTCTTCACTTCCTTAACTTAGTACATGCAAATGAAATTGACAACTGACAAATATTAATATATTGCTTAAAAATTTACACAAGTTGCTTTATTTGTCATAGCTCTATTAACTTGAAATTCTTACGAACCAAATAAAATGATGTACGAATAATAATTAATTGATGCAATTTTCTGAAAATATCACAATATCCATAAACGAATAATTGTTACTTTAGTTAGGAAATAGGATTTTTTAGTAAAAATGAAGTTAGCAAAACATATTATTAAGATATACCACACAAATCATTCTTGTGTGCGTCATAGGAGATTTATAACAATTTGTGTTAAATAAATATGGAATCGTTTCGGAGCTTGGAACTGCCTTCCCTCAGTCTAAAGTATAAAGAGCCTCACTGATATAGGATAGATCATTATTGTAATATAACAGTTCATCATATCTTCTGTTTATGTTATCGATGATTGATTCCGTACATGTCATCAAAATTTTTGATATGAAACATAAAGCATGCCCAAGTATACTCTCCAGCGCATCGACTGAATGTTTCACTATCTCTCACGTACTTACAAGCAACGTGAGTGTATTCACTAAGCTGCGAAGGGGGTGTGGATCCAACACTATCTAGTCCATATTACAAAAACTGTATAAATATGTCATGTATCTTTTTAACAAAAACAAATTATACCAATTAAACGAATTATGATCACCACATTCAGATCTAAACAAACACAACAATACAAAAACGGCGCAGTCCGTAAGTTGTGACGTCGTTATTGTGAACGTCAAGAACTCTAAGCATGCAGTATGTATTAAAATAGAAGGGTCATAACCTTTTTTCATAAAGCGTATAATGATTTTAGTAAAAACAGCAGAAAAAATACCATGACTCAAGATTTTGTAAAAATTTTCCGTAATTCATGATAGCGATAGACTTGTTTTAGAATCTTGTTAGTAATGAAGGCTTGCTCATTGACATCCTTTACGTTGCTACAAGCTATAGCGAATCTAATTAACTGAGAAACATATACCCCGTAGGATGTTGCATGGTGTAACTTTCCATCCAAAATTGGATAATAAAGTACACAAAATCAAAGTCATCTCTTTTGTAAGAATAGAATTGTAGTTGACAGTAATATGAAGATCCATAAATGATGTACTAAAATTTCAAGAATTTGTTTATTCAGTTGTTGTTCGTGGGGATAAAACTCAAATGCCAGTTGATCAAAATAAGAATTAAACAAGATATGTTTGTAAAACATGTATGCCCCCTATCGGCAGCCAATTTGTCATGTGATCAGGTTATTATGCATGACTTCTGATTCAGTGAACAAGCAATTAATAAGGGTTATCTAGTATCTACTGGTCATGACTAGTCACAAGGTAATAATTATTGTGACCCCATAGGTTGTGTGCAGCAACTAAAGTTATTATAAATCTTACCAAATAATATATACATAAATTTTATGAATCACATAGGCCTCATTAATGACAGCCAAGTTGTTATATTACATAAGACCTTCAAAAGTGTATACCAAAAGCACATAAAAATATCAACCAAGGCAACTTCAGTTGTTGAGTTATTGGTCAGAAACGGTCATTAAGTACAAGGTCACTATGACATTGACCCTTTGACACCAAAATCAATAGGGGTCATCTACTGGTCATGACCAATCATCTTACCAAGTTTGAAGTTCCTAGGCCTAAGGGTTCTTTAGTTATTGATCGGAAACCGTTTTACCTACAAGGTCAATGTGACCTTGACCTTTGACCCCTTGACCCCAAAATCAATAGGGGTCATCTGCTGGTCATGACCAATCATCATACCAAGTTTGAAGTACCTAGGCCTAAGCCTTTTCTAGTTATTGATCGGAAACCGTTTTTACCTAAAAGGTCTAAGTGTCCTTGACCTTTGACCCCAAAATCAATAGGGGTCATATGCTGGTCATGAGCAATCATCATACCAAGTTTGAAATTCCTAGGCCTAAGCGTTCTTTAGTTATTGATCAGAAACCGTTTTTACCTACAAGGTCAATGTGATCTTGACCTTTGACCCCTTGACCGCAATATCAATAAGGGTCATCTGCTGGTCATGACCAATCATCTTACCAAGTCTGAAGTCTCTAGGCCTAAAGGTTCTTTAGTTATTGATCGGAAACCGTTTTTACCTACAAGGTCAATGTGACTTTGAAATTTTGACCCCTTGACCCCAAAATCAATAGGGGTCATCTGCTGGTCATGACCAATCACCATACCAAGTTTGAAGTTCCTAGGCCTGAGGGTTCTTTACTTATTGATCGGAAACCGTTTTTACCTACAAGGTCAATGTAACCTTTACCTTTGACTCCTTGACCCCAATATTAATAGGGGTCATCTGCTGATCATGACCAATCACCATATCAAGTTTGAAGATCCTAGGCCTAAGCGTTCTTTAGTTATTGATCGGAAACCGTTTTAAATACAAGGTCAATGTGACCTTGACCTTTGACCCCTTGACCCCAAAATCAATAGGGGTCATCTGCTGGTCATGACCAATCACCATACCAAGTTTGAAGTTCCTAGGCCTAAGGGTTCTTTAGTTATCACTCGGAAACCATTTGGTCTACGGACCGACTGACCGGACGGACCGACGGACCGTCAAGTGCAAAGCAATATACCCCCTCTTCTTCGAAGTGGGGGCATAATTAAAAAAATCATCAAGGTATCTGGAGGTATTATTAAATGCAACTATAACATCTTGTTGTGTATCTTCAGAGAGACTGAAACATAAAGTCTCTTTCAGAGCAGTATAAAAACAAATCAGCGACCAGGGGTGCACAATTGCCCTAGGAATTCCTTTGATCTGTTTAAAAAAGGTATAACCAAACCTGACATAAATGTTGTCTACAAGAAACAGAGTGCTCTAAAAACTTCGTCACAGGTCCACATAGTATACAAGTAGTAGAAATGCCAGAATTACATGGAAGAAAGGTAACTTTTTACCGTACAAATTTCTTTGAATAAGGGTAATTAGTTTATAATTTATTAATTTATGTGACAATAATGTATAAAGTGTAGAAAAAAATCGTATGTACTGACAGATGAAGGTTGATAGTTCTTTATTTTATATTTATCCAAAATAATTTCACAAGTATTTTTAATAGACCAAAACAGATGTTTGCCTGTTTCGTAGACTCTATCACAATATCTAATTAAATGTATTTTAATGGCAGCCAAACAAGACGTCAATAAAATATAAAGTTGACTTGTACTGCAAGAGGTATACTTAGCAATGAAATTGGCTTTGTAAGGTTTTTTATGTAATTTAGGAATCCAATTCATAATAGGAAGTTTGAAAAATTCATGATTTGATTGTTTACAATTTTAAGAAGACGCATTAGTACTATTAAGTTCATTTTGCAAAACGTTAAATATCAATACGTGAATCAATAATTTTACAGGTGTAACTAGAGTATTACTATCCGCATTTTCAAGGCGACACCATTCGATCCTCAATCCTCAATAAATTTAGCAATCTGCCTACGACAAGCAATATAATCAATAACAGAAGGAATTCTGTATTTAGGTTCTTTCAAGAATAAGTTACGAATTCCTTTGCTTGCAAATATATCAACATTACTAGTGATAATATGGCCAAAATCTGAATTCCAGAATCTAGAAAGCTGTAAAACAATGATGAAATATTTCAAACAATGACTGACCCACTGTCATCAGGAGATATTTCCTTTTTATCAAATGACTGGCCTTCTTCAGATAACATACTGCTTTGTACAGCAGCTGTAGCTTGCTGTTCGTTCTTTAATTATTATTAAGTCACCTTGAACCATACAAACAGTGGGGGCCACAACTCCAGAATTACTTAATTACTTAAAAACCGTGCAGCAAAGCACACAATTTGTATTAAAGACTCAGCTTGATACAGAAAATTTGTTTTGGGCTTGATTAAGTGGTAAATAACAACAGTGTTCGCAATGCAAACAAATTGCTACAGAAATTTATTGCCAGTTTATTTGCGATTTATATTGTACAACAGTGCTAACAGGACATAAGTAACTTTAATATCAAAGACATTTGTACAAAGACAAAAAGACAGAACAGACAAAACATCCAAGGGTTACATAAATAAGAATAATTAGGAACTGAACTAAATAAGGAGATATCGTGTATACGAAAGAGACATCACAAACTTTAATATAAGTCTTGCTCTGTACAAGCAAGTGAACAGATAACGAGTTAATTGAAATCGAAAAATGGCCACGTAGCCGAGAGGATCACACGTTGGATTAGTAATCTAAGGATTTCTTGCCGCATGGGTTCAAACTCCGCCCGGGGCAAGTCGTTGTTTCCGTTTGCAAAAAAACTTAACACTCATTGCTCAGTATTTGTTGGTTCTAGGAACGAATATGAGAATGTTTCAATGTTTAAATAAGCTTATTGCTTTCAACACAACATATTCCTATAAACACTTATTGCTCAGTATTTGTTGGTTCTAGGAACGGATTTGAAAATGTTTCATGTTTCAATAAGCTTATAGCTTTCAACACAATAGATTCCTATAAACATAATTAAATTGTAGCTTATATCAGAATGTATTACATATATTATAATGATATTTGTTTCCATTAGACAATAAGTATACGCTCTATAATTAGAACATATAGTACAATGGTACGAATACCTTATCTCATTATCACAACAAGGTCACTTTATCAACGTTCTAAACTGACAACCTACTGTAAAATTTAATAATATTTTGACCTTTTGAAAAGGAATATTGTGTATTATTAGAATGACGGTTAAGAAAAATTACTTAGTAGTTTTAATTCTGGTCTGTTGTGGCTACTGCAAGGCAAACTCTGAAATTGAATGCAAGAATTTGAAAGAGGAAGTTCAGACGTTACGCGAAGAACTTCGTGTAGTAAACAAAGGTTAGAACTTCTTTGTTTGAAACCTAGTTGGTTGAAAGTAAAAACATATACATAATAATGAATAATTATTAATTAATTCCTGATTAAACATGTTGGTCTGTTTCATATATTAAATTTGTCATAAGATATAAAACTTCTGCGGATGTTTCTAAATTCAAAATTTTACTATTTCATGTTTAAATGTTGAATTCTGCTTAAGCCGGTGCTAGGGGGCGTGGACGGTAACTTGCACTTTCCAGTACCGTCCATGAACAGGCTCAATCAAACCGAGCCTGCAACATTTTCAATTTTGCCGTGTTGGGCTTTCTTTAGGGATTCTGTATTTATCTATCTTGAGAGTAAAATTTCAGTTCAGATTCTTCTCAAAGATTGTCATGTTTTTGCCTTGGTAGGATACACATTAAAACATTATTTTTTAACATTAATCTTGTCCCAGTTGAATAGTTTAATTTGTGTAATGTTTTACATTTTCCTAAATAGCGTTTACAGATACCAGTTCCGAAAATAAGGCATTACGAAAGGAATTTCAAATTCTTCAGACTGAATTCCGAGTATTAAAGCAGAGTAAGTTTTTAATATTTATAACGTAACATTAAACCGCTGGGATCTCTTTAACTGTTACTGTGCGCAAATTTTATAAATTGAGCTGTTCCAAATTGTAAGGCTTGTACATATGATTCAAAGTCGGTATGTTTAAGTCATCTACATTAGGTCCTTTCCTTTTCTTTGAATTAATAAATCTTTGAAAATACAAATCTGAGCTGGTGTTCTCATTACATTGCTTCATCTTCGCCTTTTAATAACAGGTTCCAATCATGAAGAAAAAAGATTTGTGGCTGATGGAAAAATGGATGTTGCGGCAATTGTTGCTAAGCTTGAGAAAGATGTTAAGATGTTGACTGACGGTAAATGAGATTTTCCTTATATTTCTTAAGTTATTCCAGAGGTACTTTAGCCGCGATATATATATATATATATTTATCGTCCGTTGTGGTCCAAACTTAAAGCAGCGCGTCTCCAGATTCATCTTAATTTTCATGAAAATTTTGAAAATGTATTAAAAGGTAAAATATTACGAAATGAACAAAGAAAGTACTTGTTGTGACACATTACAATCGGCACTTAAAATCCACGTAAATTACCAAAAAGAGGTCAAAATATGCATAAATATCCCCTACTGCGTTATTAACGCAGTAGAAATTTGGTGATAAATACTACAAAATACCGTCATTAATTGCACATAAGATATGAATTATCACTCGAATGTTTTATTTGTTTACTTTTCTCAAAGTTTTAACATGATTTTTCCAAGTTTAATTTTCTTGAAATATTTTAGGTCATCTGGAGGCATGCAACTTTAAGTGACATTACGAAGAATTATTTTACAATTAAAAATGTCAAAGTTATATAATGAAAGATGTAAGACTATATAAACATACATTTGCACCATCATATCTTTATACACTATCTTATGTTCAATGCAATAAACATTGGAGATAACATAATTATTGAATAAGAATTATGATCGTTCTGTTTAATGCAAAATAAATGTATCACGGAATCCAAATGAATATTTTGCATGAAAATATATGCGAGTGTATCAAACATTTCTGCATGAGTGTTTGAATAGAAAGAGATGTGTAATTAACTGTAAAAGTAAACGACTGATTAATTGTGCATATGAACAAGAGGTTTATTACGGGTCTATTCACACATCTGCCGGTCAAAAAGGATGCCTCGTTCTCAACATCAAATTAACTATGTTCTATTCAATCTCAAACTTTGTATTAATATATATTATTTGCAAAAGAAAAATATCAATTACTTTAAGATCACCGTAGGGAACGTGTTACAGTATCGCGTTTTCCAGTTACAGTATAGAACATTAAAGATGGAGGATTATTTGTTGGGAGGACAGGTAGGTGATTTTTATTCCGGTCCATACTACAAGTAGTTTAGTTTCTAACAGATGTTTTTGTGCTTTGCTTGTAAGGAACAGAATCCAGTATCTAGTCATATATTTCTTCAGACCCTGCACCGCAGATTTATCGCTATATTGTCTCATAAATATGCAGATTTGACCGTTTGAAAATTTGAATCGAGAGCATTTTTCTGCATTTTCGATATTATTTCTGGATGCCTAGAAAAAGTAAATCTGCAAAACGTTAGTCCTTTATGTTTATAAACGTTTATAAAAGTAAATAAACAGTTGAACCTATTTTCCTGTTCGTTAAATGCGTTTGAAAAAATAAACAATGTTACAGTATAGAGCGAGGTAATTTGTGCAGGGTTACAGTATAGACCAAGCGATTTTTATCCCATTTTGTTACAGTTTATACCCAGATTTCGGTTACAGTTTAGACTTCGATATTTTCTATATAATGATACTAGGTAAAATGTATGAATGTAACATAGACTTTTAAATCTCTGTGAGCTTATTAGCCCGATGGCTATTCGTCCGTCTGTCATACACATGTGTGTGTGTGCAATCTCACCCGCTCAGTAACTACTTGACTAACTGTGATGAAATTTACATGACTTTCTACCAATTAAGTTGTGCAAATGGTTTCGGTTGCAATCGGGGATACAAAAACCCAAAACATAGATTTTGTAAAAAGGCAATGTTTAAAGACCCTTCTCATTTCGAATCAAAAGCATTCAAATTAAATCATGATCATGGCGTCATTTAGAATGCTTCTTTGTTAGAGTTGCGATTATTTTGTCATTATTAAATTAAAAGTCGTTTTATTTTATTTCAGACATCCTGTATAGCAGTTTTCATGTTTCTGAAAAAGAAAATAATGTTGAAAGTTATAGTATAAATTAAGGTCAGACAATTACAATATCTTCTCTAGTGAGCCTGATGGAGGTACATAATAATGGCAGAGTCGGGATAAGGCTGTCGACTTCAAATCATCTTTCATTTACTGCTGTAGTTGAAATACAATCATGACTTTGGATTCTTTGTATGTGAGGAATCTATCAAGCTAATTTACGCAAGGCCGGTGGTTCTAGCCAGGTGCCCGCTCGTGTCTGAAATGTTTTTCTTTACACTAAAGCAGGAATGTTTTCACATGACCTCAGTGTTGTTGAAACTTAAAATCCAAGAAAGCCAAAGGTAACAAAATAGAGTTAAACAGAATCCCTAAAGAAATTCAAACACAACAAAATTGAAAATGTTCATAAACCCATTAAATACTTACAAAATGCATTATGGTAGATGGAAATTCCAACTTTAAATAAAATATAAGGTTGCAGTATTGCTCACTTAAATAATGTTTAATCATTCTTAGGTACTGCCTGCTTGTTAATTGTGTCTTTTGACAGCTTATTTATGGTATGCAGGCTTCATAACCTCCGATCCCTTCTCAAAATTTCATTTCGTTTAGTTTCACTCATTGTATTCTCGTTTAGGTGACACGCAATTTTTTAACCTGCCGCTTTTCATAGAATGGCAATAACGTGTCACATCATTGAAGGTTCCATGATAACCGCCATATGAACACATCCACAGATGTTAAAAAATCAGAAGTGTACCAGTTAATTCATGTTTAATGTGAATTCTGCTGAAGCCTGATCTAGGAGGCGTAGACGGTAGCTTGCAGTTACCACTACCGTCCATGAACACCGTCCATGAACAGGTTTAATCAAACTGAACCTGCAACTTTTTCATGTTTTCCGTGTTGGACTTCTGTTAAGGATTCTTTTTTCTCTATTTTATTAGGCATTATTATAATGTGTAATGAAATCAAGCTCTCAATACAATTCGATAAAAGTTACTGTTGTTGTCGCGAAAACAGTCACGTAGGACATTACTTACTCTGCAAAAAGTCTCAATCTGAAATTTAAAGTAAGAAAAATAGCAAACTATGACTTTTCTGCTGAAGAAAAAAAGTAATACAACCTTTCAAGAATGTATTAAATAGAAAGTTGTGAGTTATTTCATAAAAATAATGGATACACGAACTTTGTTTGAAATTTGGCAAGTATCTAAACTGTAACAGAAAACTGGGTATAAACTGTAACAAAATTGGAATAAAATCGCTTGGTCTATGCTGTAACCCTTCAAAATTAACCTCGCTCTATACTGTAACATTGTTTATTTTTTCAAACGCATTTTACCAACAGGAAACTAGGTTCAACTGGTCATTTACTTTTATAAACGTTTCTAAACATAAAGGACAAACGTTTTGTAGATTTACTTTATCTAGGCATGCATAAATAATGTCGGAATGGGAGAAAAATGCGTTGGTCTCTCGATTCAAATTTTTGAACTGTCAAATCTGCACATTTATGAGACAATATAGAGATAAATCTGCGGTGCAGGGTCTGGAGAAATATATGACTAGATACCGGATTCTGTTCCTTACAAGCAAAGCACAAAAAAACTTTTAGAAACTAAACTACTTGTAGTATGGACCTGAATAAAAATCACCTACCTGTCTTCCCATAAATAATCCTCCATCTTGAAAATTTCTATACTGTAACCGAAAAACGCGATATTGTAACACGTTTCCTACGGAGAAGATAGAGGATATGTGTTGCTTTGCATGAAAGGTCGAAACATATTTTACTGTGAGAACATCAGATGTCATATTTTCACGAATGGCTTAGCCATAAAATAATAGAGGTTGAAATAAAAAATAAATAATCTTACGTATTAAACAAACAAAATGTTTGCATTTATTTTATTTCAAGCTTTTTTTATCTTAATGTGATATTTTTTTATCCGAATTCATATCTTGTACATCTAGAGTGAAACTTATATTTCATGATTTCAGAGTGAAATTATCACAACATATTTTGTCCCCTTAAAACAGTTAGATATGTAAGATAATTGTTTTGGTGATTAAATATGTATTAATTATCATAAAATTACTAAACTAAAGAGAAGTAACTGCATCAATCACGTTAATGTTTTCTTTTCCAAAGGTATTGGAAGTACTTACGTAAGATGGGGCAGAACAACATGCCCTGGCAATACAACGGTAGTTTACAAAGGTAATGTGTAAAAAAAAGTGTATTTATTATCATTTTAAGACAAAAATGCAATAAAATCTATTATTATTATTCAGAATGTCTGATTAAATCGCTTTATAATACATTACAAGCACTGGTCATTTGTAATATTAGCAACAATTATATCGGGAAAAGCCGGGTTGGGTGGGATAAATCAACCATTTTTACGTTTCTTCTGTCCCTGCTGAATGGTGGTTTGTTTGGAATACTGAATATTCGGCAGAAATGTCAAGACCGTCAATAGAGGGCTGTTAAAGAGGGTTAAAAATCAAACCTGGTTGAACCATAGTTATAATGTACAGACCACCTACAATGATCATTTTCAGATTAACCTTGATCCATGAACATGACATATCCATCTCCTCGTATATTGAACAAAGGGTTAAAATGTTATGACATATTCAGTAATATATCCATTGACCTCGTACAGGGTTAGTCTTGCAGGTGTAATACTCAAAATGTTCGTCGCATGTCAATCAATTTCTCCATTACGATAGGGGTTTTATTTTTATACTGCAAATAAAACTTGTTGATAGTGTTACAAAAATAGAGAATGAACTATATAAATATAAAAAAATGTGCTTAAAATACTCAATTATATTTCACAATTTGTTCTTTGCTCGACAATTCGTGATTTGCAAGTATAAGATCGATCTTTTACCCATAAATTGTTAACATAAACAAATTTGAATAAATACTTATTTTTGAACACCGTTCCTATAACAGGATTTATGGGTGGAAATATCTACAATGATAATGGAGGCCCTGCAAACTACTTGTGCTTACCGGAAGACCCTTCATGGGCAAAATATCAAGATGGTATACAGAGTAGGTTTTCACAGGAAATTTACGACACGCTTTTTTGTCATCACAGTGAATAGGTCTACAATGGGCACATTTTCCATAAGTATTTCAAATATTGATATAAGGTTTTTGAAGAAAAATTATTCATAAGTGATTAAGATTGAACATTTATATGATGAAAGAATTTGTTCTGGAACAATCTATTATTCTGCTTGATAAATATATCTATAAAATATCTGGTTATGTACCTCGCACTTACCAAAAACCTCCATGTATACTTTTTTCATGGTTTGTCACGTGTCTCACTTAAAACTGTCAACATAATTATTTCATTGTATTACATACCATCAATTATAGACCAATTTACTTTAATACGCACAAATATAATTTTAATTTAATGACAGGGACTCAAAGCCTGAACGTTTGATATTAAAATTTTAAGCTGAGAAAAAGCAAATTACAAGAACATTACAAACCTTAACTGTCCTTTCAAAAATGTTAGTAAACTGGTTTTCCTAGATGCCACAGAACATAAGTTTTGATCTTGGTCTTTAGAAAATGCGTGTCTGTGACGAAATAAACAAAATAAGTGAGAAATATTTCATTTAAAAAACATCTTGTACAATTATTACTTAAAATGCTGTTAAGATAGTTAAATTACAAATGAAACAGTTCTTTCCATAACGGTTATCCTGTCAGGTTTTGATACTATAAGGCACATTATGTCTCAGAAATGAATAATTTCTCCATGTAATCACAGTTCCCTCAAATCATCACCGACGAATACATAAGAACCACAACCATTATCTTTAAAAAATGTATAGAATGAACAACAGAACAATTTTGTTATGAAATAATGTTTAATGTGTTGCAAGCGACTTGGTCATAGTTGACTGCACATGAAATGAACCAACTTATATATGTACAAATAAACCCTCATTAACTTATATCGTTTCATAAATTACATGTAAATAACATATTAAGTCAAAGTGCAAGAAAATTTACTAGAAAAAGATGAAACACGTACGTCTATTATCTAATTCCTTAACAAAACTTATTTTAAAAATCTTAATTTTCTTCTTCGGACATGTTGCCAGTCGATTAAACAAGCACTGAACGCATTTGAAACGCTTTGTGTCGAAAAGCAAGTGCTGATTTAGGCGCAATTAGCGCCCTCATGTGATCCGACGGGATCAAAACCAGGGGAAATAATTTTCTTCAAATGCACTTTGTTTAAACGAAAACAAATTATTATATGTTTGACTTCCATACAAATTACTCTAGCAATCTTATTGCAAATTAAAATAATTTTAGAAATGAAATTGACTTGTAATTGATTATTAGAAACTTTATCACGACACTTAAAATTGATAAAAAAAACTTTCAAGAAATTAGAATAAAGGCAGATATCAGGCTTTTAAGATGATTCATTTAGCTTAATCACGTACATTTAATTCTTAGAAAAATATAGAACTTAAGTATTTTTATCATTATAAAGATGAAGGAAACACGATATACGGCTCAGAGTACGAATATTACGGGAACTTTCATCCATTTCCTCAAAATATGGTGGACGAGGATATTCCATGTGCTGTGTGTAGCACTAAAAGACCAATGAATATAATGGTTCCTGCTAGGACTAGATGTCATTCCGGTATGTCAACAACATCAATTTATTTTCACAATTTTCTCACATAAATGTTGGGTTTCTCTTATCCGGTACTTGGGGTAATTCATATTCGCTTGTTTTAACCAATGCCGTATAGAAGCAGACACAATCAATTCTTAACTTCATTGTCGTTTTCTTTTTAACCCTTTACCTCATATATACGCGAAACAACGCACTTTCGACCCCCACTCTTTTTTTAGGCCTGAAATAGTGAAAAATTTCCTATTTGGGCCCCCAACACATGTTTTCGTTTAAGAAATGTTGCTTTTTCGGCGCCTCTGAAACTTCCCATCTGAAACATACATCACGGGGTTGCCAGATAGGAGATGTGCCCCCTTCTGTTTGTGGGTTTGAAGAGGACGGAGTCCCCCTCATCGCCAAGAAAATTTTGGAATTTTGAGAGGCTTAAAATGACCCCAGGTCGATCATAAGGTAACGTGTAACCAACGCTGAAATGCCTTCGACTCTATCTCGGAAAAAATCGAGGCAAAATAGTGATTTTTGGAAATTTTGAGATGCCCCTGGTTGCCATGGTAACAGGAAATTTAAGACAGAGCATGTCGTTACAAAGGCAATGGTCCAGTCAATATTTGTGCCAAGTTTGATTAGTATTTATGCATTTTTCATAGTTATATAGCATTTAGAACTTGTAAAATATGATAAACAAGATCAACAAGGAAAGGCGGCGTTCAATGAACGTTGTAAGTTGAGGCTTTTCAGTGAAAATGGCCATTTTTCACAATATCCTCATGGGGGAAAGAGTTAACTTAAAAAATAATAAATATTACAAAACAACAATTTTTCACCAAAATTAGGTATTAGACCATATGTTAACATTGAAAAACTAGATTTTGGTTGATTCCAAAGTTTTTTCATCATTTTTTGTTAACCCTTTACCTCATATATACGCGAAACAACGCACTTTCGACCACCACACCTTTTTTAGGCCTGAAATATCTTATTTGGGCCCCAACACATGTTTTCGTTTGAGAAATGTTGCTAAAAAAGTGAGCACTTTTTCGGCGCCGCCGCCCCCCCCCCCACATCCAATAGATACATCATGGGGTTGCCAGAAGGTTGATTTGCTCCCTTGTTTGGGGGTTTGAAGGGGGCGGAGTCCCCCTCATCGCCAAGATAATTTTGGACTTGTGAGAGGTTTTAAATGACCCCAGGTCGATCATAAGGTAACGTGTAACCAACGCTGAAAAGCCTTTGACTCTATCTCAATCCCTTGAGAAGTTGCAGCACTTTAAAAAAAATTATGGAAAAATCGAGGCAAGATAGTGATTTTTGGCAATTTGAGATGTCCCCTGGTTGCCATGGTAACAGAAAATTTAAGACTGAGCATGTTGTTACATAGGCAATGGTCTAGTCAACATTTGTGCCAAGTTTGATAAGCATTGAAGCATTTTTCATAGTTTCATAGCAGTTTGAACTTGTAACAGTATATTTCAGTGAAAACGGCCATTTTTCATAGTTTCATAGCAGTTTGAACTTGTAAGAGGAGGCTTTTCAGTGAAAATGACCATTTTTCACAATATGCTCATTGGGGAAAGGGTTAATTAAAAAAATTATAAGTACCACAAAACAACAATTTTTCACCAAAATTAGGTAAAAGACCTCATGTTAACATGGAAAAACTAGATGTTGATCATTTTAGTGTTTTACTTATTTAACCTTTTGTAACCATGACAACTGTTAGAATTTCACTTGGCCGGGATTCATTTTATTTACACTGTCTCGTTTATAGGAACATGGTGGGGCTAAGAGCGAGGTTTAGTGCACCATTAACCGGTTTAAAATCCCCAGCAGTCATTATTATGCTGCTGACTGTTCCAAGGCGGCGCCCCACTGTGTTCCTCAGATGTATGTCTATGTTGTTTCATACTGTTTTGGTGACACTTTTGCTTGTGTCCCTTGTTGTTTTCTCGTCTACGGTAAGTATCTTCCCCATTGCCTCTAGTTTTTATTTCATATTCCCCATTGCTATTGCCTCTAGTTTTTATTTCTTTGATTAACCCCCCCCCCCCCTTCCTTCCCCCGGTCTCCTGTCCCCTTCCCCTTTGTGGGCCTATTATTATTTTCTTTGAATTCCTAATCAGTTACAAAATATTTATCATTTAATGATTAACGTGTCTTTGCCCTGTCCTTTTTATGTTTGGGGTCCGCCTGGGCTCCTTGCCATTGGGTTTTTGTTGCTTGGTCATATGGGGGTTGCGTTCATTGAACGCCGCCTTTCCTTGTTGATCTTGTTTGTCATGTTTGGGTGATTGCAAAGTTTTTCATCATTTTTTGTTAACCCTTTACTTCATATATACGCGAAACAACGCACTTTCGACCCCCCGCCCCACTTTTTTAGGCCTGAAATAGTGGAAAAAATGTCCTATTTGAGCCCAAACACATGTTTTCGTTTGAGAAATGTTGCTTAAAAAAGTGAGCACTTTTCGGCGCCGCCCCTATCTGAAAGATACACCAGGGGGATGTACCCCTTCTGTTTGGGGGGTTTGAAGGGGAGCGGAGTCCTCCTCATTGCCAAGACAATTTTGGACTTGTGAGAGGCATAAAATGACCCCAGGTCAATTATAATGTAACGTTTAACCAACGCTGAAATGCCTTCGACTCTATCTCAATCCCTTGAGAAGTTGCAGCACTTTGAAATAAATTTTGATGGAAAAAATCGAGTCAAAATAGTGATTTTTGGCAATTTTGAGATGCCCCTGGTTGCCATGGTAACAGGAAATTTAGGACTGAGCATGTCGTTACAAAGGCGATGGTCCAATCAACATTTGTGCCAAGTTTGATAAGTATTTAAGCATTTTTCATAGTTTCATAGCAGTTTGAACTTGTTAGAGGAGGCTTTTCAGTAAAAATGGAATTTTCTTTTACAATATGCTCATAGGGGAAGGGTTAATGCCCCCTTTGAAGAAGATGGGTATAAAGTTTTGCTAATATCAGTCTGTCTGTCTGTCTGTCTGTCTGTCTGTCTGTCTGTTCGTCGGTGACTCCATGGTTCAGCTGATTATCTTTATTTATCACAAAGGCTTCCTATTTCACAAACTGATTACTCATATGTAGCTATTGACACATGTTGGATTTGGGTCACAAGGTCAAATGTCAAGTTCAGGGGGGGGGGCTTGAATGTTAGAATGGTTTTCGCCCATTAAAATGAAAATATTGTACAAAAAATCTTTGCATTTCACATATCGATTTGTCATATGAAGTAGATGACCCCTATTTATTGTGGGTCACTAGTTCAAAGGGCAAGGTCTTATTGGCCTTCAATGACAGAATATTTTCCGCTCATTATCTTTAAAGCTTTCAATTGATCTTCACTAGTAGATGATCCTTATTGATCTGTTGTCACTACGTCTAAGTTCAAGGTCACAGTAACCTTGAATGTAAAAATGTTTTCCGCTTATTCTCTTGACACGAGTTAGCTACCAAGTCTTCGTACTTCACATAATACACTTTAATGTCGGAATGGTTGCCACTAATAATTATAAATGATATCTGTCACAAAATGTGATAAACAAAGAATTCATATTTCACATATTGATTGGTCAAAACTACAAGCTAACCTTTATAAATTTAAGGATAATGCATCAAATTAATGTCACGATACATTTCTGGAAAAAAAATCGCCCAGTCATTTGAGAGTGACGAGTGTCGTTTGATGGTTGTAAAATGTTTGCCTGTACTTCTTCAGTGTTGCTTAATTTGTCTGGTCCTTCGAGATCTTTAATTCCAGCACATACGTATAGATGATGTATTTCGGCTTAGGCATGTGCAGTGGGTCCTGAGGGATGTTGCAGTTGTACAACATCTCTCGCGAACAGGCTATATAAAAGCAAACTTCGTATATAGTGATAAAATACTATTTTGGCAATTGTTTCCAAGGGATCACCCCTCTCCCAGATTATTTCGTTAATACAGATATTGGGGTTATGCTCAATATGGACCAAAATATCTGTCTATGCATCTTCATGATTTTAATAGTGCAGTATTTTCTTTTCATTTTCCTGTTTATAACTTCAGGTTGGCATTTAGAATACACAGGCTATCTCATGACAATATCCGAATATCATCCCGCAGCAGGAGAATACATTTGTATGGACGGTAATCCTGAACCGATTCCACACGGAAGTGCAAACACGAATGGAAATGTCATGTACTTCGTTGAGGCTATCTGCGGAACACTACCCTGTCTTCCCTATGTTGATGGCCGTGAACTTGCTTGCTCCGTTTGCAGCAAATAATATCCGGAGTTGTTTAAAGTTGAAAATATCCAATAAATTTACGAAATATTTGCTTTTGTAATATTATTAAAAGTTGTTCTTTTTAAAGCCTTTATGTTGGAATATTCTGCCAACAGTTAACCATGAATTTATCGCGTTAACTTACTGACTAACTGATTTGTTTTTGTGTTAACACAATGAATCATACATGTATCAGACTAGATATTTTTTCTGTTAGATAGATAAATCACGACTAAGTTGTTGACTTTCAAAAACACATTTAAAATGCCAAGAACTGAAAACACTTACCATCTAAATAATAGACTATCATATATTTATCTAATATAAAACTTTTGTGTTTCTTAGATTAGATATCAGATTATTTTTTGTATAACTAGATAATTTTCAGTTATTAGTATGTAGTTGAACAGATAATTATCTGTCATAAAGCACGTTTCATTAATAATGGCCTATTATTTAACTTATAAGTGTTGGCAGTTCTGGGTACCTGTTAAGTGTTTTTGAAAGTTATAACCTGACTACTAAAATTAATACTAGTGCAATAAAATCCAAACTTATGACCAGAACCAAGTCTTGTTGTGCATATCGTCGGCATTGTTCGCTAAAATGAGTTTTGTCAGTGTAATGTCTCCTAATTTTTCTTCTTTTTTTATATTCGTCCGTTTATCCGGACTTTGCCTCTTACACCGCTTATGTAATTTCAATGGAACTTAACAGAATCGATTCGTAGCTTATTTATAACTACGCATAATCTACGGGTCATTGGTTATTTATTTTAACCGAGTTATGGCCCTTAAATAAAAAGGTATTTTTGTGTGTTGCAAGCTACACAGAAGTTTGTACGGACTACTTCTCAGAAACTATTGATGCTATTTCATCCAAACTTAGTTTTTATTTCTTTGATTAAACCCCCCCCCCCTTCCCCCGGTCTTCTGTCCCCTTCCCCTTTTAGGGCCTATTATTATTTTCTTTGAATTCCTAATCAGTTACAAATTATTTATCATTTAATGATTAACGGGTCGTTGCCCTGTCCTTTTTATGTTTGGGGTCCGCCTGGGCTCCTTGCCGTTGGTTCTTGTTGCTGGGTCATATGGGGGTTGCGTTCATTGAACGCCGCCTTTCCTTGTTGATCTTGTTTATCATATTTTACAGGAATGACCAGTACTCAGTGAAGTTGTGAATATCTTCGGCTTTTCATGATTCAGTGATTTTTGTCGAAGTTATGGCCCTTTAATCTATTTTTTTTAGTTTGTCCGGAATACTTCTCTTATACCACTTAAGTTATTCTATTGAAACTTTACAGAATTGAATGGTAGGCCAAATACGCATGTTTCACCGGTTTTTTCCTCTGACTTATTTTTGGACGAGTTATTGCCCTTGAATAGGTAGATGTTAAAACAAATTTGTCCGGACTACGCTTATACCATTTATACAATTTCAATTACAATGAAACTTTACAGGATTGATGTGTGACACGAGTTTTCCGCTCATATGATTTTTGGACAAGTTATAGTCTTTCAATAAAAAAGTTTTTGTGTTACCAGCTACACTTAAGCTTAATTGGACTAAATACTAAAATACTACTGGTGAATTGCATCCAACTTTAAAGTAATGATCAGTACCAAGTCTAGTTGTGCATATCGTCGGAAAGAGTTATGACCCTTTAATACATTTTTATTATTTAAAGCTTGTCTGGACTTCTCTTCTAATATCACTTACTTCCTCAAATTCTACGGGTTTTCGAGTGAATCATTTTTAGCCGAGTTATAACCTTTGAATTAAAATCGCGTTTTGCCCTGTTTAATATGATTTGTGTGTCTCCTGCAGTAGCTGCAACATGCAATCATGAGGTGAGACATTCTGATTACATTTTCAACTTTGTCCCTGTCATAGCGCTGAAACAACAAGAGGTATCAACAGTAAACCAAAGATATCAAAAAGAAATTCAATTGGTAGGTATATCTTAATTAGTAGTACAGTGCATAAGAACCGTAAATCTACCTCACCTTATTTTGGAGTTATTGTCCTTTAATTCATTTTTACACTTTGAACTTTGTTCAGGACAAAACTCTGAATCTACGAAATTTCTCACCAAGTAAAAGTGCAGTGCACAAGAATAGTTACTTTACATTGCCTAATTTATGAGTGATTGCCCTTCTTCATTTTTACAAAATGAACTTTATCTGGAACATAACTCTGAAACCACGAGTGGTATCAACAAGAAACTTTGAACGTAGATAGATCTCATCAAAGAAAAGGTACTGTATGCAAGAACATTAACTCTGCCTTGCATTATTTGGGAGTAATTGTCTTTTTTCCATTTTGACACTTTGAGCTTTGAAATAGATCTAATTAATTAAAAGACAATGCATAATAACCGTAACACTGCTTTGCCATAATTTTGGGTTTATTGACCATTTCACGGAATTGTAAAACCGGAAAGGTATGTGATAAAGGACATTAAAAAATGCATGTATAACAAATGTTGCAAAACTTTGTTTGCCATGTAACAAACTGTATTGGATCTTGTCACGAACTGGTTTCACAAGTAAGACAAATAAGACAAATGTAACTATCACAGAAAGATTGATTGCAAATGATGAATTAAAAAAGTATATCTGTTTAAATGACCCTTTCAGGGACAGCCTATACGGCCAACAGCTTATGTCGACCTTTATCTGTGTTGTTGCATTATATGAATTTGATATGTTTCCAAAAAATGAAAAATATTAATCAATAAAACGGACTGTATAATTTTTACATTTTTACAATTGTAAGCATTTATTTAAATGGGTTTCAACATTGCAGTTTTACAGAAAACGTTCAGGCGATGCCTTTATGTTGACTTATGCATGTAACAAAACTTGTTCTATACAAAATCAAATATCTGTATTTTTATTTCTCCGATTGGCAACTCAAATATTTTATAAAGATTCAAGACGAAGTAATTAAACGGCAACTAACTATTTTTATTACGAAATTTGCATCTTTGTGTATTCAATTATTTATTGTCAAATATCATTTTTTCCTTAATCGTTTGTACAAAAATGTGTATAATTGATTGCTAAACGGATTCCGTTTTAATAAAAGGATTTATGAGTGGAAATGTCTACTTGGATAACGGAGGCCCTCCGAACTATCTGTGCTTACCGGATGATTCTATATGGGCAAAAGTTCAAGATGGAATACAGAATAAGACTTTAAAATCGACGAGTCAGATTCTAGTATAACAAATATCTACTTAAAAACATGTGGGCTTTTTTTAAGTATTTTACTTAAAACTGCGACTTTAAATTTTGATATTGTCATTATTTACTTAGTAGATTACAAAACCGAACACTCTCCTATAGTTGTTTATGGAAATTGCTACTTCTTTGCTTAATTCCTGTACATTTAATTAAAGATGTTTATTTTCTCTCGATCTTTCAAGATCTTATTGTGTGAATTTGTTTGAGGTATATTAAGTTTCTTGTATCAGATCTTATTCTAGTTGAGTTGGTTCTAGTAGTTCTTGTTGAATACCCTAAGGTTATTTTTTTCATTTCTTGTTTTTTTTCTAATTCGTCTTTTGATGTATTGTCTGTGACATACAGGCTTTATAACCTCTAATCCCCTTTCCAAAGTCCATCATATTTAGTTCCACCCATTGTTTCTCGTTTAGGGCATATGCAAGTTTTTACTTTGGAACTTTTCACCGATTTTCATAGTATGACACGAACGTGTCAGGTTGAAGATTCCATGATTACAACCTTAAGAACACATCTGCAGATATTTCTAAATTCACAATTTCACCATTTTCATGGTAAAATGTTGAATTCTGCTTAAACCGGTGCCAGTGGATATTGAGTGGGTTTAATGGTATTCAATTTTTAAAGTTTTGGAACTAATGATCCTGAAGGGCAAGAACAATAGAACTACACTAATGTGAAGTAGGGGGCAACATATTTCAGTTGATTCCAACACTTAACAAATTGATATTTGAATAACGTTCAACCGGTGCGAGGAGGTGCGGGGGATGGTGCTCTTTTTCATAGTCTCTGTTGTACAGACACAATCAAACCGAGTCTGCAATTTTCATGTAATTCTGTTGTGATTAATGCTTCCAGGGGATCAGTCTATTTCGAAATTTTATACTCGATGTCCGTTTAAGCGAACTTACAAATTAAGTCTTAAAATTTAAATCTTTTATCTAAATCCTTGTGACAGTTATCTTGTCACATAAAAATTCGCTTATCAATGTACAGCATACAGGAAAATTAAACCTTTTTATCTAACTGTTATCTTAATATAAAGATTAAGGACACAAAATATAATTATGGCTCAGAGTATGAACATCATGGGACGAACTTTAACCCATTTCATCAGAATATGAGGGACGTTGATATTCGTTGTGCTGTGTGTAGCACTAGAATATCATTGAATATCATGGTGCCTGCCAGGATAAGCTGTTATACTGGTATGTCAACGAAATCATGAAAACAAATAATTTTCACCATTAAAAACAAAAGAAGAAAACCATGTCTTTTGATTTTTGATGATTAATTGAACCAGGTTTATTTCAGATTTGACAAAAACAGAAAGAGAAAGGTTGAATGGTAAAGGCCGTCTATATTTTTAATATGTCAATGGTGCAAGAATTAAGGGCGGTTTTATCGTCTAGTTTTTGAAATATAAACATAATTATAATTATAAAGTTGTCAAATTATTTTTACTCATTCAACACTAAAAAGTGCATATTAATTTGCAAATATATTTCAATTCAAGTATTTTCGATAACATGAAAAGATAGACATCTGACCAGACAAAATAATAACAAGATGCCATGGTGCAACATGTACAGCCCGTTGTCACATCTGGCCTTGAAATTTGATCTTGAGCTTTGATCTTGTTAAACAGTTCTTGCGTGCGACATGCCATCGCATGATGTTGAACATTTGTGCCATTTAATTTAAATTCCCCCTACAAGTGATATAGTTATGGTGTTGTCTGAAACTTTTTTTTGTATTAAACCTTAAAGTATGTCCTTGACATTTGACTTTGCCACAGGATACTTGCACGCGACATGCCGTCTCATGATGTTGAACATTTGTGCTAGGCTATGTGAAATTCCATCAGCTGGTGATGAAGTAATTGCTTGGGCAAGATTTTTGAGACCATTTTTTGCATTTGAAGTATAACATTGACCTTTGACCAAGCCACCAGTTCTTACACATGACACGCCCTCTCAAAATTGTGATCATTTGTGCTAGTTTATTTGAAATTCTGCCTTCATATGATATAGTTACGCCCACGTCAAGCAAAATCCGGTCGTACGGACAGACAGGTCTACGCATGTACGTACAAACACAGAAAAGCCATTATGACATACCTTTAGAGGACAGATTCTGCATAAGACATCTACCATCTTATGCAGATATATTTACAATAAATACTACTCGAAATAAAATAATTTTCATATAACTGATACTCGTACTGATTCTTGTAAATCTACTATTCCAACAAGTACTGCTACAGTTTCTTATTTATTTATTCATACCCATAATTTTACGGTACCCACTTTTACTCCTCATATTCCTACTTTTACACGTTCTTCTTCTATGACTGTCATCATAATCACTACTTTCTTCATGATACATTTCATCTACTTCTACCAGTGCCTTCTACCATTCCCATCTCGATAGTTGATATAGTTGTATTTAAAATTAATCAGATATATTATACCATTTCTGACGATAAAATACCTAACCAAAAACCTTTACTAACTACAGGATGGCATTTAGAGTATACCGGTTATCTCATGACAGTCTGGTCTGGTCACCCTACTGCAGGAGAATACGTATGTGTAGATAGTCTTGAATTTTCTTACAAACCAAATCAAATGGTGTATTTTGTATAATAATAAATACAATTTATTTAAATATCCATAAACAAATAAGTTGTGCTTAAAGTAATAGGAAAATTTATATATTTTAGTAAAACTGAAATATTTATGTAATTATAAATAAAATAAAATAATATACAAATAACACATACCAAACTTAGTCGCTTTGTGTGCGTCATAGGTGATTTATGACATTTTGTGTTAAATAGATATGGAATCGTTTATGAGCTTGGAACTGCATTTCCTCAGTCGCAAAAATCATAAAAATAACAAGGCTTATTAGATTGGTTGGATCATTATTGTTACATATTAGTTCACCTTATATTCTGTTAAAATTATCGATTATTCCGTATATGCAAGCAAAAACTTAGATATGAAACATAAAGCATGTCCAAGTAGTCCTCTAGGGTGATCAAGATACCCGGAATTTAGCTGTAGATTAAACAAAATTTATTTGAAGTTCGTAATACACAAACTGCATTAATGTGTCATGTATCCTTTTTTTAAAACAAAGAGGTATATCAATTAACCGTATTACGATCACCAAACGCAGATCCAAGCAAACGCAGCAATGCGCATACGGTACAGTCCGAATATTGTGATAATGTTAATAAATCTAAACACACTCAAAGCTGTTTAAAGTTTATGCCGATGCACGCAATTAAAACTCGATGCCTGTAAACTCGTTTTGTGACTAATTATGTTCTCAAACCATGAATAGTTATTTTCTTGAAAGATTATTCCAGATTGAATATCATAAAGTGTGCTTCCAGCTCAAATTTATCACTGTTATCGCGCTCAATTTTCCCAGTGTTTGGTAGTAGAATAAAAGCAAGGTATGAAATCTCTGCAAACCTGCTTATGAGAGTTACCTTCCGTTGATAAGTCAATTTAAATATTTCATGTTTGAAGTGAAAGACTTGTATGGATGTTCTATGTGAGACAGGGAAATTAGTTAAGAAAAAAGACTTTCATGATTATCTCCCCCTACAAATACATTTTAAATCTTATAGTTAACATGTTTGAAATAAATATCTTTTTGAGAAAACAACCCTTACAAAAAAGTGAGCCAAGAAATTCAAACTCAAAAGAGTGTGTATTATTCAGAAAAAAACTTTATAATTACCTGCCCAATAGAAATGCATTACAATTTAAAATTTAGAAGATTTACATGTAAAGTGAATAATTATGACAAATATTTAATCCACGCCCTTAAAAGATTAGTTAAGTAAAAACAGGCATGACTTAACAAAATAAAAATTGTAGGATTGCCTGTCCTAAAATGATGTCATATATCGTATCTGATTCTGTGAATTATCCTGCCAATATAGTCAAACGTACAACAATTATTAGGGACACCTAAATTAATACTGTTAAATATAATTTGCCTTATTTTTAAGAGACATCAGTATAAATTTGCTTACATTTTAATTCCCCTTGACAAAATGTTGTTGTTGATTTTTTCTTAGCTGCAAGAAATTATTTTGTCATTCTAATGCTTACATATGGGAAAACAATAACATAAGATTTACATTTATACTTCGGCCGCGTATCGGTTTAAAGATACTTCTTGCTATGACTCTTAGTGAGTTAATTGCTTTTGCCGTTATATTTTTATGGCTAATTATTACAAATGTCAAACAGTGAACGTGTTTAATGGAATCAACCAATAGAAATATCGGAAGGACTCTTTAAAAATAGTGAGAATGTTACATTTGTAGATTGTACATTGTTATTAGCAGCTATCGAATTTGTCCTCCTACGTTGGAATAATTCCAACAATCTAAATAATGTTAGAGAGATAAGAAATAATGAGATTGAAAAACACGTAAGCTGCATATCACAAAATGGGTAAAGAGACATAATTCTTATGGTGTTAAACATTGATTGAAGTAATTAAATAATCATTGAATTTTCTTGGGATTTTTAAAGCCTTAAAGGACACAAACAACTTTCATATCAATTACATTTGTAGAAATCAAATAGAAAGAATAGACAAAATAGTAAGGGGTTACGTAAATTAAAATAATTCGGAATTGGACAACATGATGATGTAATCGAAAAAGGCATCACAAACTGTAATACTAATCTGACTCTGTACTTCTGACAAAGGCACTTTTCAGCATGGGGCAAGTCATCGATTACTTGAGGAAGAAACCTTTCACTCATTGCTCAGTACTTGTTGCTTCCAGGAACGGATTTGAGAGTGTAATTAAACCTTATAGTTTCTTACAAAATAAATTCATGTTAACTTAACTGAATGAAATTGTATAAGATAATTAAATAAATGAAACAAGTACCTCATTTGTTATGTTTTGACTTTTCTTTTCGACACTGGCTTCTTTCTTTGCCATCAAATTGTAGTTTTCAGACTGCTATAAAGATATGATAACGATCTATTTATTGTTTCCTTAAGAAAATAATTTAACGCTGTATTATACCTATGTAGAACATAGTACAAATGTCAAACTTTATCTTATTTTCGAAATAAGGTCACTTTGTAAACGGTCTAACCTTTCATAACCTGCTGTGAAATAAAATTTCATTTTGATATTTTGAAAAGGAACATTGTTTTATATTAGAATGTCAGAAAAGATAAATTTCTTAATTATTTTAACTCTACTTTGTTGTGGTTACTGCAAGGAAAACTCAGAAAATGAATGCAAGAATTTGAACGAGAAAGTTCAGACGTTACAAGAAGAACTTCGTGTAATAAACAAAGGTTAGAAATTCTTTTTTCGAAGCCCAGTTGGTTAAGAGTGAAAAACATAAAAAATATGAAAACTTATTAATATAATTGCTTATAAAACGTATAAGTCTTTTTAACATAAATGTGTTATTCTATATAAAACTTAAATTAAATTCAATTCAAATTCTGCTTAAAACTCTCTGGTAAGATAACATTCAAACCATTACTCTTTAACATTAGTCCTAGTTGAATAGTTCAATAAGTTTAATGCTTTACCTTTCCATTAATAGCGTTAACAGATACGTCTTCCGAAAATAAGGCATTACGAAATGAATTTGAAGCTCTTCTGACTGAGTTCCGAGTAATAAAGCAGAGTAAGTTTTTAATATTTACAACATAACATAAACCGCTGGTTTCTCTTTATCTGATATTGTACGTATTTTTTTATAAATATAGCTGTAACAAATTGTAAACTTTTAAAATATAACTTAGTTTGTAGTTAGTCATTTAACTTTGAATTATCCCTTCATTTTCTCTGAATTAAATACAAAACTGAGCACTGGTATTCTTTGTTTTTATTTACGTCAACTCTTGTTCAAAACTTTACATTGCTTCATCTTCGCCTTTTAGTAACAGGTTCCAATCATGGAGATAAAAGATTTGTAGCAGATGGAGAAATGGATGTTGAGGCAGCTGTTGCTAAGCTTGCGAAAGATGTTAAGATGTTGACTGACGGTAAATGAGATTCTACTAAGTGTCACGAATTTTGATACATTTTGAACATGCAATGTGAAAATTTTCATGTGTCTCTCGTAAGAAAGCACATTTTATGTCACAGTGTTATTCCGTCGCTAAATCCACTTAATGTGATACTTTCCTTTCATCCGAATTCAAATATTGTAGTGCTACTGTTAAACTTATATTTCATATTTTCATAATGAAATTATGAAAATATATTTTAAATGTGTACTGAAAAACAGGTCATTATTAAGTAATCTACAAAAATACTACAGAAATAATTGCATCAATTACGATAATAGTTATAATGCTTTCTTTTCAAACGGTATTGGAAGTACCTACGTTAGATGGGGAAGAACAACATGCCCTGGCAATACGACAGTAATTTACAAAGGTAATATGTGAAAAAAGTAACTCTGTATTTGATCAAAAGACAACAAAATGAAGATACATGTATATCTAAATTTTACATATTTTACTTATCTCTTGAAAGTTGTAGTGTGTAGTTGTAGATTAAGTTAAACATTATTTCACTTTAATAATTGTGAAAGCGTTTGACTTGAATAAACCACTGTTGTTGTATGTGTAGTTGTTGTTTCTTTTCAGAATTTCTGGTGAATTTGATTTATAATACAATATATACACTTGTCATTAGTAACAGAATCTAAAAACATCTTGGGAAAGACTAAAAAAACTTTATTCCTCCGCTACTATATTTTTTATTTTATTATACTGCAAATAAAATTTGCAAGAAAGAGACAGAAGAATTGTGCTAATAGTTAATTAAATTCACAACTTTTTCCTGTGTGAGACAGGTAAAATTTGTGAATTTAATTATTTCACTATTTCATTATTTGCAAGAATAGAATCGATTTATATATGTACCCATAAATTGTTATCATAACATATTGGAATACATACTTATCTTTGAACACTGTTCTTATCACAGGATTTATGGGTGGAAATGTCTATACGGATAACGGAGGCCCTGCAAACTATCTGTGCTTACCGGATGACCCTACATGGGCAAAATATCAAGACGGGATACAGAGTAGGTTTTCCAATTGAATTTACAAAATCCTAATCTAATATAATCATCACAGTGAATAAGTCTACAACGGGCAAATTGTGATTAAGAATGAACATTTATATGATGAAAGATTTTTTTCTTGAACAATTTATTGAACAACATATTATCTGCTATATGAATATATGTATATAATATCGGGTCATGTACCTCCATGATTTCATTTTTGTACCCTACTTGTGTGACCGGATTGTCGGGGGACTGCGTGCTGGGAATGTGTTTTGTCTTTTTGATATTTTTTCTCATTCTTGGTATACTTTTAATATATTATTGACTCAGAACAATATTTTTGAACATGGTCTTTTGAGAAGATGAAACAAAGTACTGTGAGAAGTTTTATTTTAAAGCATCTTGTACAATTACTATTATTAGTCCTGTTATGTTAGTTATCTTACCAATGAAACAATACTTTCATTTGAATCAAAATAACTGTTTTCTTTCAGATTTTGATGTTATAAGATATGCGGCAAATCATGCATCATAAATCACTCTTTTCTTATTGTTAAGAAAATTAAAATCTGAGTTTGTAATAACGATTTCAGAGAATGTAATATGTCAATTACCTGAAGAAATCGGCACTTAATGTGAAAGTTTTTCTCATAAAACTAGCAAACTATAACCAAAGTAATTTTATGACTTCTATACAAAATACTTAAGCAATCAAATTGCAATTAAGCATCAGTTCAGGTAATTGGCCATTAAGTTACTTTTTGAAAATGACAGATTACAAAAAATATATAAAAAACTTTATATAAATAAAAATAAAAGCATTACATGAGGCATTTTGGACTTTTTACATGATGCATTTAGTTTATTAAGGTAAATTTGATATTAAAATATATAGAACTTGTAACTTACTGTTATCTTTATCATGATAAAGATGAAGGAAACAAGATATATGGCTCCGAGTATGAACATCATGGAACGAACATTAATCCATTTCCACAAAATATGATGGACGAGGATATTCCATGTGCTGTGTGTAGCACTAGAAGACCATTGAATATCATGGTTCCTGCAAGGACTAGCTGTTATACTGGTAAGTTAACGAAAGTATAGGAAACAAAAATGGTTTTCGCCATTTTCATTATGAATGCAGGGTTCAGCTTACTCCAGTAATAAGGGTCATTGATCTAAACTTGCATTAACCAGTGCCGTATATGAACAGACTCAATCAACAGTTGACTTCTTCGCCGTTCTGTTTTTTTTTCTTCCTAATTCAATATTTGCTGTTGAAAATGTATGCTGTAGTGGTTGTAACCTTCTACTTCGAAGATAATGCATCCAATTAATGTGACAGTCCAATTTTAAAAACTTTGTTCCAAATTTCGAAAGTCATTTCAAGATTTTAGTGTAAAGTGTTGTATGGCAAATGTAAATTGTTGCCTTGTTCTTTATTATAGTGTGAGGAGTTCGGCTTAGGCCTCTGCTGAGGGCATGAAAAACGGTGCACTTGTACATTATCTCTCGTGAACAGACTTAATAAAAATACTACAATTTTCATATAATACTGTTCATTTTCACTGTTTCTAAATGATCACCCATTTTCATGATATTTATGTATAAAGAGGTGGGAGTAATGTTCAATAAGGACTTAATGTACAACATAACTCCATTTTCTTCTTCATTACTTCAGGATGGCATCTAGAATATACAGGTTATCTTATGACAATCGGTGCGTTACATCCCGCAGCCGGAGAATACATTTGTATGGACGGTAATCCTGAACCGATTTTACACGGAAGTGCAAACACGAACGGAAATGTTATGTACCTTGTTGAGGCAGTCTGTGGAACTCTACCTTGTCTTCCTTACGTAAATGGCCGTGAACTTGCTTGCTCTGTTTGTAGCAAATAAAACCTGGATATTTTGTTATAATAAGAATATCCAATAAATATACGATATTTGCTTGTATTATGTTATTAATAGTTTTTTCTTTAAAAGCTTTGGGATACGCAAGGGATATGTTCGAAGCATTCCGCATTATCTATTAACTGATCATTTAAACAGATAATTGTCCGATACAAAAACACAAAAGTTTTAAAGATTAACAGATAATTATTTAATTCTGTATAAGAGGATATTAAGGCGTCATAAAAATTGTAATTTCAAAAATTGGACATTTGGCGTACGGAAATATATGCGAAAATAGGATTTCTTGAATTGAATAGTGTTTTGTGAACTCATTAATAAGGCAGGTACATGTAGAGAATATGCGGTTATTGTAACCGATGTATTCAACTGTCAATACCTTAGTTTATTATATATATTATTGTTGAAATATACATTGTTAGTTTAATTAAGGACCTAATCGCATATTTCTTTGCCATACGTTGAAAGTTAACATTTTTGTTTTATATTACCTATTGTGTTATTAACACATATATTGTTTCATTTAAACATTTGTGATGTTAAGACCAAACTATAATGAACAAGCAACAAGAACCCGAACAGTCGATCTTTTTCATGTAAGATGCTGTATAAAAATGTGTTTTCAGACGTTAAAAGAAAGTTTGCCTGAAAAGAAATATTTTGCGCAATCGGATATTTGTGAATAATTTCAATTCGCAAAAATTGCAAATATTGTCACGTCGCAAAATTATCCACTTATACAGCATTTAAGTGGTATGTGTTGGGAGGCAGTTTTGGGCATTGTTTGGCTTTTTAGTGTTTTTGGGAGTTCGATACTTAAATATCTATCTATTTATCTATCTGACAGGAAATATCTAGATAGTCTGATAGATATCCGTAAAGCATCGTGTTAACACGAAAACTGACTAGTTAGATTGTCAACGCAATGATTATACGGTTGACTGTTAGCAGGAAAATGCCACAATTAGCTTTTACTTAGTTGTATACTGTCTGTCTTGCATCCTGTTATAGTTTCGGAAAACGATACTTATTGGCAATGATTTTTTTTTCAATCTTACACGTTTTATCTTTTAGTTAGAATTTCCTTTCTACAGATTGTAAACATTTGTCATTTCTTGGGCATAGCGTACATTTAATTAAATAAGAATGTAAAAACTGCCGCTTGTCCCTTTAAGATATATTATGAAAATATTATGTTAAAGTGAATAAACTTTAATCATTCTTCAATTCGACTTTGAAATAGTCCATTTAATGTCTTAAGAATTTCATTATAAGCATTAAAAAATTATCAGCAGGGGTCAGAATACCTTACCCAATTCTTATTCCTGAAGCTTATTTACACCCATTCAAGAAGGTTAATGGCTTTTAGAAAACTGAAAGAATCATTGTACCTTTCTATAATATTCTGAATTCCTACTCAACTGGCTTTGCCTTTGAAATCAGAATGAAATTCAGATTTTTAAAATTGATAGTATAGTTAAAGTATCTTCGTTTCCCTCTGACAATGCTTTCACATTTAATAACATGATCGTGTATATGTAGTACATATATACGAATAGACTATCTCCTTATCTCGCAAATGTCATGTTGTCAACGTGTCAAACTTCACTTCCGAAAGTAGTTTGTTAGCCTTGTTGATTGAAGAAAGGATATGATGACAATAAAAATAAAAAATTTAGTGCTTTTATTTATCGTTTGTGATGCATATTGTCAGGAAAATGCAGAAATAACGTGCACTAGTATGAAAGAAGAAATTCAGATATTACGAGAAGAACTTCGTGTTCTAAAGAAAGGTACTTGAAAAACTTTCTTTAAGCTATATATCCAGTTGAAACTGCTCTTTAGGCTTGAGATATTTTTCATTTGGTCACAGACAAAATATTTATACTTATGTTAAAGAAACATTCAATTTGCGTTATTTGTTTTGAATTATTATCTCTTTTCATGTTATCAGAAACAGATTCTGAAAATATGGCATTACGACAAGAACTTGGAGCTGTTAAAAAGGAACTGCAATTAATAAAAGATGGTAAGTTTTGTTAACAATAAAAAGCTGAAGATTGTATTAGATTTTTCAAGCAGTAACAACTCTAAATACTGATAAAAAACAATTGAAATGTTTCATTTGTATATACTTATAAAATATTTCTTAAAAGAAAACATTATTTAAGTTATCGTTGCTAATAGTGTATGCAAATTTATGTGGTGCGTAATATTTTGATCTATTACTTTTTATCATCTGCTATATAAATATACGTAATATATGATCATGTATAACACAATTTGGTACTTTGTTGTCATGTCTCATACTTAAAAGTATCAACATATTTATTTATTGTATAATAAACCTTTCGTCATTAAAGACCAATGCACTTATACGCACCAGGTAAAATTTAATTAAAGATGTTCTTTTTATTTTATAAACTTAAATAATTTTGTTACATAAAATTGATATTACTGTAAGAAACTCAAATTCTTTTACATAAACAGGTTCCAAAAACGAAGAGAAAAGATTTCTTGCAGATGGAGAGATTGATTTTGAAACAACTGTTATGAAACTTGAACAAGATGTTAAGATGTTGACAGACGGTAAGTTTGATTCCCTTGTTATTCCATAAAATTCGTTGAAATTATTTCATAAATTGAAAAATCCTATATCAAATTTAAATGCAAAGATGAACGAGGTACAGTACATTCAAAGTTTTAGAGATTGAGATTTAAACATCAAATATATATGAGCCATGTCACGACAAAACCAACATATTACGTTTGCGACCAGCATGAATTCAGACCAGCCTGCGCATCTGCGCAGTCTGATCAGGATCCATGCTGTTCGCTTACCAACTCTATTACAAGTAGAGAAACTGATAGCGAACAGCGGATGCGCAGGCTGGTCTGGATCCAAGCTGGTCGCAAACCCATTATGTTGGTTTTGTCGTGACGCGGCTCATATAATCATAATGACTGTGGTGTTTATTTCCACGAAATACAGAAATTTCTAACTAGAACTTTGTGTAATAAAAAAAGATACAGATTATTATAATTATTATTTAGATTGTATCGAAGTTAAGATGGTATTCAGAACGTCAGGAAATGCATGTTGTAAATAATGATTAAAACATTTGTTCCAAGGTATTGGAAGTACATACGTAAGATGGGGGAGAACAACTTGTCCTGGTAATACAACGGTAATTTACAAAGGTAATGAAAAGAGTATTTTATAATGGGACAATTGACTGTATTATCTAAACGAACAAATATGTGGCATAGCAGATATTGAATGAGTGTAGGGTTCAATACTTAATTCATTCGACTAGTTCAAACAATTTAGTGATGAAGCTTAAAGAATATAATATTCAACCACATGCCTAAATTAAGAACTGTTTACAGTCGAAACAATCATTTTCGTCGCTTTTGTCCGTCCGTCTGTCCGTCCGTCCGCAGTTTCTTGCCTTGAACATAAATCTGAAACTACAGGTATAAACACGAAACTTTGTAGATTGATAAACCTCATAAAGTATAATTTCCGTACACAAGAACAGTAACTCTGCCTTGCCTTATTTTTGAGAAATTGTCCTTTTCATTTTTGTGTCGGCTCTACAGACGAGTGGCGACATATAGGGATCACTTCTCTGTCGTTTGTCTATCCGCATGTCCGCCTGTCTATCTGTCCGTCCGTCATAAAACTTGTCCTGACTACTCCTGAAATAATACTGGTGCAATTACATCCAAACTTATGACCAGTACCATGTCTAGTTGTACATTTCGTCGACATTGTCCGGTTCAATGATTTTTAACAGTGTTAAGTCCCTAATTTTTTCTTCTTTTTTTAAGTTTGTCCGTTTGTCCGGACTTTTCCTATTACACCGCTTTTGTTATTTCAATGGAATTTAACAGAATATATTTGTTACTTATTGATCACTATGCATAATCTACGGGTTTTCGGTTATTGATTTTTGGCCAAGTTATGGCCCTTAAATAAAAAGGTATTTTTGTGTGTTGCCAGCTACACAGAAGTTTGTCCGGACTACTATACTCAGAAACAAATGGTGCTATTTCATCCAAATTTAACAGGAATAACCAGTACTAAGTGTAGTTGTTCATATCATCGGCTATTTTATGATTCAATGATTTTTGTCGGAGTTATGGCCCTTTAATCTATTTTTAGTTTTATTATTGTTATTTTTACCACTTAAAGTATTTCATTGAAACTTTAAAGGATTGAATGGTACGTCAAGTACGCATATTACACGGGCTTTTTCCTCTGAATAATTTTTGGCCGAGTTATTGCCCTTGAATAAGTAGGATGTTAAAACAAATTTGTCCGGACTGCGCTTATATCACTAATGCAATATCAATTTCAATGAAATTTACAGGATTGATTTGTGACACAAGTTTTCCACTCGGATGATTTTTGGACAAGTTATGATATTTGAATATAAAAAGGTTTTTGTGTTGCCAGCTACACATAAGCTTAATTGGACTAAATACTAAAATACTACTAGTGGTTCCATCCAAACTTTACAATTATTTTAATTTAATGATCAGTCCCAAGTCTAGTTGTGCATTTCATCGGCATTTTGGCAGAGTTATGGCCCTTTTATATTTTTAAATATTTAAAGTTTGTCTGGACTTCTCCTCTTATAACACTTACTTGCGCATATTCTACGGGTTTTCCAGTGAATTATTTTAAGCCGAGTTATGTCCTTTGAATAAAAAAGGCGTTGCCCTGTTAATGATTTTTGTGTTTCCTGCAGTAGCTGCAACATGCAATTTGTTATCATGAGGTGACACATTCTGGTTACATTTTCAACTTTGTCCCTGACATAACTCTGAAACAACAAGAGGTATCAACAGTAAATCAAAAAATAATCAGTAGGTAGGTATATCTTATTTAGTAAATGTACAGTGCATAAGAACCGTAAATATGCCTCGCCTAATTTAGAGTTAATGTTCTTAAATTCATTTTTACACTTTAAACATTGTTCGGGACAAAACTCTGAATCTACGAAATTTCTCACCAAGTAAAAGTGCAGTGCACAAGAACAGTTACTTGACCTTGCCTAATTTATGAATTTATTGCCCTTTTTCATTTTTACATTATGAACTTTATCTGGAACATAACTCTGAAACCACGAGAGGTATATACAAGAAACTTTGTAGGTAGATAGATCTCACCAAATGTACAGTGCACAAGAACAGTTTATCTTGCATAATTTTGGAGTAATTGCCTTTTTCCATTTTGACACTTTGAGCTTTGAAATAGATCTCATTAAAAAAAAGGACAATGCATACTAACCGTAACACTGCTTTGCCTAATTTCGGATTAATTGACCATTTTACGGAATTGCAAAAACCGGCATGAGTATGAAATAAAGGGCATTGAAAATACATTTATAACAAATATTGCAAAACTTTGTTTGCCATGTCACAAACTGAATTGGATCTTGTCACAAACTGGTTTCACAAGTAGGACAAATGTAACTATTAACAGAAAGATTGATTGCAAATGATGAATTAAAAAGTATATCTGTTTAAATGACCCATTCAGGGACAGCCAATACGGCATACAGCTTATGTCGACCTTTCTCAGTGTTGACAGCATTATATGAATTTGATATGTTTCCAAAAAATGAAAACGATTAACGGCGATATGATTATGACCAAAGGCATGTGAATTGTCACTTTAAGTAGCGATATTATATTTTTAGACATAAATAATGAACTAAACTTTGAAAATAGGGTATGAGATGTTGCACCTTTTATAATTTCTCATGTACAGAATCAATAAAACGGACTGTACATTTTTTACATTTTTACAATTGTTAGCATTTATCTAAATGGATTTCAACCCTGCAGTTTTACATGGAATGGGGAAAAAACGATTTCAGAATAAGGCATGAAAACTTTCAGGCTATCCCAATATTTGTGTTATGCATGCAAAATTTCTTCTAAACAAAATCAAATATCTGTAATTTTATTTCTCCGATTGGCAACTCAAATTGTTTATAAAGATTCAAGACGCAGTAATAAAGAGGCAAATAACTATTTTTATTACGAAATTTGCACCTTTGTGTATTCACTTATTAATTATCAAATATAATTTTTCCTTTATCGTTTGTACACAAATGTGTATAATTGATTGCTTAACGGATTCCGTTTTAATAACAGGATTTATGGGTGGAAATGCCTACACGGATAACGGAGGCCCTGCGAACTATCTGTGCTTACCGGATGATCCTACATGGGCAAAATATCAAGATGGAATACAAAGTAGGACCTAAACAGTTTTCTTTTTTGTAACGACGAGTCATATTCTATTATCATAAACATGTACTTAAAAAAACATGTGGGATTTTTTAAAAGTATTTGACTTAAAACTGCGACTGAAAACTTTATAGTTTGATACTGTCTTTATTGACTTAGTACATTACATAACCAAACACACTCCTAAAGTTGTTTATGGAAATTGCTTCTTCTTTGCTTAATGTACATTTAATCAAAGATGTTTATTTTCTTTCGATCTTTGGAGATCTTTTTGTATATCATTATTATTGTTTGAGATATTTTAAGTTCCTTGTATCAGATCTTATTCTAGTGAAGGTCGTTCTAGTATTTCTTCTTGAATACTCTAAGGTTAATTTTTTCATTTCTTTTTTTTTTAATTTGTCTTTTGATGTATTATCTGTGACAGGCTTTATTACCTCTAATTCCCTTTCCAAAGTCCATCTTATTTAGTTCCAACCATTGTTTCTCGTTTAGGGCACATGCATGTTTTTACTTTGGAACTTTTCACCGCTTTTCATGGTATTGCACGAACGTGTCAAGTAGAGGGTTTCATGATTACAACCTTATGAACACATCTGCAGATATTTTTATGTTAAAATGTTGATGAATTCAACTTAAACCGTTGTTTGGGGATATGGACCGGGTTGACCGGTATTCAATTTTGATTAAGTGTTGGAATCAATTATCATGAATAGAACTACACGAATATGAAGTAGGGGGCAACATATTTCAGTTGATTCCAACACTTTATATATTGAAAATTGAATACCGTTCAATCCGGTGCGAGGAGACTCAGTCAAACCGATTTTCATGTATTTCTGTTGTGATTAATGCTTCCGGAGGATCACTCTATTTCGAAATTTTATACTCGGTGTCCGTTTAAGCGAACTTACAAATCAAGCTTCTTTTATCTAAATCCATGTGACACATAAAATTCGCTTATCAATGAACAGCAAACAGGAAAATTACACCTTTTTATCTAACTTTTATCTTTATCATTATATAAAGATGAAGGAAACAAAATATATGGCTCAGAGTATGAACATCATGGGACGAACTTCAACCCATTTCCTCAGAATATGAAGGACGAGGATATTCCATGTGCTGTTTGTAGCACCAAAAGACCACTAAATATCATGGTTCCTGCTAGGACTAGCTGTTATACTGGTATGTCAACGATAGAAAATCTTTCGTTTGTTATTATTGTTGACTGCCATATTCTACTTGTACAATTGGTCGATTTGGAAAAAATGCAAAATTTGATATGCTATGCTAATCTTTGGGTAAAATAATTATTTGCAAAAAAATTATTTAAATCTTATGAAAATTCTTACTGAATTTGTCTAATTTTGAAATTAAACAATGTAAAAACTATGTGTGGGATGATGCATTACCTATTGCAGGTCAAGCAAAGTTGTTCCTTTCTTTAAATAACTGCCAGTTTTTTAATGACACTTTACATCCGTATTGTGGCCTACAATAGTCGGTAGACTTTAATACATAACATATCATATCTACTCTGTGTGAAGTCGTAACATGTAGATTTTATGTTTACAAAGAGACAGTGTAGCAAGTTTTAATATATTCAAATATCAAACATGAGCATGATATATCTTTAATGTGACTTTATTTATGCCCATCAAAGTGCAAGCGATAACTTATAATACATTCTGTCACATGTGTTTACATTTGATAATATACATCACCTGAATAAGCAATACCCCCGTGAGCCACATAAATTGGTATAGATATCATTCGGAAAATTCCAGTAATGTTTTTTTTTGTTTTTTTTTAATTGGACTTTCTCAATCTTCTTATCCTTAACATTTGTCATTAATTCGACATTTTATAGTGATGTTTTAAAGATCCTGTAACTCATTTTTTATGGTTTTATATCATAAATATAATGCTCAAGTGAAGATTTATCAATATTGTAAGTTTCAAAAAGCAGAGTATTTGTAAAGATATCACCGAATTAACGTTTTCGTGTTAATAAAAGGAAGTGATTGAAAATTTATCTTCTTTAAAGTCTGAGTCAAATTTTTCAATAAGAAATGAATGCATGTATTTTAATGATGCATATAATGTAGACATATATTTGCAGTACATATTTAACATATTCTTCGATGTTTGAATAGTGTTTTAGAAGCATAATTATATACATAAAAATTATATAAATTTTCACTTAAGGGTGGTAACACAATCTTAATTACAACATACAGGATCTTTACAAAACAGAATTAACAAGTAATAAGGCTCAGTTCAACCCTGAAAACAATAAGCATAATGTAACCTTAAATCATGTTTATTACATTTCCCGACAATTCTTTATAAGGCAAAATTTATGTACAAACAAAAAGGTAATGATCAATAAGTAACATATACATTTCGTTTCTATAGATTTAACAGTGCTAATTTATCATTTTCTTTTTCATTTACTTCAGGATGGCATTTAGAGTACACCGGTTATCTCATGACAATCAAGTCTGATAAGCCCGCAGCAGGAGAATATGTCTGTATAGACGATCACCCTGAGGCGATACCACACGGGACAGCAAATACGAACGGAAATGTTATGTACCTTGTTGAGGCAGTTTGTGGAACTCTTCCTTGTCTTCCCTACGTAAATGGTCGTGAACTTGCTTGCTCTGTTTGCAGCAAATAACTTCTAAAGACATTCATTTCCATCACAAAATAAGAAATAACTTATATCTGACTGCAATAGAGAGTTTTAAGAGAATTTGCATAATAGTGGTTATTTTTAAAGAAAGGGTTACACCAATTTATAACAATATAGTTAAGTTTCATCGTTGTAGGTACTGTCAGGGACTCTTGATTCTTCATATAATGACTCTTTCCAGCTTGCTTACGGAAGGCAAATTGTTCTGCTCAGGTCCCGACTCGCGTCTAAGAATAATGCATAAAGGGGAGGGAACTCGAGGTTTTCCATCTAAAGTTAGACTAGAAAGTCAGATAATGTCAGTGTGACTTACAATATAAGTAAACAAGCAATACTCCGCCAAAGAAGCGTATTTTAGTGGCAATTGTGCATACTTATGAAATTAACATTTTTGATGGAGGTTACGTCGCTCCAAAACAGTAGATATTATATAATGACTTTCCAGCTTTACTGGTAAAGGAAAACCTCAAAGTAAACCAACGACATTCCATAAGTTAGCTGGGTTGTTAACTCAAAAGTATCTTAACAACATCGAAGGTGCAAGTGGTTTAAAGTCAACGTCCCTAACCGTTCGGCCACGGGGGCGCCTTAGCTACGTTATATTTCGCTGTTTACAAGTACGACTGGTTTGAATATTGTAAGCTTAATAACCTAGAAAAAGTCTACAGCGTCAAGCGTTTATAATAGATTTTTTTTTTAATTTTGCCTTGATATAAAGGCACAGGAAACACTGGGTTCCGTTCATTGAACGCCGTCTTTCCTAATTGATCATGTTTACCATATTCAATCCATTTCCTCAGACTATGCCAAACGAGGATATTCCATGTGTTCTTTGTAGCACTAAACCATCGCTGAATAGCATGGTACCTGCTAGGACAAGTTGTCACACTGGTATGTTATAAAGTCAAATCATAGAATTTAATATTGCCCTTATTAAAAGTGTGCGTATGTTTTTACTGAAGCGAAAAGATTGGTAATGCAAATGTTTTCAAACGTTACTTCTTTGATACTACTAAGTCTTATGTTTGTGATACTTTATTCAATACTGCCAATTAATCTTTGATTGACAACTCTTCTTTCTGGAATAAAGTACAAATTTGCATCACAAATGACGATCCTCGCTTGTGAAATTGCCACTTATTACTTTAGTGAGTTAAGTGGTTTTGCTAGGGGCGTGGACGGTAACTTTCACTTTCCAATACCGTCCATGAACAGGCTCAATCAAACCGAGCCTGCAACATTTTCAATTTTGTCGTGTTGGACTTTATTTAGGGATTCTGTATTTCTCTATTTTTTTGTGTCTGCTGCTCAGCACAAGGATCGAATCATTTGGCTTTCTTCATATAACACCAGTACCAGTAAGGTACAGGATGATGACTCGATTTTCAAGAACTTGTTTCCCAATAAGGCATGAAAAACATCTATAGCTACTGCTCAATTTTTGAACACATGTTTCAAAATTCAAAATTTCACCATTTGATCTGTTTTTATATTGAAAGGTTCAAAGGGAACGTGAACTTTTCATTGCACATAACACTACAGTCGATGAATTCAAACAAAGCATACAACGTTTGGAAGAAGTTTTTCGTACATTTTTATTAACAGACATGAACTGACAATTAATTGACTGCCTCGTCAATATAAAACATACACTTTCAAAATATATGGGTTACTTTTAATATTGCCCTCACATTCTTCAGGATGACATTTAGAGTATACAGGATATCTTATGACAAACGCCTCCGTTCATCCCGCAGCAGGAGAATTCATTTGTATGGATGGTCATCTCGAACCAATTCAAAACGGAAGTGCAGATACGAACGGAAATTTTATGTACCATGTTGAGGCGGTCTGTGGAACGTAACCTTGTTTTCCTTACGTTAATTGACGAGAACTTGCTTGTTCTGTTTGTAGCAAATCAACTAGAGACTTTTTTATCAGTTCGAGATGTGTTTTTTAGCTTCTATAGATTTTATAAGAATTATCAAAGAAATATGTGTGAGACATGACTATTATGAAATTTCATAATTTACCAGTATTTTTTTATGACATTACATAAATATAACAATTATTTGACAAGCGAGGTGACTATCATTCAAGGTTTGATCAGTTTTCTCTCTGTGTGTCGTTTTGTGTTTAAGGGGTGTCTAAATGTATTCTCACTTACTATTCTGAAGTTTATTCAATACATTTGTCAAAAATAGTTAATCAATATCATTATTGACCGAAAAGACAATTCAATTAAACCGAGTCTACGATTTGTGATATATGTGATACATTCTTTTCGGCTATTTTCAGGTTGATGGTTTCGGTATTCCCATTTGAATACTGTAAAAACACCCTTACGATAAATTCAATGATTTTTAATTTACTTTTTGACGTCTTGTCTGTGATATGCAGGCTTCATTACATCAGATCTCCTTTCAATATTCCATTTCATATAGTTCCACCAGTTGGTTTCTCGTTTAGGGCACACGCATTTTTTATTGGGGACCAAACGCTTCCTTTTATGGAACGACACTTATGTGGCACTTTGAAAAAAATCACTATTACCATGATAAAATTTTGAATTCTGTTTAAGCCGGTGGTAGGGGCGTGGACGGTAACTTGCACTTTCCATTACATCCATGAACACATGGACATGCCCATTCAAACCGACCCTGCAACAAGTTTGTCGTTTTCTTTAGGATTTATTTATTCTCTATTTTATTATGATACATTTCATTCAAATATACAATGATGAATACGCTCCTATGTGTGAAACATTAAAAGTTCTTGTTTTCGCATCCCCATCACATAGAAGTTATTACAAATTGTTAATCATTTTATACCTAAAATACATGTACATTTTTCGTATATACAGAAAGAAGAAACAATAAAATATACAATATTTCCGGGTTTTTTTTGTCATAATTTTTCAAAAAATAATCCTCTCTCAAATTTTACACGAAATGAAATATAATTATTAGAATTAAATATTTTATAACCAAATCTTTATTATATGTTAGCAAGTGTTTGCCAAAAAATAAGACCTTACCAGTTACACAGAGATATTACCTTTTGTAACAGAATGTATGAAAATATAGACATTACTTGAGATAAATTTTTTATGTACAACTTATTCTAATAAAAAGAAAATGAAAGAAACAAGCCCCTTCTTTAACAGTCATCATACTCATTTGAGTATGCAATTCACGCCTACAATAATTTAAATTAAACACTTTTAGTAAGACCAGCCTCCATTAATTGATTATTTTCCTTATGATAAAAACTGGTCTAAAATATGTTTTATTTTGAAACTAAGCTATTTTTGTCAAATAAAACGACGGATGACCCGTTGTTTATTGTCAGAACCTGATCGTCGAACTTAAGAATGTTTCTTGGATTATGCTTCTATAGAAAATAATTGTCTTCAGTCTTCCTGATGTTTGTTTGGAATTTCCAGCTGATGTTAAGATCAGGATATTAAATATTTCAATAATGAGGAAGACCTTTCGCAAAAAGTTAAGGGAGAGCGGCGTTACAGTAAAGCACCCTGGTACGTTTACATTCTTTCATAGACAAATGTACCCATTGGCATACTTAAGATTAAACATGAGGTCGGGAGAATGATTACATTAAGGAATAATTATATTTTCTAATCATAAACGAGTTTACAAAAACTATTTCAACATACAATGCTTATAATGCAAAAAATGACTTAAATGTAATTTAACATCTCAAATTCATAAAATGACATGTTTCGTTTGTATAATTTGCTTTTATCTATCATTACAAGGGAGAGTATCAGTGAATGTATAAAGATAGTCTGTACGATGTTATTTCCCTTCCGACAATGCTTATGAGTACAAATTTCTCGACTGGACTCTGAGATATTTTGTAACTAGGTTGTGAGAACAATAAAGGGATAGGGATAACCACTGTTAATAAAATAATATTTTATTTATTCTGCCTTAATCTTATACTAATTCTAGTTATTGTCGTTTAAATAATATTCAAGTCAATTGTTTCATAGCATTAAGATGTTTTGCGTCAATATATACGGTGTATTGCATACCTATACAAGTACATCGTCATTATGTGTTCTCGTGTATTACATCTGGTATATAAAGCAGAATTCTCATTCATTTTATATGTACCAAGAAAAGCATGAAGGACATTTATGTTTATAACACAAATTAATGTTATGCTTGTATATACTTGACTTGTCGATAAATCTTTTGAAATACAAAGCATAGCATATGCACAAATACATAACATTCGTGATTGTATATACTTATATAAGTTCACATTGAAAGTAATTATTTCAAATGAAAGAAATGTATACAAACTATGAATGTCAAAGCCAAATTTTACTCGAAAAACAACTCTTTATCAATACCAATGCATGTGTAAAATAGAACAAAATTTACTGTGAACGTTGCCTTTGCCTTGTTGATCTTTATTCTCGTTTTCTAAATGCTGTAGGCTCAGTTCACCTTGACCAGATAAATTCGCCACACTTGATAAGGAAATCACATATACACCAAATTCCTACACCACCGTGTGTTTAATCACTTTATGATCTTGGTACGATGAATAACCTTTTCTCCAAGACTTTACATAGCATTTTGGATCGCCTTTATCAATATGATAACAGTCATATTATCTTGTAAGCTGTCATTTTTATCAGTATGATGGTGTATATCATCAACATGTTCACATCTCTTTGCGCGATACATGTCCATCGTTAAAGCATGTCCAATGTTGAGATTTCTCTTTGCTGTGTTTACAAGTGTTACATTAAAAGTCATTAGTTAAGATTTTGACAGACACAGTTCAAACGTACGTAAGCTTAGATAATGAAATGCACAAACAGAAAATATTTCACGCTATTACAAAGATCTAATACAAAATGAATTAACCTATTTCGAAAACATATTATACTATATTGGCAACGGGATAGCCATTTACATTATTTTATTGGTGTGCTAATATCTTGTAGTTGCATAGTATGAATGTACAGAGTGTCAAAATTATTGTACTTTTTAATCATGTGAACAAATTGGTGCAACTATCTTATCAGTAAAAAATAGTTGAATTTTATCCATTGACAGCTATTGTATATACGCCTAGGTAAATCATAGTTTTAGTTATAGTTAAGCGCAAAAATCATGCAACTATTAATTTCCACTACAAATACTAGTTATTACATATATTAACCGCATACAATTAAATTGTCGGTTTTTCATGAATTTGTAGATAAGATAAAACTGTTAATATGCCGTTTTTTAAAGCGAAATAAGAACGAAAATAAATGTGATTGATTGCTTTTCCGTCTCAATAAGAAATTGATAAAACCGCTCGAAACTGGCTGTAATGCCAATATAAAACGCTTATTATCTGATAAACGTTTTGCATGATAGATAGTTTGTTTTGTGGTAGATATTACGTCATGAATTGAGGAACATACTTGATAAACGAATTTATACTTATCATTTTTACTTTCTATTTTCGTATCTCTAGCCTATCAAAATACATCGTATATTTTTGTGATTTATTCAAAATGATCATCCCTTTATAATGAGTTTCTTATCCTGCCTGTTCTTTTTTATACTTTTTACGTCCATTGTCTTAAATTAACTCGTCTATCATTCAATCTGGCGGAAACCATAAAGATTTTGAGTTTGATTTGTACTGGTCACATGGTTAGAATCAGATGCCATCAGCAGGCAAATAGCTTAGCTATATTGCAGTATTATACAAGTATTATGACAGCATATTTTTCAGCTCGTATAATGATGTTTACTTTGTTTTTGAATACAATACAAATATGCCTATGATTTCATAAAAAAATTGATATGTACACTATTTCAAAGTACAGTGTGTATATTATAAAAAACTTATTTTCTCAAAACAGATTTTAGTTACATACGTTAGATATCTATTACCGATGTTTTGTGAAAGTATTTGATAAACACATTAAATATTACTAAATAGTTTTACTTTGAAATTCTTTTTCATATTTGTTCGTCTGTAATTAAAAATTATAAGTCTTGAAAATCTGTACCGTAATACTTATTCGATGTTTTTCAAATATATGACGATATTAATCTTTTTTCTCTTTTTAACAGAAGGACAAAATGTGATACTTAATTTTTAAAGTTTTTATTTACGAGTATTTGCTAAAATTTACTAATTATTTCAAGTTTTCGCTTTACTAAAGAAAACGAAACTAGTAGAGAATATACAAAAAAATGTAAGAAAAAATGTTTTACTAAAAAATTTTATAGCTTTATTTACGAGTATATGCTTAAATTTACTAGTTATTTTAAATTTTCGGTAAAGAATGTCTAACAAATATCTGAACAAATTGACAACTAAATTATTTACAGTATTGATTATTTTCAATCGCGGATTCTAACGCCCATTCCCCAACAATTGTCCTAGTTTGTTCTACCCCTTCTGGAAGACAAGTAAAATATCGACCCACATCCCATGTCGAATTTGAGCTCCTGTAAAAAAACTTGATCTGCGTCGTTTTCATTTGCAAGAAACTAATTAACTAAGTTTTATTCTAATATAAAATCAATTAATTTTGTTTAAAATGCCTTTACTGGTAACAAAGTAAATCTGTGAAATGATATTATTTGTGTTTGCTTAAATGATAGAAAATTACAATTGAAAAGTGCTGCAAAATGTCTGGATAATTTGTCATATAAGTTTGTATTTTTTTAAGTCGAAACTTTTGGAATCTTTCATGTAAATGGCGTAAACAATGTTATAACCCAAACATGGCTTGAAATCGATATTCTTTTAAGTCAATGAATAAACACGTTTTACTCTAAATTCAAATGCAATTTCATTAATACCCTTATTAAATATTACACTAACTTCATGTTATTAATTATCAAATAAGTAATTTTAAAAAAAAGAAATTGATTGATTGTATGAGAA